TAAAAAGTGGTATAAGCTTAATACCATTTGTGTCTTCTAGGCTGCGATACGTCTAGTCTTCCAATAGGAATTTAGTGGAAATATGTGCCAGAGTGATATACCCGTAAGTGCAATTCCATCTGATTAACTACAAAGACATGGCCTATACAAATATTATTCTAAACATAGGGTGTATTATGACGCGTGTTCTTTTCAGAGTAAATAATAAAATAAAACTTTTATCTATTTTCTTTTCGGGATCAAATACATGGAAAATCAGCACTTTCGAAGCCACAATGACATGAAGCACAGTTATTCAGTTTAAAAGTTAGTCAAATGTGAAAGGCATAACAAAGGTAGCGTGGCAAGGGCTAGTCGTGAGTGACCGACAGGAGGGAGGTCGACGAACGACTAGACGTTTGTTTCAAAAACTACTTGAGAGGTGAGATTTATAAGAGTCTGAGTTAATGTCAATGATTTTTTAACGAATATTACTGATGTCTTTCGAGCTTCGAGAATAAGTCCTGCAGATTATCAGCTCTTTAAATCGGAAAGAGTAATAGAAAATGTCCTGTAAATCGCACAGTTATGTTGAATTTTGACAGCTTCGGTTGCAGACCGACTCAGTGTAAATGAGAGTTGAAAGACGCAGATAGTTTAAATGATCTTTATGAAAATTTAACTAATACTCTTTTTGAGAACGAGACCACTCAATTATCGAGTTCCGAAAGTGGAGAGAAGAGTAGATCTGTGACAAAAATCACACTATTATGTAAAGTTTCAATATCTCGTATGAGAAACCGATCAATCATGAGCGGGTCAACTGTTCGGTGTGAAAATGGGAAACTAATCGTATATGTGCCAACGGCTAGCCGTGAGTGGCGAACCGGAGGGAGATCGACGAACGACTTGGCGTTTAAATTCCAAATTAATCTTAAAGTGTACACTTGGAATAGCCTTATCAGGCTTCAACGATTTTCCAAAATGATTTGGCAAATGTATATTCCTCAATGAAAATATTGGAGAAGGCATTATTTTGTCGAAAGCAGAGAAAAGAGACAGGCTAATATGTAAAATTTTCATGCGAGTAATGTGAAAATAGAACAACAGATGACAAAGGTGAATGGCTGGTCGTGAGTGGCCGACCGGAGGGAGGTTGACAAACGACTAGCCATTGAGGGATGGGGTTTTCAGCGAACACAGTTACTTCTCGAGAATTACTCACTGACCAATGGCTAATCGGTTCGGTTCCTGAAAAAGAACAATCTCTGTCTTCTATTCACTCTAGTGTGTGACATAGTGCCATGGTTCCGTTGAGGATTAGTAGCAATCGTAGTGCCTAAGTTGTCTTTCAAAGTGTTTGAATGTGGTCAGCACTGGGACCATTCTTTCAGAAAATGGTCAGTGAATCCAAAGGATGAGCGCTACTTGTTTCACAGTGCGAACTCTAGCGACGGCATCTATAAAAGACATTCATGACTAGCAGATGGTGGTCTGGGTAAAATAGACTCTCATCCACACCCTCAACGAGTAGAAGCGCGACAGCTTCCATAAGCACGTGGAAAATACCAGGCGTCTAAATAATGTTTGACCTTTCTTCTCTTCAGCGATGCTAACACCGAGTCCTGTGTTCAGTGTTTGCAACAATAGATCGGGAGCAGTGAATACTTCGATATTCTGCTCATATTCTTATTTCATATCCCTGCGGTCTATAATATTTCCTTTACATGGATTGTTTGGTGAGGTTAGCCAATAAATAGCTGGAGAACCTGGGTCCAAGTCTGAAGTTCCCGGGTCCAGAAGTTTAGCTTTTTGTCGGGTACGGGTCCATGTTTGGTGGACCCGCGGTTCCACTCTAATGTCGACAGATTCATGATCGACTTGATGAAAGTCATCGTGATGTTCTTTCTCGATGATCTCCGCAAGAACAAAGTCACTAATGTGTGTTATTTTTTATGCAATGATTTCTGTACGATTTCATTTTGTTAAAAGAATAAACAACGACAATAATCTCTTTTGTTTTGTCTTTAGAGTAAATTAATCGATGTTCGTTGGAATTATCTTCATGAGAATTTCAACTATGATCCCATGTTCATTACCAATGACATTACTTTCACTGCCTTCTCAAAGAAGTCTCTTTTCTTCTTCTTCTTCTTTCTAGATTTAAATCTTTCAATCGGAATCTATTCATCACACTTAAGAATCTCTCTTTTGTCTCTCAAATCTTCATCTGTATCGATTAATCACAGAATAAATTCTTCGACGAGATATATCAAACATGACTGATAGAGAATGGAGGAGATACTATGGATCAAGAATATTTCTAGTCATCATGCCAGGAGAAACAGTTCGATCGACTGTTCTGATGAACGCAAGTCAAAGTAGTGCCCTCTCGTATGAAATATCGAATGACGATGATTGGTGCATGTCAATATCAATGCCATTGTCTCACAGACAGAAACGGAGAGATGCATGACTTGAGTTGCAGTCAACATTTCTTGGGAAGTTATGAACTCATTTTCATCCTCGAATCATCAAGTCTCATTGTTGTGAATTTTATAATTCTTTCGAACAAATGAGGACCTTTATCTGTCCGGTAAGTTTCATAAATTCATTTTCTTCTAGGTATTTGTCGATCATTTTTGTGCGGTAGAAAACTTTGTTTATTTATTTATTTAATTCTTTTCTTTTATAGTAATGAGAGAATCATGAGTTGATGGATTTGATCTCTCGTTGCAATCTGATTTAGATTGGCTTCAAACTCGGAGCGAAATGAGAAACAATCGTTCCAATTAGATCGATGTCCACGTCGTGTTGTAATCCATAAATTGTAAGGATCATGGTGTGACCATAATCGTTACTGATGTGACTTCGAACATTGTGGTCTTTTTCAAAATATTTCACTTTATCATCGTTGCCAATTACTGTTGCAATATCATTGAAGCCAATCGAGTACTTTTTAAACGGATAACTGGTCAAACCTCTTCTGAGACAACTCTTTTCCTAATTGGAATTGGGCTTCATCCACCGTAGAGGTAAAAGACCCAGTACCCAGGTCGAATAATTCGGCCCACAGTCGACCAGTTCCAAGACCTTCCGGGGGTTGCATGGAAGCAGTATTCCGACGACCGAATCCTTTCATCGGATTTTAAAGGTTTTCTCAGAAATCAGCAAGAACCCGTCATAACCGATAGTCGGATACGGTTACCGGTTCCTTTAGTAGGATTTCGAGTCTTTTCTCGTGGTTTCCAGCGCGGAAACTATAAATATCTTGCGGATTTTCGCCGGAAATAAGCGGAATACTGCTTCCAGGAACGATCGTCCTGGGTAATGCTGAGTCCAGATTTGGCATGCAATATGCTAAAGCTGAATGAATAATTCCTTCCCAGTATATAAGAACTGGACCGTAGCATTTGATGGGCACATTGTTCTGTGTGCTCGAAGAAACCGCGACTGTTTTTTGATACTTCAAACGTAATTGTTCGACCAGTTTCTGAGGCAGAGCAAGTTCACGGCACCCGGTATCGACTTTGGTGCTCATGTTGATCATAGCGACTTAGTTGGCTGATAGTTTGCCTTCGGTCTTTAGCTGTTGTTCTTCTTCATTCATCAGGCACACTTGCATCTCCAACCACTCCTCATTGCCACCCATTTCTTCACTCATACTTTTAAGCTGAGAAGAGATCGCTAGAAATTATTAGATCACAGATCGAAGAACTTTTCTCTACTTTCTTGTTAGATATATATGAACTGGACAAATAATGTCTATATACAGTCGTGAATAACAATTTTTCCTTGCGAAAGGAAAGAGAAGAAGACCCCTGGATCAATGAAGAACACACGCACTGTACGCGTGATGACAATTCCAGGGTGGAAAATGATATAAGTTTGATATTTGTGCATGTCAGTTTACACATAGATGATCATTGAACCGATGAGAAACGAGAATCTCAAGATTATCCTCATCATTTATTCGATTATGATTTCTACCTAGTACATCGTGTTCTCTGCTATTCATTGAATTTGTTAACACGGCTTTCGTTAATTGATCTCTATTACGAACCGATCACCTTCTCCATCTTAGCTAAATCAATTCAAACTTTTTTTGGATGCCTTTTCCTTTTTATTTCATTCCGAAGCTCCACTAGCAAAAGTGGTGGACTCATTCGAAGGTTATACATAATCATCTGTCATAGTTTTCTCCACTGTTGTTGTCTCCAATAGTCATCTCTATTTTCCGCAGCCTAAGTCGTTCAGAATGGAATTGACATTCTCTCTCTATGACTCACAATTGTTGCCTTTTCATTGTGTTTTAAAGTTCATTCGAGGCTTTTACATCGTAAACAGATGGTTGAATTGACAGAGCCGTTAGCTTTTGTTTATCTTTATTTTCAGATTCATTTCTGTTTTTCTGCCGATCATATTTAAGCATGCAATCGGTCAGTCTTTCAGTAACGATCATCAATGAAAAGGATTGCTGCGCATCAGATGTTCACAATACTGATCTATCAACAGTCCGACATGTAACGTTGACAAGAGTTGCCTGGATTCGAGGAACTTTTCAAGTACTGATCAACAGCACGATGAGAGAACGTCTAGGACTTGAACTATCGACAATTGTGACTTCCGATTACTTGGCCTCAGAGTTCACCGAAATTGTTGCTTCTCGTGGTTCACATCCTCTTTGCAAAATGATTTATATCGTCAACCTTTTGACTGGTAACTTTTACATGACCAGCCCAACCTTTGTTGCTGATCTACCTGTTGATTTTGTGCTGGGAACAATGTATTTTGAATATTTTGATCGAGGCTTTCGGTCTGGTCGCCTTATCATTCTCAGTGAAGAAAGAGACAGAAGAAGACAACAAGAGGAAGAAGAATTACGTCGGCAAGCGTACAAGAATATTTTGTAAGCATCAACTCTCGGCCGCTCTATCGATACATAGGAGCCTCACCCATTCCATACGTGTGTATACGTTTGTTCAATTTAGATGTAAATGTGGGTCTTTGTCTGCGTAAGAAGTGATTAATGTCTGAAAGTTATATTCACTAGTTGTTGTTGTTTCTCCGTGATGTTTTTCTTGTCGGTTCCTGACACTATTGATGTCGAATGAAAGTCATTGTCGAATAAAAATATCAATTCATTAGTCTTTAGGAGTATTCTTCGAAAAGAAAAACTACGATAATTTTATTTTCATAAACAGAAGGAAACGTTGAACACCGATCACTGAATACATCTAACGAAACATATCAATCTCAATTTCATGAGCAGTTTTAGGAGAATTCTCACTAATCGTTCTGCGCCGAAAGAACATCGCCATAACCAACAATGTGTTAGACATTCGTAGCTTTGAATTTCGGTCTCAGCAAAATTTTGATTGAACAGACTTCGTCTGCACAGAAATCAATCCTAAGAAACTTCTTCGAGAAGGATGTCTTGATGTTCACATTCCACGGGTATGTATTAGCCATTATGCTGTTGCTGTTAATAAAATGGATGTGATGGACATTGTCAAGCAGAGCTGGACATCTCCGGCTCCTAGGAGCCGGCCTTTTTCAAACTGGAGCTGGAGCCGAAGTCGATGACGATTGTCGGCTCCAGATTTATCTCGTTCTGTTTACATTTTATAATTGTCTAGGGTGAGTGTTTTATTAAGATGAAAGAGAAAAACCTCGCGAACGCAGAAAGATATATGTATGCTTATTTCGTTTTGTATTTGTTATGATCTTCTCCCTCGACTACATTATTTTATCAGTGATAATTTATTACTGAATTGGTCATTTGATCATAGATATCATGTATTTACTCGTAATCAAATCTCTAGGCGTTTATAGTCTCCTCCTCAGGCTTCTGTAATCGCATTACCTTTGCTTTTACTGTTACTTAGTATCCTTGGAACTTCAAAAATATAGAAAATAAAAAGAAGAATTTTTTTTTCGTTTCGTAATTGGAGCCGAACTCGGAGCCGGAGCCGGGAGAGGCCGGAGCTGCCCAGCTCTACCTCGCAGTGGCACTTCACTCCTCATTTTGCCATATGAACCACTGCGGTGTTTGTCCATCTGGCGACAATACAAATTGAACAGTGCAGGGTTCTCTGAATGGATCTTTTCAACGGGGTTCTATATCATCCGTTCAATCAAACCAACAGCTGCCGTCCATTGTGCTGATATTCAATATGCTGTCAATGACAAAAATGAAAATCGAATGTGATTGATTCATAACAGTTCGCCAGAATCACGATTCATTTCGCTAGTTTGGTAATAGGAGTATGATCATAACCGAACTTCATTGTGAACAAAAATTAAGTCAATCCACATATGTAGAACTTTTTTGATATTGAGACACAAGAGTAAACAAGTTAATCTAGTCACGGATTCGTTTGGACTGATCAACAAGATATTCGAAATACACATATGGCTCCGCGAAGAGTTTAAACTCCAAACAACTTCGTCATCAGTTAGAATTAGTCTGTGCGTGTCGTGATTGTCCTGGTGAATCAAACAGCGTATTTTTTAACAAAACAAAGTGTGAATATTTGTGCGTGTTTTCCACTTTATTTCATTCTTCTTCCCTCGATAATGGCGCTTTCCTAAATGACACTAAATTTGATTCATCTTGAAGAAAAGCCAGTGAATACAAACGATGTTCGCATCACTAAGTTGTCTATCTAATCTAAATTTATAGATCGATTAAATAATGAGAATACATTGTTGATGTATTCATCTTGATCTCGCATTTGCCTTAGCCGATGAAAGCAATGTCAAATCAAACTAATCTTGAAGGTGTGAGGGTGGGTGTGGGTGCAAAGTTTAATGTCAGTATATTCGGAGTGACTGTGCGTTACAAAGGTCGAAATAAGCTACATATATAAATATCCTTTTGAAAAGTAACATTTTGGAGTTAAAGCATTATATTCCTCAATTAGCACGGCATTGCATTTGCTGAAGCTTTAGCCTATGGGAGAGATATCATAGAATAAAAGCGATCAAAATGCAAGGAATATTGATTTGTCGGCGTCCATGTGTATTATGATTTTCTAAAAGGAAAAGTACAGCTTCGTTTTTTGTGTATAATATCAAGTTATAAATTTTATTTCAAAAGAAAACCTAGCGAAAATTTTAATTTTTTCCTATAAAATAAAAGTCTTATTCATCCATATTTTTCGCACACATTGATCTTGGTGTATGGAACAAGGTATGACGCTGATTGTTTGATAAAATGGAATTTTCTTTCTTAATTTTTGAAATGTATTATTCATTTCATTACTTGTTAATTGACAATAATAATCAATTGAACAGATGAGTTTTCTCAATTGGAGAAAATTTTCCAAAAGGATATTTTTCAAATAAATGTAATCTTGAATTTGAATTAAATTCGCAAGAAATAAAGTAAACTGTTGAACATACGGAACAAATGATATAAGACAATTAAGAATATGTAATTGAGAAAGTTTTTCCACGAATTCAATTTTCAATATTCGTAGATTTTCATGAGAAAAATTTGTTAAATTATGAGAATAAGTTGTTGAAACATCACATATACAAATATTCAATTCAGTTAAATTGGGTAAAAAAGATAAAAGAATAATGAAATCTTTCGTTTGACAATTGGTTAAAATTAACCGACGAAGAGTTGATAAGCTTTGACAACAATTCAATGTTGCATTGAAATTTATTTCAAATAAATTACAAAAATCAAGTTTTGTAAATTGATTTTCCCCAAATAAAGATGTACACAACTGTTTTTGATCTTTTTCAGCTAAAATTCCAATCCATAGACGACGAAGTTTTGGCATTTGATTCGAATTAATTGATAAGACTTGTTTCGTTGTTGGAAGATAAATGATCAATGAACGAAGATTTGGAAATATATTCAAATTTAAGAACGGATGTCGATCTATATGGATATATTGAATTTGTTTCGCAAAGAAAGTAAGTGCTTGAAGTAGATGTTGATTGTTTGACTCATTTTGATGAATATCAACACCTAATTGAAGAGAACGTAAAAGAAAATTGAATCGATAATTTAAATTTGTAAATGCATTGAATAAATCAATGAGTGGAATGTATTGAAATATTTCAATAAGAACTTCATCCGGTAATAATTCCAATCGACTTAAAAGAAAAAAGTATTGTCTTCGATCAAGAACATTTGAATTGAAATCTTTCGAATGATGTGTCTTTCGATGTACACAACTTGTTAATTTACGCAGTAAATGTGGCATAAAGTACAATCTGAATAAACGAAAACGAAAAATTCATGTGATACATATCTTTTTATTCAGTATATCACATGATTGTGTATTCTTATCTATTCAAAAGAAAGATTCTTTTATCATTACTTAACATTACACATTCTTCGCCTTTAACATCGCCAATTGTCTCAACATACCATGATGATTTCAACGAAAATATTTCTCATCTATCAAATATTCAATAACGAAACAAAAGGAATGTAAAAGTCTTTTTTCCTACACATATTTAACCTTTTCATTAAATCGAACGCAAATGTTTTAGGTGTTCATTGAATTTCTAGATGACAGAGTCATCTACGTTTCACGTCTCTTTCATCGAATTATTTCTTGAGTTCAATTTTTCGATTTTTACAAAGGAAAAAATTGTCTGAAACGAAAAACTAAATTGTTTCAATAATACAATCACCAAATAGAACCCAATTTCATTGGTCAATAGTATCATCATCAAAGAAGAAGATGAATCTTTCATTTTGTTGAATTAAATAAGTTAAAGAACACGATGACGAAGAATATCAACATTCGAAATGCAAGTTTTTATTGTATTTATACTCGAAATCATAGTGAGAGTGGAACATTTCAAGGAATAATCGATGATCTATCACGGTTAGTTGACAATTTCATTAAATTACCTTTAATGTAAACATGTAGAATTGCTCAAATGGGAATTGATTTCGTTTGGTTACTTCCAATTCATCCCGTTGGAAAAACCAATCGTAAAGGAACACTTGGTTCACCNAACATTCGAAATGCAAGTTTTTATTGTATTTATACTCGAAATCATAGTGAGAGTGGAACATTTCAAGGAATAATCGATGATCTATCACGGTTAGTTGACAATTTCATTAAATTACCTTTAATGTAAACATGTAGAATTGCTCAAATGGGAATTGATTTCGTTTGGTTACTTCCAATTCATCCCGTTGGAAAAACCAATCGTAAAGGAACACTTGGTTCACCATATTCAATTGATAATTTCCGTGAAATCAATCCTGAACATGGGAATTTAGATGATTTTTGTCGTCTTGTATCTGAAGTTCATCGTCATGGAATGCGTTTGATGATCGATATTGTCTTTCGACATACAAGTCACGATTGTCCATGGGCAACACAACATCCTGAATGGTATCTGAGAGATGAAAGTGTTCGTATCCATTTCGAGTTTCGTTCTGAATTTTATTCGAAGTTTTCTTTTAGGGAAAACCAATTGCACTCGTACCTGAATGGTCGGACATCTTAGATTTAAAATTCGAAGGCAATGAAAAAACCTTATGGAAAGAGTTGATTGACATTTTGAAATATTGGTGCGAATTAGGTGTTGATGGATTTCGAATGGATGTGGCATCCGGTGTTACAATGGATTTTTGGTTCGTATTTTCATTGATTTGTAACAAGATTTGCTAATTTATATTTTAGGCGTCAAGCACGAAAAGAAGTGTTAGCTGAATATCCGAATAATATTTGGTTAGCTGAATCGACTCGATTGCCATACATCGAAGATCATCGTGTTAAACGTGAATTAGTAAATACAGATAATGAGTTATACGAAGTATTTGATATTTGTTATGATTATGATATCTATGGAGCATGGCGTGCAACAACAGCGAATGCCATTCCAGTCAAATCTTATCTGGAAATGATTCGATTACAATCAACAATTTATCGAAAAGATTTTATAAAATTACGATTTCTTGAAAATCACGATCAACAACGCGTTTCACATATCTTTCGAGAAAATCGTTCAAAAGCATTGGCATGGACAAGTTTCAGTTCATTTTTAAAAGGATGTTTTCTTATTCATGCAGGTCAAGAAACTGAACAAACGAAAACTTCATCATTATTTGAAAAAGATTGGAATGATTGTAAAAATATGTATTCATTACAAAATTATTTTCAAGAATTAATTCAAATAAAAAACAATCCAATTATTCATTCAAACGATTCGAAGTAAGAATGAAATTGATTTCTAATGNTGGCATGGACAAGTTTCAGTTCATTTTTAAAAGGATGTTTTCTTATTCATGCAGGTCAAGAAACTGAACAAACGAAAACTTCATCATTATTTGAAAAAGATTGGAATGATTGTAAAAATATGTATTCATTACAAAATTATTTTCAAGAATTAATTCAAATAAAAAACAATCCAATTATTCATTCAAACGATTCGAAGTAAGAATGAAATTGATTTCTAATGAAATCATTCACTAGAAATTTAGTTTTTTTATTACGGAACATCATCCATGTATTGTCATAATCTGGGAAAATGAAAATAATCGTGAAGGTCTCATTGGAATATTTAATGTTTCAAAAACAAATGAACAATTTATTCGAATTCAAGATTTACCTGATGGAAAATATGAAAATCTTTTATCAAATCCAAAGATTAAAGATATAATCCAATATGATTATCCAACAATCAATGTAACAAACAATGGAAATATATTAATTCCACCTGTTGCTTGTATTCTTCACTATTCTGGTTTTGTTCTTCGACCAAAGATGTTTTATAGTGAATTATTTGATTTCAATTATAAAGGAATGTAATTTCATTCGTATTTAGTCCAGCTATTCAAATTTAATAAAGATGTCCTTTTTTTAAACACAGAATTTGAAAATAGAACGATTTCTTTTCTTCTTTGATAGAGAATCAAACTTAATAGAAGTTTTCATAAAGATTGGAACTGAATATATTCTCATACTGATTTATTCCAATGTGAATCGTACAAACTTAAAAATGAGAAAAGAATTTTGAAATCTTTACAAATAAAATTAAACTGTTGAATTGTTTGTATTGATTTTTGCCAGAAGATATTCCAATTGCTGAATTTTTTTATCTTTTTCTTTAATAATATCTTCACATCGATCTAATTTTCCTTGAAGAAGATCGATTTCTTTCTCTTTGATTTTAACAATTTCATCATTAGATATCGATGAATTCTCTTCTTTTTCTTCGTGAAAATTCATTTGAACAGGTTTAATTCCTTTTCGTCTTGGAATTCTTGGTGTTGTTAACATAATCTGTGGTAATTCAACAGGTTGAACATTCAATGGAGCAAATCTCACTCGAGGAAATCGAACTTTTTTTCCTTGTTCTCTTAAATTTTCATCGATTTTCTCCCGTAAATATAATAAAAATAATTCGATAACTCGCACATCTCCATGAATAATTTCATGTACGACAGTTCCTGGCGCATGTAAACCCAATTTTGGTAAAACATCACATTTTAATAATCGCCAATTCTTTGTTCGTTGAGACATATTTCGTGCAGAATAAAATAAATCCAAATCGATATATTCCGGAAAGAAGAATGAAATAATTTCTGCAATAATAACTCCATCACAAAAATCTGTATCAAAATCATGTATGGAATGCGATAATGGAATTGTACGAAGCCATGTTAATAAATCACAATTACTTGATCGATAAATTTCTTCGGAATGATTTTCATTCGATGTGTCATCATCTAAATCTGCCATTTTCATATGATTTGATAAACACGTTTTCAAACAAAACAATTTTTCTCGCGTCGAGAAACACAACTAAGTTAAACTGTTAAATTTTGTTTTGTTTTACCTGAAAAATATTTTGAAAATGATCAAACATTTCATTGCTCGATCATAGTGAAATTTCTTTTAGTCAAAAAAAAAAACAATTGTAACCAAGTTTTTTTTTCTCTCTTTAATTTAAAATAAGCTGAAGAAGAAAAACAATGATTGAATTATTAATAGAGATCCTTTAAAGCAAATTAATTTCACATGAGACGTCACGCCTTGGGTTTCTTTTTGATTCGCGAATCAAATGAAGGAGGAAAGTTATTTGATTTTTATTCATGTTCTATATGACAAGAATCAATTCGAATGATTATATCTTTCGATGATACGTTAATATCACATGCTTGATTTTTGTTGTTGTCGTCAGGTACATTGTAAGGGAAAGCGTGTGCATTGAAGCACAACTATATACGACGATTAATACAGAACGACTTCAAAATATATTGATCGATATTGTACATCGATGGGTTCAACAAATCCGTCATCTCCTCGGTTATCTGTGTCAAATTCTCATCCAGTCGATATTGCACCACCTGAATTAATCGAAGTACCACCTGATGTTCTTTCACGAATACAAGATGGAGAAGAAAAACCGACTGAAACGACAACAATACTCAGACGATGTTGGATATGGTTAAAGATCTTTATAAAAAAATGTCATGGATTACATGAACAACGACCGAAACGTTTACCATGGCATGAATATATTTGGAGTTTTCTCGGGGCGTTATTAGGTATTGCAACTGTTTCACTACTTCATTTTCGTTTATTACAAAAGTAAATATTCAAATTCTAAGAAATTATTTTTGAAAGAAATCTTTACTATTTTCAGACATGAATTATTATTTTTAATTGGTTCTTTTGGTGCATCTGCTGTTTTAATATTTGGTGCGCCACGTTCTCCGCTTGCTCAACCACGAAGTTTAATTGGTGGTCATGTTATAAGTGCGATTTGTGGTTGTGTAGTACGCGTAGCGATCGACCGATTTGAACATTCAATAGCATGTGTGTGACGATTTTTTGATGGAAGAGATGTATGCGCTGATGGAACTACGCTTATTTATTTCTTCCTCATCAATCGCATCGTTCTGATACAAGACACGCGTTTATATACTCGTCCACAGAGAAGAGAACGCAAGAATCTATCATATCGAAGTACATCAAAATGGACTGAGATAAGGACATAATACGGATAATCCATTAGATGAGGAAAATCGTATCACGCGTACAACGCACGTCAGAGAGATTGTCACACTCCCAGACCGAAATTGGACGCTCTCCCGAGCGTCCGTAACATCAAATGAGAAAGAGGAAAAAACCGACCAAAAATATGACAGAAGATAAATAAACGATGTATCAGTACAGAACGATATTATGAAGTGTAAGATAGGGAGAAAAAGGATAAAAAGGGAAAGAAACACATTTATGAAGAACAGTCAAATGGAGGTGAAACCATGATGTTGTGGAAACCAAACACCAAACAGGAGAAGGGGTACACTTCCACTGAAACTACTCAAATGAATCTGCTAACACTCAGTTCATTGAGGAGGTGAAAGTCCCAAAAACAACGCAGCAACACCAGCAAATTTGATAGTCGCAATTAGTAGTAAACGCTTGAATGATGATGTTAAGTTGAACAAAATAAGAAGACAAAGAGAATGAGCGAAGTGCCGAGCAATGGAGTAAGTTGAGACCCAACAGCGTAGCATGTTCGTACAGATGTTATAAGGTAGTGCGTTGGTAGGACGCACCATCGGCCCGGGTCTAGCCGCCTTGTAGTACGTACGCTGACAATCTACAATACTACTGCCACCCATCAGGAGTACTGTTGTCCCTCCATTACCACAAATCGTCCGACAATCCGAACATAATCCATATCATTAGGTTATTTCATTGTTGTTAAGAACAATTGGCGATGTAGGGGTAAGAATGAGGGTCAGGCTGATGGTGTTTGACTTCAATATCAGAAGAAGAAGATCGAGTAGACAGGGTCGCCATTTGTGACGATTTCTGATGGAAGAGATGATATGTAGTTGATGTGTCTTTTATTTAATCCAAAGAAATCGCCTCGATACTGTATTTTCCTCATCCTTTTATAGTTCTCGGTAAATACAGTATCGCGTTACAGAAAACATCAAGCTTTATAGGTAGTCTCTAAAATCTAGTTTGATGTCACACTGGGAATAAGATAAAAGTATAATATCCAGGTCTAACTAAAAGTAAACACAAAAATATAATATCAATGTCTAACTAGAGATAAACATAAAAGTGTAATATCTAGGGCTAACTAAAGATAAACATAAAAGTATAATATCGATGTCACACTGTAGGTCAAGATAAAAGTATAGTATCGATGTCACATTAGAGGTAGAGATAGATGTGTCAACAATATCTCTCTATAAAGTGCATCGGCTAAGAGGCTAATATTTGAGCGCAAGCAGGAGGGAAGAAATGAGATAATTGTTGTGTATAGAAAGAGGAAGAAGATGAGAGATGAAGAGAGAATGAGGGAAGAGGAAAGAAACGTATAGCAAGGTCATCATCAGTGCTTAAGGAAAAAGAAGAAGTGTACAATCATAGATTGTCACAATGTGCTTTAGCTGTTGCTATTGCTATAGTAGTGATGCAGTTTACCGAAACAACTCATCCACCTGGTGGAGCAAGTGCATTACTTGCTGTTACAACTCAACCTGTTCTTCCGGGAGCACATTTTTTATTTATTATCATGCCCGTTCTGACTGGTTCTCTGGCAATGTTAATAATTGCATTAATCGTCAATAACTTAGCGCCAAAAAGAACCTATCCGACCTTTTGGTGGTGATTTCCTTTCACAATGAATAAAACTTCAGCTAGTCTTAAGTTGAATCCGTAATTTGATGTAATGCACAAACTGTATTTAGTTGAAAGTGAGAGTGTTAGTGATGCTGTTTCCATTGGGATTGAGAATACCAGAAAGAGTTGAATAGATCGATTATATGATGATAGACATCATTAATTGCATTGGATTGTAGAAATACATAGTTGAATCTATTATCTCAATCACGGAATAAGTTTTACCGTTTAAATTTACCACTATTAGCACATAAATAATGACAAACGTTGTCTTCTGTTAAATGTAATCAAATAGATCATTACTCTTTTCGATTAAGACGTGTAAGTAATGGACAATTAACGACATCTATATCGATTTTGATAAGTGGATCAAAAACAATGTTGATCATATGTTTGTATCCAATTCTTAGAGAATTCTTTCTTTCCCAATAATTTATCTTTTACTAAATTTTCATTCAAAATATAGTATATTACATAACCTTCAAATGTTAAAGTTCATATTTCTTAGCTATTACCTATTATTTCGTCACAAATCATTCGTCCATGTCTATTTGATAAAACTGTTCAATAAAAAACAAAATTATATCTTTTATTTATTTTACATTTCTTCTTTTTTTCCTAGATGGAATTAAGAAAACGATCATTGAACAAAGATGATCAAAGTTTTCCTCCAAAATCCCCGTTAAAAAAACTTAAAAAAGACTTCTCACAACAACAGAGTCATATTGAAGACTTATGCGGTGAAATTTGGTTTGAAATCTTCATATATTTCGATGGTTATTCATTAATTCATTCGTTTTCGAATTTAAATTCTTCAATTGACTCTCTATTGAGTGATTACCGTCTTCCAATACATTACAATGTCTTTAATTCGAATTTTCATCTTCCAACTCCATTGAATTACAATCAAATTGTATCTCTTCACATCGATTATTCTTCGATCAACAAAAATTATTTAATTGATTTGAATTTATTTGTTCGTCTTCGTTCGCTTAGTTTGTTTTATATCAATGAAGAACAATTGGTAAAATTAACTGAAAATCCGTTAACGAATCTTTGCCAAATCTCAGTTCGATCTAAGTTAACGAAATTTCTTCTCAAGTTCATTTTAATTTATTTTCCTCAAGTGAAACGAGTGAAATTGAATTCAATGGGAAAAGAATATCTTCTCAAATCATTTCCTCACAATCCAATTCCGAATACAATCGAATATTTAACTCTTCAAGGAAGAATTAAACTCGCCAAACTTTTTCGTCTTTGGCCTCATGTAAATTTTCTCATTGAAATATATTTCCATTCGAATGTTTTACTTTAGGTTCCAAATCTTCATTCATTTTCTATGCTTGATGAAGGCATTCATCAATGTGATTATTGGATCGATGAAAAACTCATTTCTCGACAAAATTTTCCTCAAAATTTATCGATTTTGCATTTGACAATCGGTGATGATGATTTGAGTTTTTGCAATTTCGAACGTTTGATTCCGAAGACAACTCGTTATTTGACTGTGAGTGGTTCAATAGCAGATGATGATTTTGCTGAATATTTATCGTCAAACAATTGGATTCGATTAATGTCGAATTGTTCATCGGGACTTCAACGTATTAAACTTGATTTAACGTCTTATTTTGATCCAAATGATTCATCCGGTTTACAAAAAACTTTATTAAAATTTCGAAAAAATCCGTTTTTCCGTCACACAACGATTCAGAGTAAAAACTTTTTTCTAACTCTTAAGGGATTTCTCGTACGAGATATTTCATTGTGAATTATTTGTACACTTTTTTTTTGCAACGATGTCAAATGAAAACAAACGAAAGATTTTCTTTGTTTAAGAACATAATACGAAATGATTTATTCTTTTGTAGATTATGGAAGGAAATACTATCGAGACTAAGTCAAATTCATCAGAACATGAAACTAAACAATTGAAACGTCCGAATGGAAATAAATCTGATTTGAATGGAACAAATAAACGAATACGATTAGAAAATATGGTTTTTTATGATAGAAAACGTCATCCTGCTGCTTTACTTCATGAACTCCATCCAGAAATCTCATTTGATAAATATGTTTTCGAACAAGAAGAAACTCCAACGAAACGACCGCGTTTTCGTTGTCTATTAACTATCGACACCGATGTTTCTGACCCAATTCGCATCATTGGTTTTGGTAAATCAAAACAATCAGCTAAAAACATGGCTGCACAGGTTTAAAATTCCTTGTAATTCACTCCCGAACGAACATTATTTTATTTTTCAGCGCGCTTTAATCCAATTATATCCTACTTATCGTCCACCAGCAGAAGAAATTCTCACTGAAGATGTTGATATTCATCAACAGAAACGATTTGTTACAACCAATCCATTATCATTAGAAAATGATCCAACAATTTTACTTGATTGTATTCGTAAACATTTAACAGTGAAATCAATTGCCATCAAGACTCCTATACAATTATTTCATGAATTATTTATTAATAATTCACGTTTAAATTCTTCAACAAGTTCGAAAAATCGAATTGAATTAATCCAAAATGACGAACAACTTGTTCTTGTTCGTGTTACAGCGATGGATCAAGAGTTTTGGAGTGTTAATTCATCAAAAAGTGTTGCACAAAATGACGCATGTCAATTAGCTATCGAATCAATTTGCAATATTTCTTTTCGTCAAGCAAAAGGTATTGAACGTTTTATTCAACAATTTCAAATTCAAAATTTGATTTTTCTCATTGAATTTAGATGAATTTATTCGTGCATTTCGATCATTGAATAAAATTACATTACCAACGGAAATTCCGATGGATACGACGAATAATAATCTTATTGAAGAAGGATTATCAAGTACAACAGAACTTGCAGATCTTCCGGATGTTTCATCATCGTTTTCACAACCACCTGATGAAAATTAAATTCATTTTCTTTATTCAAGATTCGCAAATGCGAATGTTTTCTTTTAGATCTTTTTGATTATTTGTTCAATTTTCTTCTCGTTCTAAATTTAATTGTATATTTATAATAAAAAATTATCTGATGTTTTAGTCAATATTGGGTGACAGGTTATAGAAAAACTAATTTATAATTAAATTCATCACACATTTGTCAATAGATGGAAAGAAAGAATCTCTGTCTGAATATTTATTCGTTATCAATCCGATTCTCAAAACTAAAATTCCATTCAAAACAGAAGTTGTAGGATATCCTCATCTTTTATGATAAGTTTTAACAAATCAATACATCTTTTATAAAAATAGAAGAATTTGTGGAATTAACATTCGCGAAAGTTGTTGTTCAAAAAGTCGTGATCGATATACTTCTTGATTTGACGACGTATTTTGATGAATACATTGGATATTTTTGTAGATTTTATATCCAAATACAGAAAGTATAAGAAGTGACACGAAAGAAAACATGATTGGAATGAGAAAATATGATGCGTATTGTAAATATATTTCAATATTGACACATTAATTAAGATCAGGAATTGTCAGAAAAAAACAACATAGTATAACAATCAGAACTGTAATCTTTGCGACTTTTATCAAACTCCATTGTCTTAAATTAATCCGTAATAATAAATATAAACATCGATCAATAGAAGCTAAACAAAGTGTTAAAATCGATATTAGATTTGTAATATCCGACACCCAATTGATCACTTTACATCAAATAAGATTCGATTCAGTTCCTTTTTTTCCATAGGTAAGACCAACAATCGTAGGTAAAACATAAATAAGAAGAGTTGAACTATTACTTGTTTCAACGACAAGAAGATGAAATAAACAAACACTATTTTTTTTATCTTTTTCACAAACATTAGAATGTTAAGAGCATTATCAAAAAGATCTTATATAAGAATAACACAATAACCATAAATATCGATGTGAATGTTGATGTAACTGAGAGTATCGACGAAAGATATTTCTTCTTACTAAAAAATACCATATGGAAAGATCAATTGAATCTCTTTGTTATTCTTATTTAAAATCTTATTGGAAAACAATAATTAATGAAGATTTTTTCCAAAATGAATTTCTCTTTGCTCTGGCAGATGTTATATTTCAGTTGATGAATTCTTTTTATCTGTACTTGTACAAGAACAAACTTAAGAGATCTTCAAATGTTGTTCAACATCGACGTAGGATATCTGAAAGCATTGATTGACAATCTTGAAGAAAATTATCTAATCTTAATAGTTCGCATCTCTTTTGAAATGATACGATAAATATAATAGAAAGAAAATGTTGGACGAGTAAAAACTTGCATAATAAATCTTTGATATTCATGTGGGATTTGACAGATATAATCGTTAATCGAATTATGTGCAAAACAAATTAAATAGAATTTATTGAAAAATATTTTGACATAAAAGTCTTAATTATTATCAAGTTTTTTTGACTTAACGATCATCTTTCACGGAGCCAAAGAGTTTTACACAGAATAAGTAGACAAAAGTGCATTTATCACTTTTTAAAACATGTCATTCACAAGAATAACTGAGAATATTCTAAGAAATATATTTATCACATTTATCTTTTATATCTTTATAATGCGAATGAGAATATCTATTCGTATTTTAACGATCAATAAACTCACATTGATATCTTTAGAGTGATTTTCTAAGAAATGATTGTGAGTAAAATGTACTGTAGAATAAATAATCAACTGTATTTTTATTGATCAAATCTATCAAATGAAACTAATGAAATTGATATTCGAATTCAATTGTTTTTTTTTCGAGGTTAACAATAATTGTTTTTTTCTTTGTTATTTCACGGCAGTTAATGAATCAAAATCATTATTTTAGTATATAAAAAAAATAGTAATCCAGAATAATCTTTGAATTTTAAAAAGATTTTATCGAATTGTGTCATAATGCTATCCCATCGAAGATCTTTAGAAAAATAGATGTGTCTTTCCTCAGACAGTTGGATGTTTTAAGTGAATTGAATTAATAATCTGGAAATTCCGAAAAATAACCTCAAAGACAATGCACATAATAAACATTCAGACTTTGATGAACAACATATTACGATTGTTTTCATTGAATATGTCGTGTGAACGAGTATAAATCGGATTTTCTTGAGTAATGTTTGCATCTCGGATTAAATTCAGTTAGTTGTCAGGCAAACAGTTAATAAAGTTATCGAATTCATCGAATTTCATCAATAGATAATAGGACTTTAGATCTAGATATCCGATAGAATGATATTATGACAATTCTAATGAGACCATGAACAAGTTGGCATTAATTTAATCATTATTAACTAAAGTATCGTAGGTGTGAATATTTCAATTATGAAGGTTTTTGATAAACAACCGTTTCAATAGCATTTGCTTCTCTATACTAAAATCACAATTTTTCTCAAATAACCGACCATTATTTGTACAAAAAAAAACTAAGATTAAATAAGATATTTGATATGAAAAGTTCAGAATAACACCACTATTATATCACCAGCAATGAATTACATTGGTTAAATCTACAAAAAACTAGTTAGTCTTCATTGAAATCGACCTGTAATTCTATGAATATGTTTCCGTCTTGGACAAATTTTGAATTATTTTGAACTAATTTATCCATTGTGCAAAATTGTGGGATTTCATATGGTATATTTGTAGGATTCTTCGGACTTTGAAAGATAGACGATTGTGGATCGCCATCAGGAATAATTGAGTGAGATATGTGTTTTTGTTCACCAGATAAATCCATCAAACTGATCTTAATCGGATAAGGAAATGGCCAGGTCAAGATTGGATCGAATTCTCCACGACAAATAACCCAAGAAACGTGCATCGATGGAGTTTTGCTATGTTCATGAATCTTTGAAGTGACAATCATAGCGAATCTATAGCCAAACTTTGAGGTTTGAATAGGACCAGAATTCACGGGTATTGAATCATCATTCAATATAACCAACAAAGCCACCTTGAGGACATATGTATTATTCATAGTTATTGTGTGAGCACTGGAACTTCTTTTCTCTTGAATATTTTTATTTAATTGATACATTTCATTGAAAATTTGTTGAATAATTTCAATTATCTTGAAAATATTCGTGAGTAATTCGTTAAATTTCTTGAAATTGTCCCGCAATTCTGTCAATTTTGCTTCTGTTAGTTGTTGTTTAGAGCTGAGATCAGTTCGATCAGTATTTAGCAGTAGTATTTCCTGCATGACCGTCTTTATTCTTCGATCGCATTCTTCCAAAAACTGTTTTTCTTGTTCTTGGATTTGTTTTTGTGCAGCAAAATTGTTGCAACCCTTATTGAAAAGAAGACACAAATGCTCTACGGCAGCTATCAGAGCATACTGATGTTGCTTTGACAAATGGTGTGTTGAAATTTCCGAATGTGGAATCTATTTATGCAAAATAAAAGGAAAGTTAGATCTCGAAATTAGTTAATTAACACATTCATGATTTTAGTTTACTTCTTTAGAACATCCATATTCTACCAGTATACAAGAGAACGTGCGATGGATACAGCGGTATCTCTTGTGAGATTCCAGCTGACTTTCAGTGACAAAACCTTGATGGCAAGGTTTGCACCACTGGGTATTATGTATTTGAAGATGCTCCTGAAAGGTTTTGTATTTAAAGACAAGAGTATAGTTTTCTTAGTTTATCATACTCTTGAATCCTTCAAAAAACCTCTCCAGTTTGAGCCGCATACAAAACAATTTATTTCTTTTCTGTCGACATCACGTTTATGTCCCGAATCAGCAAAACTCTAAATATTGGTGTAAACGTTAAATTTAATCGATTGAAACTACTTAATTGCCCATACTTCGAGGTCTGGAGAGGAACAAAGCGGACACGCGCATTTGGTTTCTCTAAAAGGATTCAGTCATATCATAAACCTATTCATATGAGTCCTTCAATCAGTAATACTTCAAGTTCTTGCAACAGTCTTGACAGGCTCGCCGCCCGCAGCAAGCTAATTGATGTGGCGGATAAAGAGGCCATCTGCATAGTGGACATGTCAACTCTTCATAGTCCTGTTCCGTCCAGTACTCAATATCCTTCTTATCTGTTCCATTTGACATTCGATCGACTGTACGCAACAAAAGAAAAGGGTCATGTAATCTTTTTTATACTTGACGGTTAGAAATTTCTTTCTTCCACACCTTCAAAGGGAACAAACCCTTTTAAGGCAACACTGCAGCCATTGAAAACTGAAAGTGGATATGGGTGAAGATGGGCCAGGGTGTGGATGAAGAGGGTGCAGGTGCGGTTGGAGTGAAAGTCTGTGTGCGGAGACGTGCTTCATTTGGAACGATCCGCCTACTCAAAGACGTGTTTTATTCGAATACAAAAAGTGCTTTATATTCTTATTTAGCTTTGTTGGCCGGTACCGGTTACAGCGATCGTACGATCAATGGATTTCAGACGCTCCCAACCAGCGTCACTGACACTCGCACAAATAGATACATATGGTGTCTATATGTGTCACATACTTTTGATAAACCCTCACTCATTTAGATCTATGTGAAGCAACTCTGGAGCAGACCTAGAGCAACTTCACAAGAAGAAACGATAGTTTATTCGATCTTTGAGACGAACAGTGCCTTCGTATCAGACAACAGGAACAGAACTGAACTAATCAAAGTCAATATACGTATATGATGTGAATCAAACGAGAGAGAGAGAAGGCGGCAAAAAACAGAAAACGAAACGAGTAACAGTATGATCCATCACAGTCTATTTCAAACACGATTCATCCGCACTATCACTCCTGTTGCTAACACCTAGTTTGCATTGTACCTCTTGAAGTCTACAGTATCAGAAACCGATGAAATATTCTCTAAGATCATTACTAAGAGCAGAACTATTAGGAGCATTGTTTCCAAGGAAATGAGCTCTCGAACTGTGCAGCTCCTTTATAAGTGACGTTTATGATTTGGAAATCGTCTTATACATAAGCGGTCTTGCGAATCATCCAAAAGTCTGTGAGATATATTGTAAAATAGAAGTGATGCTGTTGAATCTTCTAGTCCTACCTAAGAGTTTACCCTGATGCGTTGAGAAACTATGTTATAAGAATACTATCTATCGCTATGCTAAAAGATCTAAGGACCACTTCTACACAGACTTAAAGGATGTACGGATATCCTTTGGTTCTATCTTCCACCTCAGTCAACGGCAAGAATCTATAGGCACTTCATTCAACGCTATGTCAAATATACAATGTCTCTTTTGCATCGAAATTAGTTTCGTCGTAATTCCACTCATTTTAAATGATTAACTCAAAAGATTCCCTGATATTGAATATGTGTACCGCCACTGGTAGTGTATTGAACATAAAATGCATCTATGTTGCTGTTTAATTATACATCATACAACTGAAACTGAAATCTAACTCTTAAGTATAGTAATTATAAATAACACTCATCGGAAAAAGAACAAACTTGATTTGCGACTGAACAGTGATCATAAACTAAGATTCTATTTCATGCTCTTGAAAGTATCAATCATGACGAAACAAATTCATACTCTCTATTGTTTCTTTTTAATACCAATGGCATCACCCTCACCCTCAGGGCAATATGTTGAAAACTTTTGTGGTCAACTCGTGACGATTAATGATGAGCAGTTGATCGCCCATTAACGTTTTCCTAGAGCGTCACTCTCGAAAAGCGAACTTCAAGTACAGATGAACAGTTCCAACACTGACATTAACGCTTTTTAACCCAAAATTGAGGTTATCTACACTCGGAGTTGCTCATCTTTGATTTCCAGTGCTCACCTAAGACTGTCGAGGAGATCTGGATAACTTCACCTTAATTTTAAAACACTCTAATTGAATCTATATATCTGTATAAAATGTATCTGAACAGCGCACTGTGTGAACTGTCTCTTTTCTTCTAGAAAATACTCTATCAAAAAGTAAATTCAAATAATTTTTATACAATCATCTTTCATCTCTAAATATTTAGCTTCGCCGTACTAAAGATTATGCTCGTACTCAAAACGTATCACTTAAATACTCTCTTTCTGTTTTCTAGTAAGGAATATTATCGCATTTTTAGAATTTTCCAACATAGAAATAACACGACAGACAAACAACTCCTAATAAACGGTCCATATAAACGCAATAACAGATGCTGTCACTTGCTTAACTCATTATATTTGACACAGAAGTTACTATTCACAAAAAATATTTTGTCTTATTTAGGATGACCAGTTTATTATAAATCATAAATCTACTGATCGTCCTTGCATGACAGAATATTTTTTGCTCTGTTCTTTTGTAAACTCATCATCAAAATAAGTTTTTCACAAGATATATACCCATAAAAATATGAATTTGATAAAAATAGACAATATAAGTCTAAAAAAAGGAACTAGACTCACTTCCGATGATGTTGGACGTACCCACGACACGATCACGAACAAATGCAAACCAAACCATTTTGTTTTTTTTTTGTAATTTTTATGACTCATGGTTGGGAATTCCCAAGTTTCTCATTTTACAACGTATATATCGTTGCTCTTTCTTTTCAATATTATACAATTTCATCTATTTTGATTATCCGTAATACCGTAGATAGAAGAGTTCAATATTCTTGTTCATTTCAAACAAGAAATCTAACGTTCAAACCAATATGTTTTATACCATATGCAAAAAAAAAACCCAAGTTTTGTCAATATTACCAAAGTCAAATAAATTTCATCTTTATTTGATCAGACAAGGTCTAATTATGTTATAATTGCAAAGAGCATTTTATTTCATTTACATGTCAAATGAAATGACAATCAAAGAATCATCTGTTTTCGAATATTACTTATCAATAGAAAGTCTTATTTTAGCAATAAGTTATCCAAGTTCTTCGACAGAATGAATAAATCATACTTTCAATTCACACATAAAAGTATTGTGAATAACAAAATAACACCACTTGTCCTTGTCTGGAGTCGAAAGTGAATATATAATTATTATAAAGATATAAATGTCACAGAACGATCAAGAAGAGCAAACTTTAACTATGAGTCAACATTAATGTTTGCATCAAAGATGGTACCGTACGTCTTTTCATTTAGAATCTCATTTTGCAGAATATTCTTAAATTAAAAGAAATTAATCTTTCGTCTCTTTACATCTCAAGTAAACACAGAAATGTTTTAGAGATTATATGCGTGTTTGGTTCCATCAATTGATCAAATATTGACTTTCATCGAAGATAAATGCGAAATATCGAAGAAAGTGACTAATTGAGCAAATTCGAATGCTTTTTTTTCGCCTAATGTAAAAATATCCACGAAAAACAAAATCAGATAATAATGTCTGATAAACAGTTTTTTTTCTGTTCTGCGTCTTTCGACGAACAAATTCATATTTGAAGTTATGCTGTACTTCCAAAAGTAAGCATTTCTATCGTTGTTTTATCAGACTGTCGAGAATATTTCTGTTCTCTCTCTGCGAATTGTTTATCAATGATGAAAAATAATCTTTATTATACATCAGAAACCATTCGATTCATAAATTTTTCAAATCCGACAAAGAAACATTTAATAGCATTATTAAACTTGTTAAAATACTTTTCTAGATCGATGGAAAGATCGATATGAACTTGTCAGCACTTAAAAGCGTTTTGAGATGTGGTGAAAATACGAGACTGACAATAATTGAAAAACATAAACTTGATAGCATCTCTCTTTGAATCAATTCTGTCTATCATATTTTAATATTCGATATTTCTTCATCATCTCTTTCACATATATGACAATTTTCCTCATAATGAATTTATCGTTCTCGTTTATAGAACAAGATGAGAGACTTTGTGTCACCAATGTTTTCTACTAGAATTTCATTGTGCATCTTTAATACAAATATAAAATAGAAATTTGTTAACTAATAGAAAAGCGCTTTAATTATTTCGATAAAAGAGATGTCGAGAAAATTCTTATCGATTTCCATTTATTTATTTTTCTTTTCCACAATTGATAAATGGAAAATAATTTGTTACCCATCGGTGAATACCAGTGAAGATACATCATCTAAAGATTCCCATTATGTAATATTAGATAGTGAAAGTGAGAAATTACTCGATGATATTAATGATGCCATTAATGATAATGATGATCAACAAGTTGTTCATGAAACATCAGAAAATCAATATGATATCTCATCTGAAGAACAATTATTAGATTTAACAGGTGGTTCACTTGAAGATGAACTTAAAGATGCATCAGAAGATGATGCATATGTTCCGAAATCATTAGACAATTCCTTTTCTGATGATTTTGAACGAATTTCATTGGCATTTAATGAAAATTCTCCACAATTAAATTATTTTTCTTTGGAAAAAGTTTTACCAAATCAAATTCCACTTGGTCTTATTAAACAAAATTATTCACCTTCAGATGAATTGAAATTAATCGAATTATATCAAAGTAATCAAGTTGAAGATACAAAACAATTGTTTCAATATATTTCTCAACATATTCATCATCGATTAACAAATTGTCTTTCAAATTTTGGTAAATGGTTAACAAATGGTCAATTAGATGAACCAATCTTCTATCGAAATTGTGTTCCATGTACAAATGCTGTCGATTTAAATTTTCAAAGTTTATTTGATTATGTCAATCAACAAATTAAATTGAAACATTATTTCGTCAATACTTGTGATAAACAAAATCAATGGATTTCCTATATAAGTGATATGAAATATTTATCAAACGAAATTGAAAATATCTCTTCAGCAGATTTTACAGATATTATACAACAAAATCTTCTTCCTAATCAAAGGTATATGTTAAATTAGAATTCTCAATAATAATTTCATTTATTTAGATATGTTTTTCAAGGTATTGTCAGATCAAATCGTGCGAAGATTCAACAAGGTTTCTTTCATGCATGTAATTTAATAAATGATCATAATGGTCATCTATGGATTGTTGATGGACAAATTCAAAGAGTTTATGATTTTAATGATACAGATGATATTAATGAACTCAATAGAAAATATCGTCCTGATTATCTTGCACGTGCTCAAACAGGTTTATTTCGACCAACAGTATCTAAAATATCTTGACAAGATTGTCAACATTAACTCTTACATCCAGAATAAATGATTGCTTTTCAAAAATATTGTTTATTATGATGAGATATTTGTTCGAAAGGAAATATTTAGATGTAATAGTTGTAATTATGTGATGATGGTATCATATATATTCTATTAATTTGTTTTTAAAGGTTTAACAAGAAAATGATGTGATATTATTGATTTTGATTTAATTCTGTTGAAGAACTTTGTATTGATCCTTTCACAGCAAATTTCTTTTCAATAAAATAGAATTTTTCTGAGATATGAAACTTAATCGATGTTTTCTGATCATCGATAAAATCAAAGATTGATTTTCACATATAAGAATAGATGTATTTAAACATTGCTTGTGCGATTATACATACATTGTGAATAATCTGCGTATATATGAAAAGAGAAATGAAAGAAAAGACAAGATATTTGAACTAGTCTTTCTAAAAATAATTTATTTCGTTGAAAGAATTACACGAAATTGTTAGTAGAATAATCAGTTAGAAACAAAATAGATTATTTGTTAACGAATTCATGAATAGAAACATCACATGTGCCTTTAATACCTTTAGGAAACATAAGATCAACCACTCGTTTTCGATGAGCGACTTCAGCCTTAAACAATTCTTCAATTTCGTTGACTTCTGCTTCTGGTATATTCATAATTTGAGCTAGTCGAAAGATTGCATTTCGTTCATCTTTATGTAATTCGTCATCAGCACTCGCTGCTTGAAATGATTCGAACAGAATGGCTCGAGAAATCTCTTGAACAAATGTTGGACGTACATTTAATGTCTCTTCAATTTCTTGTTTGCTTGGTGTATATTTTTCAAAAAATTCAACATCTTCATCAGCACCGCCTTTTGCCAAGAAGTTACCCAAAATCCATTTACGTTCAGCATCAGCAAGAACACCATCAGCAGCAGCCACATTCATCAATACCTTTGTGTATTCTAGAACGAGTATTGGACTTGGACGCATATCACTATGCCAGAAATGTTTAAATATCCAATCGCCTACTCGATCACGTAGAGTAACGGTCTTTGCTGTTGTTAAGTCGTTGGCCATCGTTGATATGTGAGGGAAAATGTTACTAAATCAACGGGTTATATATGATGGAGATAAAGCAAATGTGTTACTGAATATGTTTGATGCGGTTCATTGATTGCCTAGATTTGTTTTTGTTGAGAAGAATTTGATTTATTTGAATGAAAAGCATATTTTCACGGTTCATTGCTTCTGTTTAATCAAAATAAGTATATCGATTGGAAACATAGACCAAAGTAGAACAATGGATCATATTTCATAATTGACCCTGGACCTTTCTCTTTTATTTGATTCCAAGCAAAAAACTAAAGGCATTGTAGTATTACTCTACTTTTTGTAGGTGATATTTGTTCGAATCACATCTGATATAACAAAAAATTGTATTGTTGAGTGTTTGGACGAGAAAAGAAAAGAAATTCAATGACATGAAAATATGATCACAAATAAAAACCGGTTATAAATATGACTTAGCTACTGAAAATATGTGGATGAGATATGAACGACTTGTCGTGTTGATTATTGATGAATCCATGACGCATAAACAACAAAAATCTCGCAAATAATAAAGAAACCAATGGGTAAACAGATGAAAACGAAGAAACATATCGATCATACGACATAACATGTGAGTTATTCTATTTTCTTGTCATTAGATTTGTTGTTTTTCAATGTACTTGTGTATCTATCGAGACATCTGAATGTTGTTGTTGACGCTTTTTTCTTGAGAATTTGATATACATTACTAAACTGAATAACTAATGTTGAGAAAGAAGATCGATATGTTTTTATAACTAAAACAAAGTTCTTTCACGAATTTTCAATTGAATAAAATTTCACATTTGAGAAAAGATTTTCAAGATTTAATCATGTTGTTATTCTTTCTTTTAAATGATATTTCTCAATGTTCAGAAATCATGTCTCAACACGTTATTTTACATTATGAATGGCAGAAAATTCGAACTCGATTTGATTTTTATATTCTGAATCGTATCACGTGACAATTTTCTCCTTTCTGACGACAATGACATGTTATTTATCAGGTTGATTAAGTATGTCTTTACATCAAATGACAAGAAAAGTGGTTCTTTGTATTCAAACATTGTGATAATAGGTTGATATACCAACAGTGTATTCTTTCATGATAATATTAACCTTGAAGAAAATGTTTCGATAATTCTCAATGAATATTATAACATTTATGATATCCATTGTGTACTTTGCGGATTTAAATTATGATCGTTAAATAAAAAATCCATGAAGTAGATTGTTCATTTATATAATCGAATATAAAAGATATGTAAATGAAAAAGAAAACACAAAGGAATAGATTTCATGAGTGAATGTGACATAGTGTAAATAATTAATGATGAGATATTTGATTATTAACATCAAGGAATCATATTGAAAAGGAAAAGAACGTCTTATTTTCAATTGATTTCGTATAAGAAATCGAACAGTGATTGGATGTTTTAAAGAAGAAGTTGATTTGTCAGACAAGTGATGCACCATTTCAAAGTATTACGTCGTTCTTCAAACTCTTAAATTAAATTTTTTATTAGAAAACTTTTGTTATTGAAGTTATTCATCTGAAAAATATTTGTTCAAAAGAATCGTTGTTCACACGAATACTCAAAATTCTCTATTCAAATTTTCATTTTGTATTCTTTTCTCTCAACAGGGGATCATTGCGTACGAGATAATCGTTAATATTTTGTAGAAACGCATTAATTGTGTGCCTTCGGTCATCTACTCTATTAAAAGAATTTTATTTAATTAACATATTTTTTAATTAACTCTTGTCTTCATAAAAATTTTATTTGAAATTCTGAGAACAAAAGAATTCATTAATGAAAAATATTGCAAAATGGAGAAACATCGTTCGTGTTTAGAAATTGAAATCATGCTTCATCATTCTTTATGCAAATTTTCATTTAATTGAAAAAGTTAAATAAACAATTTAGTTTTTTATTCTACACATAAAATTACGCGTTCACATTCATTTTCTCTACATTTATTAAAGAGATAAATTTCAACAGAGATTACGTTCGAATTGTCAAAAGATATAAAATTAGATAATATTTAAAATTTCAATGTCATTTCCCATGTTGAATTTGATTCAAAAACAAATGATAATTTATTTGGAAATATTTATTCTTATTGCAGGTTTTATTGGAGAATTTTTAATTATCATTGTTTTTCTTAGTCTTCAAATTTTTCGACAAAATTTCTTCACAATTTATTTAACATTGATGTCAATTGTTAATATTGGTTAAATGATAACAGATTTATTTACATGAATAATGACCGATGGTTATAACATTAATTAGTCTCAAACATCTCTCTTTGATTGTAAATTTCGATATTTTTGTTTTCAAATGTGTTTATTAACATCAATGACTTGTATTTGTTTGGCAACTATCGATCAATATTTCTCAACATGTTCTAAACAAAAATAGCAAAACTGGAGTAATGTTAAAATTGCATGTCGTTTATCGATAATTTTTCTATTGATTTGGATTATACATGATATTCATTTTCTTATTTATTTTGATCAAGTTGTCTTAACTTCAACAAACAAAATCACATGTATTGTAACGAATAATTCATTTCGAACATATATTACCTTTGGAATTATTCGTATTCTTGAGAAATTTCTGCCTGTTTCTATCAATTGTTCTTTGGTTTTTTGTCTTATTATAATATTCGATAAATCGCTCCTCGAACGTTACCTCTTATTCGACGTGAATTAAATAAACAATTGACCGTCATGATTTTAATGTTAATTGTTTTCGCTTTCTTTACAATAATGCCTTATACTATTGTGTATCTCTTATTGACGAATCCGCAAATTATTCAAGATCGATTCGTTAAAGAATTGTTAAATTTTGCTTTGAGTTGAACAACGTATTTTATATGCCCTCAAATTGCAATAAAGAATAAAATACACATTGTTTTGATTACATATTGTAAATCTGGATGAAACATGTATTCTTTTGTATATTCAACTATCGAATCAGGAAACTATTGATGAACTTTTTTTTCATATTTACAGTGAATATTCGATTAGTAAAAGATAAAAGTTGTTCGAAATGGATAAAAATTTGGTTTTCTTATTATTATTTCGCCTTGGTGGCTCAGTCGGTAGAGCGTCAGTCTCATAATCTGAAGGTCGTGAGTTCGATCCTCACCCGGGGCAGATTCCTTTTTTTTTTTGTATTTTCTAATGATCAGAGTAACAGATGTTTGAAATGAATATTTTTTTATTTTCTCAAATGATGTCAACCAAGTCTAAAGGACCCGTAATACAAGTCGATCGTCTCATTATTGATCCGCGAAATCCAATCCAACCGAAATCAGTTCGTTCTGGTAAATCTGCACTCTCTATTCGATGTCTTCAATTGAAGATTTGTTTATTTTAGATGTATCACCTTCATCGACAATTAAAGATTTTTTGAAGAATAATTCATCTGAAGAATCATATTTCTTTTTTCCATCAAATCGAATACAAATTGTTCGTTTAACACTTGATGATTTAAACAAGAGAGAATCGATTCTTTCTCCAATTTATGAATCAATTGAGGAACAACGAAAACTATCAAAATGAACATTCATTTTGAAAATTGATCATCGAATTCTATGGGTTACGTGCCTTTTTTTGTTTATTTAACGGCAAAAATGCATTTATAAGGTTTCTTTTTTCATTTGTTCTTTATTCTCATCTATCTTTACCAATCAATTTCATTTCTTTTCTCGATACCTTGTTGAAAGAAATCAGGTGTTTTGAAATAAACATGGAATCTGTTCGTTTAAGTCAATTTGAAGATTTACCTGATGAATTATTACTTTTAATTTGTTCATATTTAAATCAAATCGAAGTTTTAATTTGTTTTTCGTCGTTAAATATTCGTTTAACGAAAACAATTACTGAATATACAAAACAAATTGATTTTAATCGAATTCCATTGAAGTTAATTAATTATTTTCGAAATGAAATCTTTCCGAAGATTTGTTCAGATGTTCAATCGATTATTCTTCATGATGATTTGGAATCTCGATCAATTGGTTTAGAAATCTTTCCCAATCTTGAATCAATTCATTTTTTGAATAAATTCTCTTCGAAATATCTTCGTAATACAAAACAAATTCAAATTGATTTAGTTCCAGCAGATTTACAAAATGAATTAATGGAAAAATTATTTTCATCTAATGAATATTCGAATTTACAAAGTTTATCCTTCATTTCTTATCATGGATCGACTTTTTCTAATATTAAATTGGCGAAATTAAATCAAATTCAACAATTAACAATAACATTGAAGAATAATGTTGATCTTTTTGAACTTCTTCATCTTTTCTCATCAATTGTACAGAAATTACATATTCATATACTTTATAATGGACCATTTAAGTCTTTAACATCTTCATTATTAACATTAACAAAACTTCGATATTTTCATTTAAAAACAACATTCGAAGATGCGATTAAATTCAATCAATTAGAGAAATTAATCAATGATTCGATGAGTTTATTAGAATATTTATCTATTGAAACATTGACACGTGATGAAAATTATATCAATGGTTACAAATGGGAAAAATGTTTCGAAAAATTGAATCAATTAAAGACATTTGTTTGTTCTATTCGATATCGTTGTAAAGTTAATGAAGAGATTGACGATCAAGATTTAATCGAAGAAAAATTATTTAAATCTTTTTCAACAAAGTTTTGGTTATATCAAAGAAAATGGTTCATTCATTTTTATTCAACAGTTTTACTAATTACAAATGACAATTGTTTTGTAAATTCTTTTCAAAGAAATGCTTATCGAAAAATATTTTTATTCACCAATCCTTATCCTTATAAGAATATGGATATTACAGTCGATATCAATAAAATGAAATCAACAATAACAAATTATAATGATATTTCTATGATGTATGATCAGAAAAATATTTATTCAAATGTTCGTCATTTATATTTTGATGGAGAACATATTCCTATTCAAGTGAAACATTTCAATGAATTACTTCATCAATTTCAATTATTAACTGAATTGAAATTAGATCGTCTGTTCATTGATTCTTCATTACAATCGAGTGATCAAATCAAACTTCGTTATTTGAATAAATTAATTATTTATCATAATTATGAAAAATATCCATTGGATATTAATTTTCTTGATTTAACTTCTATGTACAATCTTCGATATATTCGTATTCCACAAGCTTCGCTTCCCCATCATCGTCAAATACCAAAACAGCTTGAAACTTTAATTTTAACTGAATGTCGCGATCATCTTTTTGTTCATACATTGAGATATGAAAACTTGCGAATATTAAAACTGCATTTGGATTATTTCGATCGATTGTTGGAAAATATGGGCGAATCCATTCTTCACTTAATTAAAACAATTTATAATGCAAATCAAACATTAGAATCACTTCACTTAATGTGTCCTGGTGTTAATCAAAGCAAAGTGAAAATATTTGAAAAACGATTCAATTCAAATAACAATGAATACTTAACTGCTCATTTCGATGGCAAGTCTTTAACAATTAAGCGATTAGAAGAGTTTTTTCGTCGATCTCAATCATAGACTAGATAAACATTTCACTGTATCAGTTACATTCCTTTTTACTTTGAGTATTCTGACAAATTATTTGGTTCGTTGATTATGAATCATCTTTTTTTATAAAATAAAACAAACGGAATCGCAGTAATACAAATGATTATTGATTAACACACATATCTCTAATCAAACGAACACAAAATATGTTTAGACTTAGAAGTTCACACCGTTGCCTTATTGCTCGGCTTTTCGTTTTTTTGTTGATTCTTCTAAAAATAAAACCCAATTTAAAAAAAGATCACTTTCTTAACACACAAACGTACTATTCATCATTTTTTCAACGCCAGTCTCATCAATATTTGAGGAGTCCACGAAAAATTAGTTTTATCTCGGTGTATTTTATATTTAATCTATAAAATCCTTTAGGCCGTTTACTCCTTTTAGTCCCTTTAATCCAGTGAACTCTTACCCTCATCCACACCCCGCCTAGTCGATTTTGAAGTGAAGTCATCCACCATCGTTATATCTTAGTGGATAGGCACATTTTAAAATAGAAAATGAATTCTTAAATAGAACAATATAATGTACTTCTTTAAAATCCGTATGTGATTTAAATGTTTGATTTTCAGAAATGTTCGTTCGATCTTCGAACATTCATATCAACAGATTTGAGTCCAAACAGAATTCACATATGACGAGAGCTGAGTGAAATTACTTTCGGAAATGTACAAGAGAGATTGTAGAATTGATGAGTGATCGAAATATTCTATTTGTCTCCTTTCTTACTTATTATTATCTGCTTATGATTAACCTACAAACAAGACAAGAAAAAGAAGAAAAAGAGCAAAAAAGAAACGGTAAAAAACATCTGTTATCATCAGCTTTGAGAGTTTTAACGAAATAAACACAACAAACGAAAAAACGTCATCTTAGATCGAGTTCATTTAGTAGAATAACGACAACAAAACAAATATGTCTCTGGTCGATAGTCGTTTATTGTTGTTCATGTTGATATTGAGATGATCTTTGATATCCGTTGCCATTGTAACCAGGATTACCATTTCCGCGATTTCCACCACGATAACTACCTCCGCGATTGCCTAGAAATTTTCATCAACTACATCGAACTATTCAGTCAATATCTCTTTACCGCGATAGTTAGGATTAGATCCACCGCGTGATCCACCTCGACCACCATTGTTATTTTCATTATATTGCCGTTGTCCACCGCCGAAAGAACCATCATGATGACCACCACCACCTACAATCAAATAAGTAGAAGAGACTTGTGAAATGCCATAAAAACTGACGTGGTCCTCGCCATTGTTGTTGACTGTAATTATTTGAACCGCCGCGATTATAATTTTTGTTTCCATTTCCATTGTAATGTGCACCGCGATAGTTATTTCCACTGTTACCGCGACGATGATGCCATTGTTCTTCAGATTGTTGTTCGTCTGTTGGCATATTATTTGAATGAACAACATTCGATGAATTGTCCTTAAATAACAAAACATTGGACAATCGTTTCGCGACAATCAATTGACTTACTTGTTCGTAGTTATTCATTCCTTGATGTTGTTGTTGTTGAGTTGATGTTTGCTAAAAGCGAAGAACAATATCTGGATTGATACTCGTGTGAAAGTTTTGTAGTTCAATATTACCGTGTAATCTTGAGAAGACGTGTGAACATTGAATGGTTGCAAATAGTGGTTTGGTTCATTTGATTGAATTTGAGTGTTATCTTGAGTGGCTGATGAGTCTTGCTTGATTTGTTGATTATTAGTTGTATTTGATGGCTCGAGAGGTAGAAAGAAAGGACTATCTTGCACGAGTTGATGGTAGGGAATATTTTGATCTCGAGTATCAAATTGTAATGGATGTTCATTTGGATTTGTTGGAATTAAATGAGTATGACTCAATGATGGTCCTAAAGCTACAACAAATGAAATTTTCAATTAAAAGCTCAATTTGAAAGAAAAGAGTCGTTCGAACCATCATTGTTATTGTTTGATTCGGGTTTGTTTTGTTCACGTTGTGGAAGTACAGAAGCAGGTGTTGTTGGTGGAGCTTGAGGGACAAGTGGTGTTTGTTTAACAGTTTCAATTAATTGTGTTTGTTGAACTGTTAACTTCTCCTCGGAACTTGATTGATATTGTTTGATTAATTGTTCAAGGATATCTCGAACTTCTTGTGATGATCGATCAGTCAGATTTTTGATTGTTGATGATAATGGTCCACCTTGATAAATTGCTAAGACAATATCAACAGAACGAGTTATTGTACTGGATGAAATATCTGATGGAACAATAGCACGAGCGAGTTTATCTAATAACGATGACTCTTCGGGTTTTAATGTCTAAAAAAGCTTCGGATATGATGAGGAAAGCAGATTTTCGTTTTGTTGGCTTACCGTTGGCCGATGATCGAGTAGATATCGAAGTTGAGCGTATTCACGAAGACGTTGGCTTACTAATAAACGCTTTTCTTCGGCTGCTTGTTTGTTTAGACGTTTTTGAATTTTACTTGACTAAAAGTAACAAAATGATCATTTCCGAGTTGCGATGTTTTGCAGAAAATTTCTTTTACTTCAGCTTGAATCTTTTTCACTTGTTCATGAAGATCTTTGACACATTCGATTTGACCAAGAACTTCTCCATATTTCGCCAATGCTTCCTTTAAAATACAACAAAGATCGTGAGACAAATTCGATTTCTCGCTTCGCGTTTTACCTTTTGATCCTTATTCAATTCTTTTCCACTTTTCGCTTCTTGTTGATAACTTTCAAGTTTATCCTAAATGAACCAAAAACCCAAACGATTTTCTTAACCGAAATCAAACGAGTTTGTTTTACCTTTCTTTTGCCCAAATTTCGTTGTTTCTTTTCAAAAGCAAGAATGATTTGAGTGAAAGGATCAGCATTTACAGCATCACTTGTCATTCCTGCTGATGATTGTGGTGGTGGTGTGGATTTTCCATCATTATTCAACGATATCTTCGACGTTTGTTGTTGAATATCAGTTACAGATGGCATTCTCCTTGAATTTTTTGTTTCTCGTTAATCTCTAATGAATATGAAAAATGAAATTAAGAAAAGATCACGGAAGATTGAATGAACATCTACGAGTAAATTAGACCAAAGAAAAGAAGGAAAAAAAAAGAAATTTCTAGTAACAAATGGTGTGTCCTTCTTTGAATGAATGAACGGACTCATGCATAACTTAAAAGGTAGATTGGGGAGGCCAATCAAGAAAAAGATCAATGTACTTTTACAAAATTTCGCTTGCAAATCAAGTTTTGAATTAATTCAACATTTTAGATTTTATTTCTCTAATTGAAATCCGATTTCACAAATCTCAAGTTGAATTCATCGAAAAAGTCTTTCAATAGATGTCATTACAAACAAATTCAATAAAAGAAAATTGTTTTGTTCTTATCATCGAGACGTTTGATGATGAATAAATCATTTCTTATTACATGAAATTAGTTTTCTCCGTGACGAACACATTGCTTTCATTATTTTAACATTTCGACGCGTCGCTTCATTTTAAAAATTCTTCATTTTTATTGTGACAAATTAAAATCGACCAACTGTTTCAATGATCTTTTTCTTAGTTTGTTCAGCGCTTTTGCCTTGATCAACTTGTCTAGACATATCACATAAAATACATTCAAGACTATAATTACGCATTGACGAAAAATAATTTAACATTTTCTCAAATTTATCTGCAACAGGTTCATTTCTCCATTGATGATAACTTTCATACAATGTTCGATTCTTTGCCACATTTTTGATAAACAATGCAGCATCTTTTGGTGTTTTAAATTTTCTTAAATCAATGATACAATCAGTTCGACAAGGTAACCAATCTTCAATGTTTGGTGCACCAAGGTAAATTGGAACACTTCCTGCAACAAATGCATGCCAAAGTTTTTCCGTCACGTAATCATAATTGAGACTATTTTCAATAGCGATGGTGAAGAGATAATCACTTGTAAGTGCAAGTTTTCCCGCTTTCCAATCGTAAGTACCACGGTCTTGTAAATTTCGATTTTCCGAATGTTGAAGTTTAACAATGTGGGAAGGTAAAGGTCGAATATTTTTGCCACATGTTCCAAAATTATCAACATCAATATATTTCATCATTTGTTGTACATATTGTGTTCGTCCTGACTTTGCGTTACAATTACTATTCATCCAGAGAATTGATGCTTTGACATACGATGATTGAATCGAATTCTAAAGTATCAGAGAAATGTTTCTTTGTTGATTTCGGTGAAAGATCGTTACTGTTTGTTGATTAATCCAATAATCATCTGTGTTGGACGGCGAATTGATCGGTTTCTTATTTGTCATCACTTGTTTCAGAGAAAGTCTTTTTGATGTATCAATAATTTGATCGACATAATCAAAAAGCCACGGACCTGGAACGAATTCATAGATTGATCGATCATAACCAAAAGTCACATTGAAAAATTTCAGTTTTTCTCGATCTGCAGCTGTCGGATAATTGGAAATTGATTCAAAATTAAATATTAATCCCCACATACTATTTGAACTTCGATATTGATTATTTAAAACATCAACATACAAATCATTGACAATCGGTGCATATGAATCAGCAATTATTGAAGGATTCGATAAATCATTCGAAGTTTTAACAAACAAATCCAATGCATATCCACTTTTACACAAAAAATCGTGTTTTATTCCCGCAGAACTATGTTGATTTTGTAGAATTCTTCCTCCATTTAAACATTTCATATCTTCAAATGATCCCGCTGATGAATAAATCAATTGACAAGGTAAATGAGAACAACGACGAATATTGTACAATCGACAAAGACTTTGAGCTAAAAGATTTAGTTCTTTAGGAATTTCACACCAAGATACACGATTAATTTTCGATAACATATCATCTCTTCGAACGAAAATATTCCATTGTGGAAGACTGAAGATATATTTGATTGAATGATCATTTGTACGATGGAGAAATTTATAAGAAATAGATTGTGGTTTTCCGTCGAGAAAAAAGATAATCAGACAAATATGAATTAATAAAATAATTAAACTTATGATCGAGACGATTTTCCAAAGGAAACGTTTTTGAAAACAAAACTTTCTCATCTAAAACAGAAAAAAATCGAAATATTTCGTTTTATATCGATGTATTACGTGTCATTCATATACATATTCATATTACATAAACGTGAGTTTGAAGATATGATGAATAGGACAGAAAAAAAGCAATGTAGAACGAAAGAAAAAGTATCGTTCTGCTCTTAGGACAAACATGTGCTCGATTTGAATTTTGTTTATTCGATAACAAATTTCATTTTCTATCACAAATTTCTTTAAAACAAACATTCACAATACATTGCACGTTACAAATGACCAACAATATCTAAAATCTTTTTCTTCGTTTCTTTTGCACTTTGTCCTTCATCAACACGTTTTGACATTTCACATAAAACACATTCTAAACTGTAATTTCTCATCGATGAAAAGTATTTTAACATCTTCTTTAGTTTATCAGGAATTTCTTCATTTCTCCATTGATGATAACTTTCATACAATGTTCGATTCTTTGCCACATTTTTGATAAACAATGCAGCATCTTTTGGTGTTTTAAATTTTCTTAAATCAATGATACAATCAGTTCGACAAGGTAACCAATCTTCAATGTTTGGTGCACCAAGGTAAATTGGAACACTTCCAACAAGTAATGGTTGCCAAAGTTTTTCTGTTACATAATCATAACTTCGACTATTTTCAATAGCGATGGTGAAGAGATAATCACTTGTAAGTGCAAGTTTTCCCGCTTCCCAATTATAGCTATTGCGGTTTTGTTCATTTCTTGTCTTTGAACCTTCAAGATCAATGATATGTTGAGGTAAAGGTCGAATATTTGTACCACATAATCCAAAGTTGTCAATGTCGATGAATTTCATCATCTGTTCTACATATTGTGTTCGCTTTGAAATTGTTTGACAGTTGCTATTCATCCAGAGAATTGATGCTTTGACATACGATGATTGAATCGAATTCTAAAGTATCAGAGAAATGTTTTTTTGTTGATTTCAGTGAAAGATCGTTACTGTTTGTTGATTAATCCAATAATCATCTCTGTTGGACGGCGAATTGATCGGTTTCTTATTTGTCATCACTTGTTTCAGAGAAAGTCTTTTTGGTGTTTGATCAATTCCATCAATATAATTAATCAACCAAGGTGGTGGTACAAAATCGTAAACGGATCGATCATAACCGAAAGTAACATCAAATAGTTTCATTTTTTCACGATCACCACTCCAAGGATAGTAACTCAACGATTCATGAGTCTGAATCATTCCCCACATAGAATTACAACTTCGATATTGATTATGTAAAACTTTCACATAGAAACTATTCGTTATTGGTGTGAATGGATCAGCAATAATCGATGGATATGATTGATTTTCGTTATCTTTCATAAACAGATCCAACGAATAACCTCTTTTGCATTGAAACTTCTTGTTTCTCTTCGTAGAAACCTTTGTGCTGATTTGTCCATTGGAAGCACAGTCAATATTGGTTAATGTATCTGATGAGGAATAAATCATATGACATGGAAGACGAGTACAACTAGGTGTTCCATAGAATTGACAAAGAGCATTTGTAATAACTTGTAATTCTTTTGGAACATCACACCAAGGCTTTTCGCGATTTTTCACATAAAGCTGATCTTTGGCTACTAAGTATCTCCAAAGATCAAGATTAAAAATATACTTTGTTTTCTCATATCGTGTTTGCTTTGGTGAAGGGCACGAAATAATTCTTGGTTGAATATCTGCCTGATGAAAAGTGATTTGATAAAGTAGAATAAAAGAAAGGATGCCGGTGAAACAAATAAAGTTCGAAATCAATCGTGTTTTTTTTCTTTTTGAACATAACATGTTGATTTATCACTTAATATAACAAATATTGAATTTATTCCATGAAAAGCTGTTCCAGAAGAAGATTTACCTTTCATGTACAAAATTGAACCATCTAAGAAAATAAATTAGTTTATATTTCGTTCTGTATTGATTAGAAAATGTAAACAACTTACCTTTAACTAAGAATACGGCAACGAGAGCGACATCATGAATGCAATTTCATTCATTCGTGACGCTCAACCTTCTTTTTTTGCAAATGATTCGAATGAGTCGTTGAAAATATGATGAGACGCAAAGTAATTCTTTAAAACTTCCTTCTAACTGATGTTTTATGTCGATGCAAGGAGATTAACTGCCTTGATTTTATAAAGAATAAATCAATGAATGACTTAGGAACTGTTTTCTTTGATAAATCGTCGAATATTTTTTATTTGTATTCAGAAAATGATGTCCATTCATTCGCTTTTTCTCTTTTCTGTTCTTCACATTTGTCTCAAAATGCACATCACAGTTCATTGAGAAAGTAAAAAAGAACATATCGCACGACATAGCAGAAGTACATACGTGAAGAGTCAATTGTATTAAGCAAGAACTTCATTTTGAACGAGATTTCATTAATATATTAATCTCTTGAGGAGTGTTTACTACAAAGATAAGCGAAGAAAACAAATACTTTTCTTCAATTTCTCGACAATCCATAAAATATACACAATATTTNAAATGCACATCACAGTTCATTGAGAAAGTAAAAAAGAACATATCGCACGACATAGCAGAAGTACATACGTGAAGAGTCAATTGTATTAAGCAAGAACTTCATTTTGAACGAGATTTCATTAGTCGATTAATCGCTCTCCAAGCAGAGAAGGATCGCGAAAAACGTGTTTTCATGTCAAGAAGTATTGTTTTTGGAGTGATTAATCGCCTTTAGAAATAAATGGGCGTGAAAGTACCGAGATTCCGATTGTTTTCGGTGAACAAACACGCAAAATCATAATCCCCATAATTTCTTAGTGTATAATTGCATAGAAAACCGATCTTACACCCATTTACACGCTGACTTTTCCAAATGTGCGTATTTTCAGTACAAATTTGCAAATTTAAGGCCTTTTGACGCCTATTTTCTGTATGGAACTTACCATTATAGAATATTTGATGTGAATATATAGGCTAATTATAATTCTGAAGCGTTTCCACGTAAACTATATGGTGTTGTTTGATTGGTTTGAAAATGTTGTTGTGGTATCTACGACAATCCAGTAAAAAACACATTTTTAACTGTGAGAATTTTTCTTGTGACCTTCGGTCAAAATTTCTTAGCGTTTTAACGAATTTAGAGTTTTGTCACGAATTTTTTACGTCACTACACGTATAGTATTCAAAAACTGTCGTCGTTTAAACGCTTTCATTGATAGAACAACTCGTTCGCTACAACCCAGGTCGATCATTCCGGTGACTTAATCCGTTTAAACCTGAGTCGGTGTCGGTATAATTCCAGCTGAATTCAACAGGTTTCGATTGGATTCGGCAAATTCCTGATTGTTTCCAGCTGAAAGCTTGTTGGAAATGGTCAGGAATTAACTGAAAACTCCGTTCGAACTTCCGGTCGGAACCGACCGAGCCACAGTAATATGGGTAATTTCAAACCAGTTCTATAATGTTAATGTACATTGGTGATCGTTTGTTGATTTGGTGCACCAGTAAACACTCATAACTGCTTCTTTTACAAACATTTGTATTGATTTCTGACATCGAAATAGAGACGAAACGAAGCATTACGATTTGTTATATTAGATAAATATGTACTCAAACAGTTAACATGCCAGAAAGCAGGGTTGCCATCTGTACCCCATTTGGACTATTTCTGTTCGCATAAAATTAAAACAATCTTTGGCACAGTTATCGTATTCATTCGCATAGAGATGCGAAGAACCAGTTTTAGCCATACGAAGCAAGCGTAAACATCGAATGCGGACTCGATGTCAATTTAAGTAGTTGCCCCTGAGTTAAAGATACGATTAATTTAAAACTTTATTCTTTCCTAATTTCAATCAGAACTGTTTAAAACTGCTTAAGTTAAGCAGTAATATCGATATGCAAAAATACGTCTAATATACAATGAAAATAGAGAAGATTTACTTTTAACAAGGGTGTTTTTATTGTGAATGAGGAAGATTGATCATCTATAAATCGAAATATTAGACTTCTGAAGGACAGCATGGCACAGTTTTTTTTAATTTTTTTCCCCTGTCAGAGAAAATAGTGTTTTCTTTGAAAGTTTAAGAGTTATGCTTCAAGTTATTGAAAACTTTGAGTACTTTTTCACAGAATTTAGGGAAAAGTCCGTGAAAACCTACAAAATCTTCAATTAATGCTTGGAAAAATCTCTGAGAAGCCTTGAATATTTTTTAACCATATGAAAATTTCCGAAAATTTTCAACTGCTCTAGCAGTTTTAACCCTCAAAATAGTCCTATATTAGATCCCCTAAAAATTTTCGGGCTTCGTGCCTGACTTTACAAGAATCTTATTTATGTTTTTAAAAATTTGTATGGCGAAAGTAAAGATCTATTTGTGAAACATATTATTTTGAATTGAAAACTAACACTGCAAAACTATTTTCAGAATAGTGGAAAAGATTTGAAATAATCCTTTTACTTGGAAAGGTTCTTTTTAAAGCCGCTTTTTCATTGACACCTTTTTTACTCACGAAAAAGTTATGTACTCCATCAGCGCACCCTATTCTTAAGAGTACTGTACCTCACATGTACTCCATCTTAAGTCTGAACAGATGGCAGCCCTGCCAGAAACCCATATAGAGAACTAAATACGCGTTCCAAAGAATAAACAGAAACACAATTTATTACAGGATTAGTTATACCAAGGATAAGCAGATCAAATTTGAAAGTTCCAGACTGGAGCGAAGTCTTTCAACGTTTGAATAACATATACGACAGAGTATACCACATATGGCGAGTTCGTGGGGAATTTGATTTTACGGCAAATCCGAATCTAATGACATTTTTCGACAAAATTAAATGATCAATATACTTATGCAATGCGCTAAGAAAACGGCTTAACACTTATTTTATAAGAGAGTTTGTATGCGAAGAAATTTGTGATAGACTATAGTAACCATAGCTGTATTATGATCTTTGTGGTCTATGTGGTCCTTGTGGTCTTTGTGGTCTTGGTGGTCTTTGTGGTCTATGTGGTCTTGGTGGTCTTTGTGGTCTTGTGGTCTGTGAGATATGATACTTTTTGTAATTCTGTAAAAATCGTGATTTAGATATGGATATATAAAGAGTTGAATTTATACTGACAAAGACATCGAGCAAGTTCTATGACGGTAATGTAAGGAAGATTTGCAAGGGAAGATATGTCGCCTGACACCAGTAAGTAACGTTCGTCATTGCGACTCACTTAACCCTCGACTGTGTAAAAAAGAATTAGTTTTTTGTATAAATCGCAATACGATATATTACGCGCATCTCTCCAAAAGACCACCAAGACCACATAGACCCCTATAGTAGTGATGTCAGTTAATATTAGTTTTTCACAAATTCATTTGCTTTTAACATAAATGATTTTGCTACAAAATCATATTCCCCACCATATGCATATGGCGTATATTTAATGTAAAGAGTTCCAAATTATTGAAAACTGGATCCTTTGACTTTTTCAGTTATGGGCATAGTGAATCAATAATTGTAAGTTTAAATTGTAAGATTCAAATGGAGAAAACAGTTTTTCGACGCTCTCTAGATTAATACTCATTATGTCTTCTACAAATGCGTTCCTGTGAAAGTGAAACATGACATTATTCATTAAACTGTAGCAAGACCCTCACCACACTGTACCGCCACTACTTACCTTCAACTAACGACATCGAACGTTTCTACTTATATTGAAAAACAGGTGTATAGACACTGAAAATAAAGTTCAACAGCTTCATAACCTCCCATGTACATCTTTCATATATCTTCAACATCCAATAATCCGCAATCTACGATATTCTGTATCTAATCCTCAACCTTTGACCCAACGCAGCGAAACAGACAGACATGTAAATACACACTGAACATTATATGTGTATATGTTGTAGGCAAAATCGGAATTGAGTTTGGCCGACGTCATATTCTCAGTACCGTACTTAAATTCATCGACTAATATGAATAGCAAAGAAATCACACTATGTATAATAACTCAGTCTACCTAACGTCTCTCTTCTTACAGGCACAATTTGATTAGAAAACTATCTAAATATACCATTATCGAACTTCATTAAGTTAATCTCTGACTGATTCACATTTGCTATACTGTATGCATTACGTATAGATGTCAACGAATAGTAACATAATATTATCACGATTCCAAACTCCATCATCAATCAACAAAATGCAATCGCTCCCATTCACATACACAATGACCTTTCATTATTACCATTATTAGTATCAGATAAAAACCTTAAGTGTACGACTATCATATACAAAATCATTTTTGAAACTAAGTCATAAGTCATTCAAATCTATTACAACAAACTGCTCACAGATTAATGGCGACATCATTCTATGAATTACCAGCGATTCTACATTCTACTACGATGAAACTCCTCCACATTAGAATATCAACACCGATCCATGCTCCAGTTTTACAATCTACGTCGATTTGCAATCATATCGAACATAAAAGATGCTTCAAACTGGTCTCACACTCATCTTAAAGAACTTTCCAATAGCAATTTACTTCGTTTTAGTTCCATCTGTGTGTGGTCAACTGTGCTTATGTTTCTTCTATTGAATTCTACATTCACGAACAATATTGAAGTACGACTTCTAATTGGTTTATTCTTTACAAAAGCTTTTTTAATCACATTGCTTATATGCTATTACATTCAAATCTATATCCCATATCATTACATGGTAAATCTCCTCATTGGTTTAATTTTTGCTAAACTTTTCCGATGAAATTTATTTTGTGCATTTAGATTCAATTCCATGTTACATCTGGTGCGAATGATAGGTTTTCGGTGTTGCATTAGAAATCCAGACAACCAATAGTCGCTTGGTGAGTTGAATGTTTGTGTTTAGGTATGGTGTATCAAATGGTTGGATTGCGCAGATGATTTGGTTTATTTACAATCTGCATAAAATATTTCTGACGTTTTTGACGGTGAGAACAATTGGTAAAGTACACGAGAAACTTCTCTTGAAAGGAATATTCACAGAGCGTTTCGAAAATCGTTTTGAAACACAAATATTGAGAGACACACTTATTATATAAAAACGGAGTTTGAACACTTCTATTTATACTTCGGGTATTGATGACAAATGCGGCCTCCGATTGTTTGAAACACGCGGGAACAAAAAAGAGAGACATTGTAGGGCGAAAAAGTTATGGAATATCGAGACAAAAATATTTCAAGAACTTGTTTTTGGCGTTTTCTCGAACTTTTATGTTTGATGTTTCTGGCTCACAACCGGGGGGCGCGATTGATAGAGAAACACGCCGAAAATTTTTATAGAGCTTTCACGCGTTTTTGTCGATTCTTGTCTGCTCGGGTTGAGCAGTGTTTACTACAAAGATAAGCGAATAAAATAAATACTTTTCTTCAATTTATCGACAATGCATAAAATATACACAATATTTTCCTAAACTCATAAAGAAATGGAAAAGCAGTTAAATTTTCCCAACAATTTCTATGATTTTCTTCTTCGTTTCTTTTGCACTTTGTCCTTCATCAACACGTTTCGACATTTCACATAAAACACATTCTAAACTGTAATTTCTCATCGATGAAAAGTATTTTAACATCTTCTTTAGTTTATCAGGAATTTCTTCATTTCTCCATTGATGATAACTTTCATACAATGTTCGATTCTTTGCCACATTTTTGATAAACAATGCAGCATCTTTTGGTGTTTTAAATTTTCTTAAATCAATGATACAATCAGTTCGACAAGGTAACCAATCTTCAATGTTTGGTGCACCAAGATAAATTGGAACACTTCCAACAAGTAATGGTTGCCAAAGTTTTTCTGTTACATAATCATAACTTCGACTATTTTCAATGGCAATGGTGAACAAATAGTCTGACGAGAGAGCGAGTTTTCCAGCCACCCAATTGTAACTTCCTAAATCACGTAGATTTTGATTTTCCGAATGTTGAAGTTTGACAATGTGTGGAGGCAATGATCGAATATTTTTCCCACAGGTACCGAAGTTGTCAATAGCGATGAATTTCATCATCTGGAGCATATACTGAGTACGTTTAGACTTTGCGTTGCAGTTACTGTTCATCCAAAGAATTGGTGATCTGATATAAGATGATTGATCTCTTTGACTTTCCTCGAGCGACTTCTACAAGAAAATCACACGAATTCGCATTGAATGAAAAATTCTGTAGTATTGTATTTGACTTACGGTTTGTTGATGGGGCCAATAAATATCACCTGTTGCTGAAGAATTAATTGCTTTTTTCGTTTTCATCGCTTCTTCTTTGGATATTCTTGCGAGAGTGCCATTGACTTCATTTATCGTTTTCAGTAACCATGGATCTGGAATGAAATCGTAAACGGATCGATCATAACCGAAAGTAACATCAAATAGTTTCATTTTTTCACGATCACCACTCCAAGGATAATAACCAAGTGATTCAAAATTGAACAGAATTCCCCACATAGAATTACAACTTCGATATTGATTATGTAAAACTTTCACATAGAAACTATTCGTTATTGGTGTGAATGGATCAGCAATAATCGATGGATATGATTGATTTCGTTCATCTATGTTAAACAGATCCAATGAATAACCGCTTTTGCATTGAAAGTCCTTCTTTTCGTTCATGGTGATTTGTCCATTGGAAGGACAGTCGATCTTGATCAACGTGTCTGATGAAGAATAAATCATATGACATGGAAGACGAGTACAACTAGGTGCTCCATAGAATTGACAAAGAGCATTTGTAATAACTTGTAATTCTTTGGGAACATCACACCAAGGTTTTCCACGATTTTTCACATAAAGTTGATTTTGGGCTAGCAAATGTCTCCAACGATGAAGATTAACAATATATTTCGTTTTCTCATATCGTGTTTGATTTGATGGAGGACACGAAATGATTTTCGGTTGAATATCTCTGACATCTTGATTGCTGAGAATACGTTTGAAGAAATAAATAATGACGATAAAACAAATAAATATGAAAAGCAACAATCTGTAGTAATTTTTTTTATATTTCATATTGTTCTATGAAATATTTAACAGATAAAATTTATTTTATAAGTCGATTTAGAAGAATTAAACTCGATGTTTATCCATTGAAGATCATAGATATGTACTTTGTGGATAAAACTAATAAAAATTGTAAACTAATGAATAATTTTATTTTTGAAACCGTTGAATTTATTTGTATATTTCATTTTAATTTGAATAAAATTCTGTAATTTAAAGAGAAACTGTGAAAAGAAAACCAAATGATGTTGTGTTGAATATAACGATGAATATTTCCAGAGAGAATTGTATACTACTTCATATAACGGGTTCATTGAATCGTGACGCAGACATTTGTTGTATACACGAATAATATATAACATTAAAAAACGATGATAGGAGAAGGTAATATAGTAAACTATAGTTGTCAATAAGTGGAAACGAATATTGATAACAAATTACAGTTGACCAGTTCGATGTCATCGAGAGAAATAGATTTTATCGATATTATTAAAAAAGGAAAGTAAGATATATATTTCATCTTTTCTCATATGACAGCTATTGTAAAAGGAAAATGAACAAAAGATATGCATTGATCTTTGTGTTCTATTCATTTCGAAAACGAAGTTTTCTACAGAGAATATGAAGATAACATTAATAAGTTTGATTCGAGTTAACAAATAAGTATCGATGAGAAATCATATGAAAGCGCAAAAAGAACTTTTGAATTCAACCAATTCTTCTCTTTTACTATTCTCTGAAGAAATACTTTCCAACGTGTATTGAAATATCTTGATGAATAATAATTTCGTTTTGCCATTGTAAAAAAAAGTTTTCTAAACGAGATTTGTGTTCTGTTGTGTTATTCACAAACGAACTCGAGAGATTCATCTAAATCGAGTGTCGAATGATAAAGCATTCGAAACAAACCGTTTCAATTAATCATCGGTGTGTTTTCATGCGGAGAACGATCGGTGATGTGTATCAGTTTATAACGTACAAAAAATACCATGCAGTTAATTTATCGTACAGATAAATGTCGTTGTAAAGAAACAAAGGTTGTTTTGTTTGATATAGATATATAAGGTAAGTTATACACATGTAATAACAAAGACAGAAATTTAGAATAATTCGAAACAGTGATAAATGGAATAGCATTTCCATTTAATGAATTTACCATCTAAGACAGTGTTTAAAGAATAAATTATAGAATATAAAAAGAGACGTTATTGTTCTGATGATATCGTCTGTATTTTGTACACTAAGTACAATATATTTTGTATCACTTCTAAGGTATAGAAGCATTTTAATTCGAATTTTCATTTTTCCTATCGTATTTATACTTTTCTCCTTTAAAAGAAGACAATAAACTCATATGCTTTTGTCTATGTTAAGTCTTTACTTGTATAATAGTTGAACTGATTTATCATCATCGTATTATAAACAAATTTTCTTTATAAGTTAGTTTTATTATTTTTATCTTTCTCTCTTTATTTTGTTATCGTCGTTTTTCTTTATACAAAAAGCACAGACATTCGTCTATTTATGTCAATGAAAAGTAATCGAGTCAAGTAACGAGTTGACAGATTTTATCTGAATTAAGATATAATAAGTTATTTTTTCTTGAAAATATTACATTTTGACTAGAAAAAATTGATCTAGGACATGATTTCCTATGTAACGAGCACATGAATATTGATTGTCCCTTGAGAAAAGAATTCTTATTGACTTTGGGAATGAATTTGTTCTGATTATAACCATTTTCCATCTTGATTCAACTTCAGATAAGAATATAACGTAGAAAACCAAGATTTTCATCTTATTTCAAATTAAATCTATGACTTTCGATTGATCAAATGTATCTTAGATCAAAAATAATGTGAATATTTTCATTGATTTTGAAGAAGATTCGTGAAGAGAAACGATATAACAATTGTAATAACATTGTTTTCTTCGTTTTGTAATAGATTTGTTTGATTTGAATTGATCTTGCTTCAATGTGATATAATAATTGTAATGATTTAATATTCAAGAAGAAAAAAAATGTGCAAAATGTCAATTTTTGAATGATCTCTCGACTATGTCAGAATCAATCATAATCACACAGAAAAATAATCAATAGAAGAGAGAAAGAGAAGGAAAAACCCGGATATACTTATTTAAAGAGAGAATGAGACATCGTAACAAATAAGGATTTCCGTATAGAATCGAAAATGCTTCAAACAACACGAAACAATGATTCAAAAGCGACAAAATCTTCATCATTTCTATTTTCTATTTGATTTTAATTAAGTTATATATCAACGAAATTCATCCGTAAATTTTCATTTCCAAATAAAATCCAAGAAAACAATCTTGTCCTTCTTTCTCTCTCTCTCTTTCTTTCTCTGATAAAAAAAATCATTCACTATATTCTCGTTATTTATTCCCAACAGTCACCTCCCTTATTTTTCATTGACTATAAGTGTAATATTGCGAGTATATAAAAGATTTTTTGTTCACTAGTCACCCAAACTGGTAACGCTTGTCAGTCTTCATTTAGCTGCTTTTGTTGTTATGTTCATGTATTGAATGACTACTAAAAACAAGCGGAAAAGGGCGGCGAAAAAAAAAGGAGCAGCAGAGAGCTTCTTAATCGACAGTGACATGATTGAATTGAAAGAAAGAACTACGGGAAATTCATTCAATGAAGAAAGTCTTCTTGATAAATGATAACAATGGAGATTTCTTCTTTTATTCATCTTTCTCATCTAAGAACATTCGCTTTTCCATATCATCAGGTGAATAGTTGAACAGACAAGACAAGTTGTAGAAGAAACTTGATTTCATTTCATTAAGTAAATCATGTCATTTGAAAATCGAGACAAAAGATATTTAAATGATAAAGAGTAATTTGTGGTAAAAAGTAAGTTTTTCTCAAATTTTGTAATCAAATAGACGAGTTCGGAAAAGAAATTTCTTTCTTTTCTTCTTCATTAAAAAGAAAGTTGCAAAGTATTTCATGTTTTTCTTAGACAGAAAAGAAAACAGTCGCGTCGCACTTTGATTCCGTCCGTTTTATAGTCGACTTAGTTATGGTCTTTTTCGATCGGTCTGTTTTCCGTATGTTTACATGATTGATTGATAGGCATACGGGACAAAATAGCTTTGTGCTCATTGGTGGATTTCGTCGGCTCTCTTTCTTTCTTTTTTTTTTGTTCAGAACAAGACTTGAAGAAGAGAAGAAAAATCTCGCTTCTCTATTCTCACCTAGAGCATCAAATACTGTTCGACAATTTCCTGGCAAAAGGAGATTTGAATATGAGATTGGTTAAGTGTTAATTACATCAACAAAGATCTCTATGAAGATTAAGCTTTATGTCACCTGTCCTTTTTCTTCTTATCTTCTGTTAATGATTTTTCTATTCTAGATACTCTGTTACTTCAAGTCTTTATTATTTATATCAACTACAAGACGTGCTCATACAGAAGTCACTCGACGAAATCAATTAGTTAGAAATTTCTCTCTCTCTCTCTCTCCCATATAGAACTCGTCAACAGCAACCATTTTCCTCAGGCTGCATGAACACATTATTAAAAAAAAAAACGGTTACTTTCTCGTTCATCATCCATTTGCATTTACTTGTTTTCTCATAATGTATATTAAACGAGAGTGAAGAACACGCACGTGTGTATATGAAAGATGTATTAAATCACAGTGATTGATCATTATCAACGACAAATCTCTATGGAATTGGCATCACAATTGTTGACTGTTGTTCGGAATACAACAGAAAATTTCATTTCGAAAGTTACTGGGTAAGAATATTTACTGTTTGAATTTCGTTTAGAAACAAATTTATTATTAATTCTTCTTGAAATTTTTCTCAAATTAAGTAGGAGTATCAAACATTTCTTTTTCCATACATTAAACATTTAATTATCCTTTAAAGTATTTTCCGATCCATTAACTTCTCGACTCTCGTTTTTTTTCTTCAAAACGTTCGTAGTTTTATTTGCTAAAAGAAAACAAAATTTTCTATCAATATTTGAGATTCATTTATTTATGATGATGAACACCTTTATTTGATGTTTTATATCGTTCGCTGAATCATCTATGGCTTTTTGTCGTTTCTTTCTTTTTTTCTCATTATTATCAAAATAGCCTGTTTGACTACGAGAGAGAAAGAAAGAATGTTTCAAAACAATATGAGCTCTCTTTTAGTACTTGTCTCGGATTACATTGCCGTTTTACTTGTTTCCGTCTCAGTTTTTTTTTTATATATTCAAAGAAGAAGAAGAAAAATAGTCGATCTACTCAAATTCCCAGAATAAGGCCAACAGCAATTGTTAATTAGAGGAGATTTTTTTCAGTCTGATGAAGGAAAAGATCGCAACAACGAAAATCTCTTAGCTTGATGGTTGTTTTTAGGAATCTAATGCGCAAATGATGTTTGTTTTTAGCGATCGAGATTCGATGTGAGAAAGAAAATGAAACATGAACAAAAACAAAGTGTTTTCAACTAGAAAATCGAAGAAAATTCAATAGATTTTCATATTTCCGTTAAGAAATGAAGGATTCAACGAAAAAGAAACGCCTAAAATTACACTTGAAGACATTTTTATTTCATAAGGGAAATCAACAAGCATGAGATATTCACATACACACAAATCTAACATGAAATTCTATATCTTCTGAACAGAATAACAATCTTATCTATTCGCATTCTCTTCAACAAGATTTTTCTTCCAAAATAAAACTTCTCGATATGAACAAATTGAAAACAATCTTTTGAAACACCTAAGTACTATTGATTCTGACAGGAAGNAATTACACTTGAAGACATTTTTATTTCATAAGGGAAATCAACAAGCATGAGATATTCACATACACACAAATCTAACATGAAATTCTATATCTTCTGAAGAGAATAACAATCTTATCTATTCTCATTCTCTTCAACAAGATTTTTCTTCCAAAATAAAACTTCTCGATATGAACAAATTGAAAACAATCTTTTGAAACACCTAAGTACTATTGATTCTGACAGGAAGTTACCATTTGTCATCGAAGTTATCAAAAGTATCTCATAGAATTACAATTCTTTTCCTTCTCCTCCTACACTTCTTTAGCAAAAAAATGTCGCGACTTGTCTTTGTCCATGTCGAAAATAAACGATTCTGTCAAATAAAAGAATACATAATCAAAGAGAAACTGAGAACAATACAAAATGAATCGATTTTTCTATGTTTGAGAAAAGTCATCTCAAGAGATTTGTCCAAACATTGAATAACAATGGAAAATGATATATTTAGACTTTTTCAACGTGCAACTCATGATCCTCAATCAGATTATGCTGAATTAGTTGAAGATGACGAAAGAAATTCTCAACGACGTATTAAAACTATTCCATCTACATCAGCAAATTATGGTTCCTATGGATATTCTCGTATCCCATTTGTTAATTCAATTCGAAATATGCCTGTTCGATATCAAACAGCATTTCTCAGTTCCTTAGGTTTTCTTATTTCCTTCGGTATTCGATGTAATATGGGCGTGAGTGTAGTGGCAATGACACATAATAAAACGGAAAAATATCCAAATGGAACAATCAAATTAGTTCAAGTAAAAAAATCAAAGATATTCAAAGAATATTTATGTTTTGTTTTTTTCTTGTTCAGCTCGCTCAATTTGATTGGACACCGGGAATTATCGGAATTGTTGATAGTTCGTTTTTTTGGGGTTATCTTGTCACACAAGTACCTGGAGGATATTTAGCAGCTAAATTTCCAGCAAATCAGTGAGATATATTATGAAAAGACTCGTTTTAGATTTCTTCGATATATTTTTAGTGTATTTGGATTTGCACTTGGAATTTCTTCGTTTCTAAACTTATTTATTCCCTTTGCTGCGAAAATTCATTATGGATTTGTAATGATTCTGCGAATTTTACAAGGACTTGTCGAAGTAAATAAGTATAGATTTGAATAAGATGAAAATTTTTTCCATTGGAATATTTCAGGGTGTAACATATCCCGCTGCCCATGGTATTTGGCGATGGTGGGCACCACCATTAGAACGAAGTACGTTAGCAACTATCTCGTTTACCGGTTCATATGCAGGTGCCGTTCTGGGAATTCCTTTGTCGGGAATTTTAACTGAATATTTCAATTGGCAAGTCGCTTTTTATTTCTATGGTAAAATTTCTGTTTTCTCTCACAATTTATCAATCGAATTCGAAAGAAACTCATAGGTATTATTGGGATATTATGGTCAATTGGTTGGTGGTATGTGTCATATGAACGTCCGGCGATACATCCGAAGATTAGTGAAGAAGAACGAATCTATATTGAAGAAAGTATTGGTGAAGCGAGTTCAGTTGCAAATAAAGTGAAAGATTCCTTCTGTAAATATGAAATATTCTCATTGATCGTGTTGTCAATTAGTCGTGGATCAAACCACCATGGCGTTCATTTTTTACATCAATGCCAGTATGGGCTATAGTTGTTGCTAATTTCTGTCGTTCATGGTCATTTTATTTATTAATTAACTCTCAAGCTGAATATTTTCAAGAAGCTTTAGATTATAATGTTGGAAAGGTTCGATCTTTTCCCCTTGGAAAAAAAACAGATTCAATTTTAAGACTTTCTGTTTTTAGGATCCATTTGCTGCAGCTTTACCTCATCTAACCATGTCGTGTATTGTTCCATTTGCTGGTAAATTAGCTGATTACTTGCGTCGTAATTATTTAACAACGACCGTTGTTCGAAAGATAATGAACTGTGGAGGATTCGGTATGGAAGCGGTTTTTCTCCTCTTTGTTGCATATGCAAAGAGCCCACCATTAGCAATAGTAGCATTGACAATCGCAGTCGGTTTTAGCGGATTTGCGATTTCAGGTTTGAAGATAAATTTTTATTTCGTTTGTTTTCGTCAAACGTTTTCTCTTTTTAAAGGATTTAATGTTAATCATCTTGATATTGCGCCACGGTACGCGAGTATTCTTATGGGAATATCGAATGGTGTTGGAACATTAGCTGGAATGTTATGTCCTGTTGCTGTAGAATTTTTAACGCGAAAAGGCGTAAGAATTCGGAAGAGGTTTTGATCGAAATCGAATCTTCTGTTTTGTTTTTTCATAGAGACGCGATGAGTGGGCGCATGTTTTTCTGATCGCTTCATTAATTCATTTCGGTGGAGTTATTTTCTATGGAATGTTCGCATCAGGTGAAAAGCAGCCATGGGCTGAGCCACCTCCGGACAACAATGATTCATCATGGTCAACAAACAAAAGTAATTTTCTCTTCTAAGACGTCATCAAAAACTTTTCTTTTTATTAAAGATCCGAATAATGAAAACGATCGATTTCCATTATATGGCGCAACAGCAACAAATGAAACAAGTGGTTATCAAGGAGGTGATCCATTTGCTGGGATGGCAAATGGAAATTATACAAATATTCCCGGTCGAAATGTAAATCCATCATCGTCAATTCCACTTACAATTGAAAATCCCTTGTATCGTAATGATCGTTAGATGAAAATAAATGCTAGAACAATCTTTTGACAATCACCTTTCAATTCAAAGAGATATTTTTTGAAGAAAATAAAAAAAAAGAATGAAGTCGATCGTTTAGTTTTCTTGGAAATCTCGAAAAAAAAAGTCAATATCGTTTGTTTTCTTTTCTCATTTTGCAAATTAGTATGCATAAAATTCGATGTTCTCATCGTCTTTTTTATTTGTTGTAATTCAGATTTTGCCTGTTGATTAGTCAAATCTTTTCATATGTTGTCTGTATTTTTGGTTTCGTTTTTTTGTTTTTCCCCTATTAAGAAAAAAAAAGAAGAAAAAATAATCCTTAACAAACTTGTCAACACAGATTTTGATTTTCAGTTCAAAGAATTCAAATATAAAAAAAGTACATCGTCTAGGTTTAATTAACTTTCCTGCTTGGAGAAGAACTTCATAAGAATTCTACCAAATAGTACTCGAGAGTGAAAGTCCAAACCAATCTTCTTCTCATATTGTTTTTAAAAATTGATGACGTTTCAATCAATTTTCAGTGAAGTGAACCAAATCTTTCTCATTGAATATTCTACATCTATTTACAAGACGAAAGAACATTGAACTTGATCTCACGCATCATATCATGTCATATTCATGTACATAACGTTTTTAACAACTGGATGACAAATCTATATGTGTAATGGTACAAGATATTTACCTTTCTTTCTCTTTTGACGAATAATACAAGTTAAACTTTATGCATTATTAAAAAAAGATTTGCCTTTGTGCAAATGTGTGTGTGTGTGTACTTTATGTTAGTTTGAATATATCCAACAACACAAGAGTGTGATTATGAAACGAAACAATGACGAGCAAACATTCCTATTTTGATCGATTGGAAGAATTGACGTAAGTTTTGGTGAAAGGAACATTTGTAGATTTCGTCAAAAAAGGTCAATCGAGTGTATTTTCGAAAGAAAAAACTGGTATGGATGAAAAGTTTTTTCAAGGTAAATTAAAGATTTTGATTAGAAAAAGACAAAAGAAAGGATCAAATCTTTTGTTAATCGAAGGTCAAAAACTCTTCTTCTATTGATTATCTTTCATCAAGAATTGTTTTATTTAAGAAAAAAAAAAAGAATTTTTGATTTGTATCGCGTATTCATTCACAGTCCTTCTGACATTTTCTCTCGTCGTCATCATCAAGAGATAAAACGAGTAGATCTTATCATTTGCTTCGTATTTCTTTTCTCTACATCTTGTCATTATCAACATTGAGGAAATAGACGAATCACATACATATTAACATAAACATATACAAAAACTTCTCTATTTGGCCTTCGATGTCTTTTTATGTTGCCATAGAATATCTGTCGACATTATTTCGGAGGAAGATGAATCAAGAAAGAGAGAAAATATCGATGAAAAAGTTAAATTCGAGGTTAAACATTTGTTCAATAAAAACAAAATGAAAAGTTTTCTTTAGTCAATATTGTCTAATCGAGTCGATTCATATCAATTGTCTTCTTTTCACCATATTTGTCTATTTTATATCAATAGACTAAAATTGTTCGACTTTGCAAAAGAAAGAGAAAAAAAACAATCGTTTCATTTGATTGATTAGTAGAGGAAAAAATCGAGACAAAAACTTTTTATTTCTAATAGAATGAATCTTTTCATAATAAGAACAGAAAAACAGTGTTGATCCCTTAGGCACTTTAGTCTGTCCTATTCTATTCAATGATAAAGTATTGTGCCGTTGATGATAGTGGTAGTAGTTCGCTGTTATTGATTGTTATGGTGAACAACAATTCTCCGTCTTTTTTTTTACTAGATGTTCTTTAAGCCGGAGGCAAATACAGACATACATTCTCTTATTCGTGCACTTCTTTGTTTTCCGCACCTTTTCTTCTTCTTTACTGTCGTTTTCCTGAAGCCATATGAAGAATCTTCTTCTTCTTCTCTTCGGCAAAACAGACACGCATTTGACAACAATCATTCGACAGAGAAAAAAAACGGCGCTGCATTGATCTAATTGACTCTATCATATTTTCACGATCTACTTGCAGGCGAAGCGAAGAGACGCTGAGGATATGCGCACACACACACACACACATACACGCAGGAAAAATACTACCGATGGCATACACACACATATAGATAGATATATACACACACATCGACGTCGTTTAGTATAAAGAGAAAAAGAGGTGGGTTATGCACACAGCTTACAGAGACAGAAAAGTGAAAAATCAATCATGCTTGCAGGATGTATGTGCTGTGATATGCACTCATCTTTCTTCTCTCTCTCTCTCTATACATATATATATGCTCGGTTATATGCATCATTATATTGAAACATGCTTCTTTTCCTCATATACAACACTCCAGCCCATCCGTGTGTATATGTCCGCCTATGCGTGTTGTATATCGTCGTCGTAATATATTGCCAAATGATACATTGACAGACAAAATGTTTCTAGTTTGCCAGCTTTCTTATATTTATTAGATAGACGCGTAAAACGATGAATGGATTTACCATCAGTTAGACGAACGAACGAACGAACGAACATGTAACCTTGTTTCTTGTCATTTTTGCATGTAGCTTATCATAGATCGTCATCACATACAGTTACTATCATTAGTCGATTCAATAGACGATGGGTAAGTGGTTTCCGTCATCATATTTATCTCTATCGATTCAGATTACCCAGGAAGGAAAAGTTTTTTTTTAATTGAAAATTTCATTTGTTAAATTCCAATTCAATGGTCTTTTTTTTTCTTCGAGAAAATAAGAGAGAATTTCATTATTGATTCGTTCACCTGTAAAGCAAAACGAGTTGAATTTGAAGAAAGAAAATGCCAAAGTCTTGTTAAGAAAAAAAAAACATTTCTTTTTTTTCCTCTACGATTCATTTGTCTTCGATGATACTCGATTTTTTTCTTCTCTAAGAAAGATTTTCTCATCGCTGTTGATAATGACAATAAGAAGTAGACATCCAAATCATTTTTCTTCTCTTGAGAAAAAACGCGGAGATTGTTTTAGCTGTGATGTTTGGGAATCGAAGCACTTGAGTCGAACGATTCCAATGAACGAGAAAAACATATTCTTGATAAGAATGTCGAATCGATTCACACAGTTCGATTTCTTGTCTCGAATGAATTCTTCTCTAATGAATCGACATATCAACCAGGCGAAGTTTTTTCCTTTTCTTAACTAATAGCATTAGAGAAAGAGGGAGAGAAAGAGTGAAAGAGATAAGAAGAAATGATCAAATCCATAGAAATGATATGAAGAGATTTTTTTGTCCGATTATTTCTCGAAGAAGAAAACACGTACATTGAGACAAATCACGTCCGCAGATCAATTTCTTTGAATTGCTTGGAGTAAGTTGCCAAATGAGAAGTTCTTTTCATCATTAGAAGAAAAATTCTAGTTCATCATTAATCTGGCAAGGTATTTACATTAATGTAACCTTTTCCAAGAGAGAAAAGGTTATATTGTATATTCTTTTTCCTTCTATCTGGATTTGACGACAAACCTCTCATTAATATGTCATCTCTCCATAGTTTACGAGCATTTATATCCGTTGGAATCGAATTTTCCAGACGTTAGCTTTGATCGAAGTTGTATTGATCTCGAAGAAAAAATGTTGTTTTACGTCGCCATCTATCTTCGACAAAAAATCTTTTTCTTTGTCAAATTCAAATCTCTTTTATCCGTGAGATTTGTTTGTAAAATACAAAAAATGATTTGAAAATAATTTTTCAAGTTAAATATTGGAGGTCTGTCAAAATCTGTTCGTCAAGAGGAATGGTAGAGTAATATTGTCTCTTTCATTTCTTTCTTCTCTTCTATTCCTACTTAGATGTCATCACATCGATGTTATTTCTTAGTTGATCAAAGTTCGAAGAGGAGAACTTTTTTTTCTTCGAAATAATCGATAAATTAATGTTTGACTTTCTCATTAAAACGTTTCGCACGATGGATTATCTTTTCCATTTTGAGACATAAATGTCATCATGATCAAGATCGAACCATGCCGAACATAAACAACGATTGATCAAAAAGACAAATCTCGTTTTTTTCCCTTCTCTCTTCTTTTTATATGAATAATGATCAACTATTAAAGATCATTCCCCAAAAGAGTTTCGCTTCTTTCAACAACTAAATGTGAATTTTTTCTTTAGTTTTAGAATAGAAAATCCAAATGGATTTGTTTGGCAAGGAGAAAAGGTCGTTATGACGTCAATGAACATTGTCTATAATCATTTATTCTTTTTTTTTTCGTCACCAGGTAAGGAAAAACTAATAACTTCCGCTTGAATATTTTCTTTTCTTTCTCATTTAGTGTTTTTTTTTCTCTTCTCTTTTGTTGCGTTGAGTTCTGAAATTTTTATCGATAAAAAAGAAGATAAGGAGAAAAAGAGAAGACGAGAATCCGAAATTTCAATTCTCTACTCATTCTTTGACTTACATCAGGTCGACGAAGAAATCTCTTTTCGTCAGTTTTTTCTTCTTCTTGTCGTTTTGTCAATGTTTGTGTTCAATACTCGAGACTAGAATTTGTTCAATCAGGATGCATTTTATTTGAAAAGGGCTATTCACATAACAGAAATGAGTCTTATTTGATAAGTTAACGCAGTTTTTTTCCCGATGATAATTGGCCTCGAGCCAAATTTATCTAGGTCAACGAAGAAAAAAAACGCAAATTCTCGTTTTTCTCCTCTCCTATCAACTTCTCTGTTTGCTGATGAGTCGCTTGATTGCCAGTTACTTATTCTACACTTGTCTATTTTTGACATTTTATGTTCGAAGAAGAATTTTCTCCCTAATGTTACATTCGATGAAGAATATATCTCTCATCATAACTGTTTGTTATGAAAGGGTGGGAATGCGATTATTTGTTGTCTCAGGTGTTCGATTCGATTTCATACTAAATGACCCACATTTTACTAGAGGATTCATTTCTACACTAATGAAAAAGAAGAAAAACAAAGTCTCAATATGTTCGAATATCTATATATTGTTAATCATTGTAACGTGACATTTATCTATTGTTAAGAAAATATTATTTCTCTGCTGATTGTTAATCAATTGTTTGTTTAATTAGCGATATAAAAATAAAATGAAAATAACAAAAAGAAAAGAATAAACTGACAGGATCTTCGTCTTTCTCTCTTTTTTTTTAAATAGAATTAAGGCGTTTTGCTTTCTGCTGAAGAAAGAGAGAATTGTTTACCTTAAGAAAGATGATGAATTCAATACGAATCATAATTGTAATTGCGGAAATCGAGCTCTTTTTTTTCTTATCGCTATCTGACTATCGTTTCGCTCGTCGAGAGACAAAATGGCAGGCATTTTCTTGTATATGTCTATGCACGCATCTCGTCGTCATCTCGTTAGTGATATTCCCTTTCCGGCATCTTTTTTCCCCTCTTCTATATAATGGAAACATTCGCATGCAACTTGAAATGTATACAGATAGAGAGATATATATTCACATTTGGGACAAGCATAAAACTAAATGTATACGAAGAGAAAAGGATGATTTGTGATTAGGACCTGTCTTTCTCTTTCTTTTTTTCATTCATTGATGTTGTTCAATGGATCAATGATCAGAAAAAGTAGGTTTGGTAATGATGATCAACGGTTTTGTAAGAGAATGAGACGCTATTTTTACCTCATTTACACACTCTTCTACTCTTTCTTCTTTTACATTTTGCGCAGGAAGAATCAAATAAAAATGAGAAAAACGAGATGGTTGCTTGTCGTGCTTTTGCGTCTGCCGAGATGAGATGAAACGAATGAATGAATAAATGAATGAATAAAATGCGCACAGTGCCTATTAATAGTAAACGAGTCTGATGTTTCTTACAGCATCATCAATAGTTCTACTTGAGAAATATGAGTAGAAAATTAAGGTAAAATCCGTTTCTTTTCTTCTAGAATGATTAAATAATATTTTCATTGAACTTTGTTTGATCTTGTTAGATTTGAAAACGTAAAAAAGGAGTAAAAAAAGTGCGTATATGTTTGCGTCAACTATATTTTAACTGGCCCATTCAAGTCACGTATTATCTATTATCTCTCTCTCTTGACAAACGAAACACGTCGTGTCTTTTCTCCTTCATTTCAACTAGACCATCGATTTGATTAGAACACACATAGAACAAGACAAAATGCAGGTGTCGAGCAAGACTTATTATAACGACGTTTATTGTCGTGCTCAAGCCTTTCGTATATAAGCTTTTCTCTCTCTCTCTTTCCCTCTCACTCGTTTTTTTTCCTCTAAATGTGAAGACATATATATGTTGAACAAGGACGATTGTCACATAAATCAATTTCCGTTTTACACACCCATTCATGTATGTACAAATCATGAGTAAAGATTGTAGTTGAGGATTTTGTACCTAAGTTCTCAAAGGAAATTTCTTTCGAAGAACTAAGTACGTTAATATTCGTCATGTCGAGTGTTGATGTAAGTACGTTTGTTCAGTAAGAAAGAAAGCCTCTCAAACGACTCATTCATCAATAATTTATCGAGAAGGAAAAAAAAAAGAAAATTTTCTTTTCTGTTTTTTGAATAAATAAATAACTATTTTGTCATTAGAAATTTTTCTGTCAAGATAAACAAGTCATTTATTAACTCGAGCATATTCAACATCTACCGATGTCTTTTTCTTTGTCTTCTCCTAACGGCAATAAGAAAAACTTTCGTTTATTTGATAATAGAAAAACAAATGAGATCACTAAGAAGAATATTTTCTATTTCAAAGATTGTCTATTGAGAATAGTTCAATTGTCGAGAGATTGAATTCATTGTCCTTCGAATGAGAAAAGGTAAATTGCTTTCGAAAAAGACGAATTTTACACCTGTGTGTAAGAAGATGATCTCTGTTTGTCTAATAGATGATCCTTGTCGAGATTTTATTGACTTTCGTCCATCTCTTTTTTCTTCTTTAAACTGTCAAGTATACGTTCGTTTTCTTTTTCTTATCTTAAGGTGTAGAAATTCAGTGCCTGGAGCTTTTTTTTTCTCTTAACGAAATTTCAATGAAGCTTACTATTTTTCATTTATTTATGTATAATTAAATCGTATGCATGCGTGCATACAATTAAGTCAACGAATGAACGTGTATTTCTAGAACATTATTATTGAAAAGAAAAATTAATATTATCATATAGACATTAATATCTTTTTTTCTGTTTCTATATTAAAAAGAAGAAAAAAAAAGCTTTTGAATAGAATTCTATTTTTATCTCTTCTCATTTAACACGTTTTCAATCTTTTCTTCTTTAATAAATAATACTAAAAAAATGTGTTGGTTACATTGAAAAACGTCGGTAAGAAAAAGATTCATATTAACAATATTTTTCATCCACAGAGGTAAAAGAAAAGTAATCACAGAAGAAAACGAGATAGTTGTAGTGCGCTCGATGAACAGAGGGTTAATTGTATCTTTTTATCTGATTATTCTCGCGTAAATAATTCTCATGTTAATCATAGTAGAAACTTTTTTTTTGCGAAAAAAAATGACGAATCAACACGGAGTTAAGATTAATAAATTCGTTCGATAAATATTCTTTTCGTTTGGTTTTGATATATGATCAGATATTATCCGATATTTACCTTACATGTATATTTTTCTCTTGTTTTTTTCCCTTTCGTTTAGATGCGTCAAGTGACTAACGAAAATCAATGACAATCCATTTTTGTTTTTTTGTCTTCATTGATCAGTCGATTTTATCAAATCAAGTAATACTCGATTTTCCCCAAAAGTATCATTACTACCGAGTAAATATCTTTTTCCAGTTTGAATACAAATGAATATTTCATTAGACAGACTTCAGATTTATCTTTCAACATAAATATCAATCTCTTCCTTATTTTTACAGAAATTCAAACGAGAAATCTTTTCATCTTCGTTGTTCAAAATGAGAACAAACAGTCAAATGTTCATTTGTATTCAACTTCGTAGTTCATAATGTACCCTATACCCCTAGTTGACTTAGTCTTGTCTTCGTAAAAGTACGCCATCTAGAAATCTGTCAAATAGTGGTATAATGAATGCATATTTATTTGTGCTGGATGATATAAGATTGTTGTTGTTGTTGTTGTTGTTATTATTATTATTGTCCACGAGAAAAGACAATCAATGCAAAACGAAGAAATTGTTCGATTTGACACACTCATCTTGCAATTTGATTTTACAAAAAATCTTTTTCTTTTCTTCTTCTAGATGTTCTATATATATTGATTACTTTTTGTTGTTCTTGTTGTTGTTTTTTTGTCCAATCATTGACAAAAATTTCTATCTGTGCATTCCATTCACCTACACAGAAGACAAACACACATCTTTTGTTTTATTTCTCAAATCCGGTGTTCTCCTTTTGTTTTGCAATATGATTATTTCTTTGAAATGTAAGTCAAGTCGTTCTTTGAGAAAATCTGCTGAAAATGAATTTCTTTTAAGAATGTTAACTCGTTCGTCAGCAGCTTCTCGTTCATCTCCACCAATTGATCAAGAAATTGAAAAACGTCGACGATCCACCATCACAAATAATGATGAGCAACAACAAAATGACAATTTCTCGTCAACACAAGCTAAACCGTTGAAAAAACGTTGGTTAGCTCATCACAATGATGATCAAGAACAACAAGTAGATCTTAGTCAAGGTAAAACTTTCCTCTCGTCACGATTTCTCTTCTTGAAAATCATTTTTTTTGTTTTAGATAATTTATTATCAATCAATAATTTAATTCGTGAATATAATTTTCAAGATTGGCAAACAATAACAGTTCTCGTGCGCATAGGAAATAATGAATATGTATCCGGTACAATCACTGATATTCCAAAAACTGCGTGTTTAACAGTTGTGCCATCGATTCAACCGAATTCCAGTGCTCATTCAAATCAAATTCAAATCAATTTATTCGAAAATCTTTTCGGAATTTTATCTGATAATGCACCACCCATACGAGAATTAACCACAGGAAAACATGTTGTATGTCGTCGACAACAAAATTCGCCAATTTATCAACATGGAATCATTATCGAGAAAACCGACGATGCCAAATTCAATATTTTATTCGAAAATCAACAAGAAAGTTTCTACGTACCAAGACAATCCATTCGATTGTTTTTACCACCTTGGCACGATGGTAAATCATTTCGTTTTTCTCTGAATAAATCGTCATTTGTTTCGATTTTTCTTTTTCAGAAATTCCTGTTGATTGGAATGCCGCACTTGAATCGACTTATTTATTCAAATCGAGTCTTACATCTGATCTTAATCAACGATCAGGTTATTTTGGAAGTCCATCACCACGTGAATCATCGGTTTCATCCAATGATAGTTTACAATCAACAAATACCAATTTAAATGACTCGGTTAAAATGACATCGAACGATTGTTTGACAAAAGAAAATCCTTCAATCGGCAATTCGAATTCGTCATTGAATAATTCGAATGATGTTCCAACAACAATTTATAATCAAGTTCTTTATCGTAAAGGGGATGTGATGACATCAAGTCAATCACAAATTCGTAAGAAATTCAATGGTAAACAATGGCGTCGTCTTTGTTCAAAAGATGGTTGTCCAAAAGAATCTCAACGACGTGGTCTTTGTTCGCGACATTTATCCCAAAAAGGACGACAAGAACATTGTGCTCAAACAACAGTTAGTTTCGATCGAATTCATTCTCAACCATCGATCCTTCCATTGACAACAACCAATTCATCGATGCCGCCACAACATGGATATTATTCTGCTCCACAATCGCGAACTACAACACCACTTTTGTTCTCACAACAATCACCGAGATTTCTATTACAACCGAATTCATTCGACAATGAAGATTTTCATTCGAATGGTTATTCATCTGGTCCACGATCAACGACATCAGAAATTTTAACCAACGAATCTTCCCAAGGTTTAGTCAATTCGATTCGAACGGTTAATTGGCCAGAACTTTTACCGAAAATCGCGATAAATTTCGATTCAAATCGTTTTCATTCGATTGCCACTGATGAAACAAAAGACGATGAAAATAACAATTCATCGAATCCAGACGATAGTTCAATGCACGAAGATGAAACGAATTCTTCAACTAAAAATGATAACGATAATGAAAACTCGTCATTTCATCCCGATGATTATCAAAATTTCCAACGTTCATCTTCATCGACATCGAAGGACAAACATGTTCGACGTCCGATGAATTCATTTATGTTATTTTCTCAAGAACAACGCGGAAAAATTCACTTAGCGAATCCAAATCGTGATAATCGAAATGTTTCGAAGATTTTAGGTGAAAAATGGTATTCATTATCCGCAAGTGAACAAGAACAATATCGAATTCGAGCGAAAAAATTGAGAAATGAACATTCGAAACAAAATCCTTCGTTCAAATGGACAAATCAATCGAATAAATCGAATTCATCGACTGTTCCAATCGAAAGTAAAGATGAAACTGATCAATGTAGAAGATCAGCTCGTTTACAATCACATTCAAATCAAGAGAAAAACACTTCACCACTTTGCGATCGATTACAAGCATTTGCACAAGTAATATTTTACTTTCTTTCAAAGAAAATATTCATTTTTTTCTCATATAGATTTGTACAAATATGCCAAAATTAACTGAAGAATCAACACAAAGATTTTCTCCAATAACAAAACCTTCTTCGGATAATATTTCAACATTGACTAATCTGATTACACCTGTTCCTATTCATGGAAATTCAACTCCGACAAGTACAATGACGACAAATATCAATTCAACTCATGGTAAAACAGATTTTCTCGAGAAAGGACTCCGAAATTTTCAAATTTGATTCTTTAGAATTTGATCATACATCATCAACTGGAACTTTTCAATTTCGTAATACAGCATTTCGTCTTCATTCATCTTGTCATTCAACTGAAAGTAATTCTGTACCAAATTCTCCACATTTAAAAGTTGAAAATACTTCATCATCATCATCATCATCATCATCATCAGTTTTATCTGAAAATGAAACATGTCGAACGATTGTTTCGATGTTACTCAATCAACGCAAAACGAATCTTGGTCTTGAACAACATCTTAAACATTTACAATCGACATCAAATCATTCAAATAAAGCATCAACATCTCAATCACCAACTGAATCGAACAGTAACTCTCATGATCGACTCAAACGTTCTTCCTTCGATGAACAACAACAACAACGAAACTTAAATTTTCACAACTCTCAACATCGTTTCTTCACACATTCAACACTAAGTAAATCAAATTTACATTTTGATCTTTTCTTCATTTCGAATCCTTCATTTTCAGCTTCATCAGCAAGTAATTCTACTGGTTATTCAAGTGGTTCATCATCATCGACATCTTCACTTGATAGTAGTAGTACAATTTTATCAGCATATAGTTCTCGTTCGAATAGTTCACTGTCTGAACGAAGTAAAACATCACCAACACCATTAAAACAAATTCCATTTCAATATTTACCTACAATTAATGAATCAAATATACATTTACCAATCACAACTGATGATGAAGTGACACAATTAACTTCATTTAATGAAAATCGATATGAAAAACAATCACCTATTCCAACCACATCGGAACAATTCGATTCGAATGTGAACAAACCATTAGCAAAACGAAGAAAAACGATCACATTAGAAGTTGTTCAACGTCCGACAACTCGATCTCGTAGTATTAGTGAACGTGCTGGAACAGGCAGTTGTAGTAGCAGTGATTTATTTCCAATTGTAACACGTAAACGAAAAGCATCTATCAATAGTGAACAAAATGAAAGTGAAATCAAACGTACAACTATTGATTATGTCAAACAGTTAGATGGTAAGATGATTTGTCTTGAAAAAAAGAAAAGTTTTGCTTATATTTATTGAATAGATATGAAAAGTCATTATATAAAAATAAGTTCGATTCGTCAAATAAATACATCAGCTTGTTCAATTAATCCAGTTTTGAATAAAAATCAGTTAACATCAAGAATAAAAGTGATTGAGTTTTTGAAAGATCATCTTTATCCCACTGGTAAACAATTTCTTGATGTATTTTTTTTTGCTAGCCATATATCTATTTTTTTATAAAAGATTTATCAATATCATCATTTCAAGTTGAAAATCAAGATATATTTCCAACAAAACGTTTATTAAATCAACGTATTCGAGAAATTCGACAAAAATTAATGAGTCATGTCAATCAACAACAAATAATTCGTGAAACATCATCATAAACAAACTTTTCTTCTTCATCTTCTTTCTTTTATTTGTTTATTCGATGTTGTGCCATACGTATGTCGTGGTAGTCTTAGCCTCTCATTGTATCACCCACCGGAATGACGTGTCCGTTCGCCTCCTATTCTCTCTTTCTAGTCCGTGTTCTCTCTTTCCCTTCTCGTTTTAGACAACAACACAAACTCTGCGTGTCTCTCTCTTTCTTTCTTCATTAGGTATAATTTCTTGTTCTTCATTATTCAATTGCCATCATCATTATCGTAGACTCGTCATTGAACGTGTCTCTAAAAAAAGTAACCCTTATAACAACAAATAATGCTTATCTTCTCTTATTTTCTTCTCTCATTTGTTTTTTTTCTTTTTGTTAAAACGGTCTCTATTCTACAGTATGTGTGCGAGATGTCAGATTGAAGGTTTTCATAAATTTTGTTATTAAAAAAAAAAGGAGAGAAAATAAAGGAAAAGTTAAGAGAAAGATTTATTTGTTGTGCTTTCCTTCTTCTTTCTTGTCTTGGTCAGTTTTTTTTCTTCTTCGCGTCTCGTCTTTTTGTTTATGTAACGCGTTTTGTGTCTTCTATCGTTTTTTTTTTCTTTTTTTCATTTGGATAACAAAGAAGAGAAACAGAAAAAATATATTCAAACTAAACAGGAAAAAAGGATCCTTCACTGTAGATGTTTTCATGGCAAATTGAGAAACAGATGAGAAACTTCTCATCTGTATTGAAATATTTCATCTTGATTCGATTGTTCAGTGCATTTTTCAATCCAATCGATGATTGTGATGAAGTTTACAACTTTTATGAACCTGTAAGTCTTTATCATCGAACTTCTCTCGGACGATCTCAAGTTTTGTTTTCAGTTGCATAAACTAATGTATGAACATGGATTTCAAACATGGGAATACTCGCCGTTATTTGCCCTACGTTCTTATGCATATCTTGTTCTGCATTGGATACCGATTTCTTTCGTTCCGAGTAGTTTCAAAGTGAGAGGCAAGAAAAATTGAAGTTAATTTCATTCAATCTGATTTAGCTCATCGCATTTTACCTTCTTCGAGTTTGTCTGGCATTGATTTGTGCAGTTTGTGAAGCATTTTTCTTTCGGTTTGTATACAAAATCAATTTGACAAATGACAAAATCTTCTGTTTTAGTGCAATTGACAAACAACTAAATAATTCTATTGCTCGTAATTATGCTTTATTATCGATCTTTAATGTGGCGTTATTTCGAAGTAGCAGTGCTTTCATAAATAATTCATTTTCCATGTATACGGTGTTATTTGCATATACATGTTGGTTTTCAAATGTTTTACCTGTAAGTTTCTTGCTATCACATCGATTTCTATTCTCTTTCATTTAGTTATCGGTGTTCTTCATTGCTTTCGGTTCGTTATGTGGATGGATATATGTTGCTGTACTCGGGTAAAAGGAAGATTTATGCTATGATTGAAGAAGCTTTGTTGAGTTTAGTGTACCAATAGCAATTGATATTCTATTTCGTCGTCAACGTTATTGGGACTTTATTAAATGGAGTTTTATTTCAGGAATGATCACAATAGTATGTGAGAAAAATGATCATTGAACATTTTTTTATTGTTGTTTTGTTTTGTAAAGATTCCGTCAACTTTGATTGATTCATACTATTATGGACAATTAGTAATTGCTCCACTGAATCACATTCGTTATAACATTTTTTCAAAACATGGCCCTACACTTTACGGTGACGAAAGGATGAAAATTTGATATCTTAAAGATAGTTTTATTTCATTGAGTTAGGTACGGACCCGTGGACTTATTATATCGCAAATGGTTTACTAAATTTTAATCTAATTTATCCATTAGGAATTCTTGGAATTTTCCTAGCAGTAAAAAAACCTTTTGTTTTCTTCATCGTAAGGACTCGAAATGTTATTTTCAGCCATTCATTGATATATTTGTTGATCGTCGTTATGTTCAATCTGGCAAAGCATCCATTCCACATACATTGATTGTATCTTCAATCGTTCTTTGGATGGGTTTATTATGGATGCAACCACATAAGGAAGATCGATTTGTTTTTCCAATTTATCCGTTGATTATTCTTGCAGCATCAATTTGTATCGAACAATTCGAAGTGAAGGACTTGAATTTGAAAGATGAAAGATTATTTACCAATGAATTTCTAGAATTTTATTCCACGTCTTGTTCGTTTGATCAAATTGAAGCGTGATTATGTTTTACTTCTTCGTTCATTGTTCGTCTATTCGATTGTTATTGTTCATGGTTTATTGTCAATATCACGAACTGTGGCGATTATCGATGGATATTCTGCGCCTATTCGTCTCTTGACACACTCAAATTCAACACAAGCATTTAAATTAGAAGAAAATCGACATTTGAATGTTTGTATTGGAAAAGATTGGTATCGATTTCCGTCACATTATCTCCTACCACAGAAGTACTTTAATTGTTAATTGAAAAGAAACGATTGACTTTCGTGTTTGTTCTAGTTCGAAACTATCATTTCTTCGTTCAGAATTTCGTGGACAATTACCAAAAGCATATAGTCAAGAGAAAAATGCTACACGATTGAGAGAAAGTCATTTCAATGACGCCAATAAAGAACAAGTTGACCGATATGTAAGTATTTTGGTGTTGAGAATTTTGATCCACTTGATTACGTTCATAATAGATCAATTTGAATGAATGTGATTACATTATTGATCATGATAGTGAAAATCCGAGTGAACTAGAACCGAATTATAGTAAACAATCAGAAATTGTTACGTCAATGAGAATGATTCTGCCATCAAAGTGAGAAAAAAACAATCTTTTCTATGTTAATAACTCAATGTGATTTGTTTATCTGTAGAGGATCAATACTGCGATCGTTTTATGTTCCGTTGTTGAGTGATCGATCGAATCGATACACATTTTTACATTTGTTGAAGTTTTCTAAACATTTTCGTATTTGAAATAGATAGACAAAGAGAATCGGGTGTGATGGGCTATGATAAAAGATTTTCGTTAGTGCAAGTTTGATATCATTTGTGGACTCGAAAATATTATTACTGAATTAGTATAATATACTGTCGCATTGAACAAACAAAAGTAAATGTTCTTTTTATTGTGGATAGCTACATTATCAAATATTTCTTTACATAAAAAGTATTACACTGATCGGCTTAAAAAGTTTTAGTTTGGTGGATGTCATAAGTACCTAACTGTTATAAAAAAGAATTCGTCAATCAAATGATGGCCTATATTGTCTATTTTTTACCGACTACGCTACATTTTCATTGGGATATGGGCCGCATCGATTTTCTGACAGTGAATTGTGCAAGTTTTGACTATTTGACTTTTCTCTGTGCTCTTTAGCATATATCGTACGGCTTAATTTACACATGTAGTATTGATATTTATCTTATCTCTTAATAACAATGGTCTTGGCTGAGAAAAATAGCTTGCATAATTTGTGTACCAAAATCATCGTTGAGATAATAAAATTTAAATAGTATTTTTACACTGAAGAAAATGGCCGTTTCCATGTCAAACATTAATAGCACGAAAAGTACACATTTCCTATAGGTTTTAGGAAAAGACCGACATATAAGTTGCAAGATGAATTTTTTAGCTACTCGTAGCTTATGTTCAAGTATGGCTCTCGTTCACAAATATAACTTTCAATGATATTACAAGCACGACGATATACCAACCCTAATAATAAATATACTCCCCTCGCTCCTGATGCGAAACGTTTCTCTTACCTTAGTAAGCCTTGCAAAAAGACATTCACTATCAATTATAAGGATACACAGTGGCTGGATGCTTAATATTCGTCGTAATATCAAATTGTGAATGTTAATATAGTCGGCCATCGTTTAAATCTGACAGGATGTGCAAATCGTGAAGTATATTTTTATTTTGCGTTCGATTACAAAATGACTGTAAAAGTTTCTATCCATTAAAATTTATGTTACCGACATCAATCCATCAATAACTTGATCGTTATCTTCTTCTATGCAAACTATACCATGACACTACAAAATCCTCAACGACTTAATTTCAGCATCGTTAAGATTGTGCGGAAGTTTCAAATCAACCAAGTTGAAGTGTGCAACAAGGAATTTCAGTAGGTTTCTGACCGGCGCAAAAAATGGCTGATGATGAGATTCTCTGTCAGACTTTGGCAATCCGTATAAGTTGGTATCGAGATGAACAATTCTCTATTTTTCGTTCAAATTTGTAAAGCTTAATTTCTGGAAGGCAAAATACTAATTAGTAAATATTTTAACCAGGACGATGCTTCCTGAAGCAGGATTCCAAGAATTTCCGACAAAATCCTTGAGGAAACTCGCCATTTCTGAACGGAACCCCGTCCGGAAAATGCCAGGGATCCGATGAAGAAATGTGGTAACCGTTTTCGGCTACCGATTTTGACGTGTTCCTATCGGTTTCGATCCAAACCAGATAAATCCGATCACCGGATCCGTCCATCAGGAATACTGCTTCCATGAAATCTCCGGAATATCACGGACCCAACCGTTTCCGTGCCGGATTGTTCGACCTGGGTAAAAATCAAACGATAGCTGAAATATATTGGCAGTTTAAAAAAAAAATTAACTAGACACAATCTTTTCCTAATAATCTCTACTAAAAAAGCGACCCTGGCAGGAGTTGAACCTGCAATCTTCCGATCCGAAGTCGGACGCCTTAGCCATTAGGCCACAAGGCCGATGTATGTTCAACAAGTCTAAAACAATCTAATTAGTTCAATTTATATCTAGATGAGGATACACTTTGTATCTACGAAATATAACTCCTCTTATAGATACTTTATCATTTATTGTCAAGTGTGCCTCAAAATAAATGAATAGTTTGGTGATTGTTTCTCTTTGTAGAAATATAGAATAATTTCTTACGAAGTGTAAGTTCTTTCTATAATATCTCCATTTTCTACATTTGGTATATCTTATACATCTGATGAGACTGAAGAAGTTTTCCCAAGATCGTACGATTCGTGATGACAATTGCCATCTACAGGACGTTTGTGTGAAATAGATCTATACCTGCAGTCGTGAGTAATTTGATTGATCATATGATATCAGAAATTCATGGTAAGACGAGGAAAATTATGTTAAAAAATCAAAGATGATAATGTTTAAATAAAGAGACAACAAACAGATGGACCTGTATTGCGTTGACAATTCAACTAAATTTTTTCCAATCGATCTTTTCCTGAATTCAGTGAAATTCACTTAAAAATAAATATTTCATACAAATGTAGTTGATATTTTCGATACTCGAGCTGAATTCATCAGTCAACATTATTTTTAAAAGATTAGAAAAAAAACGAAAAAAAGCGACCCTGGCAGGAGTTGAACCTGCAATCTTCCGATCCGAAGTCGGACGCCTTAGCCATTAGGCCACAAGGCCGGTGTATGTCATTATATGAACAGAAACGAAATAGATAAGTGAAGAATTTCGTTTTCTAAAGAGAAAGTGTGATGTAGCCTGTCAAAGGGAACTTTTTCATAAAATAAGTATGAGAATATCGGTATCTTTTTCTCGAAAGAAACAATGAGTTTTATCCATATGACTGTCGCGACCGGCATGCCATTAGGTATGTTTTGATAACGTGTAGCTACTATGACTTAGCTAGAAAAACAAAAACGTACGTGATATGTTTGTTTCGATTTTCTCTCGCGGGTAGTTAAATGATAATTTCCTGTCACTGCTTTAGTATTTTTTTTTCCATAGCCCATCCACATGCTCTGAAAATAGAGAACATACACCGTGGGGATATCTCTTTTGGTTAAGTGGAAGCGAAATCAATAAACAACGAGCACATTCGGTGCTTTCTTGTACTAGAATATAAAATATTTCGATATGTGAACAATGTTGAAATTACATTAAACAAAGAACGGATTTAGTTAATGGATTGTGTTCAGTTGGATTTGTGTCATGAATAATGACGTCTCCCATATGTTCCATCAATAATTGATATCGAAGATATTGAAAAACCAATATTTCAACTGCTTTTATTGCATCTTTTTCACCACAAGTCGCATTTAAATACTTCCATAATAATGTGATGTAATAATATTGATGTTGAACAATTAATTTGTAGTCAGTCAACGTTAGTGGCGATTGTTTCGGAGATAATCTCGACAGATTTATTGTGAATATCAGAGAACTCAATGCTAGTTTTAAAACTGATGGATATTTGATAAAATAGTCGTAACAATGACGTGCTTGTGACATTTGAGAATGAAAAGATGGACTAATCCATTGACTCATATGTAGACCAATCTTTGGATTTTCAATAAAGTTGTCTCTCAAGACATGATGAATGTGAATGAGATGCGTGAGATTACATTTGACCAGAAGAATTCGATCTTCAACGTTTATCTGTTGAAATTCTTCTATCTGTTTGTAGAATTGTATCAAAGTTCGATACATATCATGTTCATCATTTAAAAAGTCGATGAGTTTTGTGTGAGATAATGAATAATGAGTGAAACGATCTTTGTCACACTGAATAATCTGAGCATCGTACGCTTTTATGATTCGATTGATCAATAGCCATTCATGAGATGTCAAATGTAGCGAAGAATCGCTTGAATTCATCTAAACAAAATGAATTACGTTCATTTCAACATACATTTCACTAGTAGTCAATGTGCTCAATTCAATATGGATCGATCGATGACTGTTAATTTTATTTATACGGAGTAAGACAAACTAACCAATTATCGAACGAAGTTAACATCACACTGGTCACAATGAACAAGATCTATGATTGGAAAATTCATATTTCTTTTATTCACATAATCTTCGAACCATCTACTTTCTGTTAAACATTTGTTACATCAATTATTTCCATTTTTCTTATTTGAAATACTGAATAAGAATCAATAACATTTAAATTCTATGAGAACGTCGTCAGTAGAAATCGACGACATCTACAGAAGTAGAAGGTCGATTTATTTCATCGTGTATACTATAAATAGGATTGTAAAACATCGCTTCACTAGTTTCATTTAACCATTCGGAAGTATCGACAAAAACATTCCACTTGAAGTAGAAATTCGTTTAAAAAAAGTGAATGATATCCAAAGGGTTATTATGACATATATTCATATATTTAATAGGAACAATTGTTTCTTTATTTTTTACTTTTCTCTTCGTTTCATTCACGTTATTCAAAATCTCATCTAGGAAAATTACGCTCGAGCGCAATTATATCAATCTATTGATGTTCGTTACATTTGAAAAGAGTCGCTTGTTTCATTGATGTGAGATATGGAGTTTGATTATTCACTCCAATCGAAAACATGTTTTTGTGAAATGAAGGGATATTTATAATTACACTCGTCAGTCTATAATTATTTGTCAGTAAAAATGTTTTTGTCAGCGAGTATCACCTTTTTACGATAGGTCTTTGGTCTTCATATTTAAATTAATTTAGTAGAAGAAGACAGAAGAAATTTTTGTTATGCGTAGTTATAAGTTGTATTGTGAATAATATTCATCACTCGAATCAATTTTATCATTCGGTTTAATTAATTTTACAGAGTAGATTCGTTGAAATGTAAACTAGCCCGGATATGAATGTTAAACTGACGAAAATATTGTTTTTAACATGTGAAATAATATGTTTTTTCATGTAATATATCGCGAGTTTGATAGGCCGTAGATTTTTGCCGTTTATCGATAAATAATTATATTCTTTTTAATTCATATTGTATAACCCACCTCACATCTTGTTTTTCACTCCGATAGCATCAAAATGTCAGGTATGTATGATTGTATTCGTGAATCGACGCCAACGTTATCATATATATACACGTACTATATCTTCTTTGCCTTCATAATTTAATCGGATGTGAGCTAATTCTAAATCACGTTCACCCATTTCATGTTCTTCGCGGTTTTATTTAAAAATAATGCGGATAGTTTGTATTTTAGATATCTTTGAGCATGTCCACTGCCGCTTCAATCGAAACCAATGCACCGGAAAAAGCGATTCATCGCATCAAAGCACAATCCGATGAAGAACGTTCACAAATCATCATCGATGTTTTCGTGAAATATTTTGGAGATGGAATCAAAGCTAATCCAGCTGCATTTCGCGGTCGATTTCGAAAAATGGCTGCAACACCATTTAACTTCTATCGTGGCTCAGCACTTTTGTTCTATCAAGATCTCAAAGTCGATCAGGATCAATGGATCAATGCCAATCCAGCAGCGGGAAACATCTTCATTCATGTGAGCTATTTCTGTCACACTTCGTCTCGTTTTTATTCTTCTCTGTGTGTAGGGCGATCTACATGCTGAAAACTTTGGCACCTATCTGGACAATCACGGCATCTTGAATTTTGATGTGAATGACTTCGATGAAGGATATTGTGGACCATTCACATGGGATGTCAAACGTCTTCTGGCATCATTGAACTTGGTTGCACACAGTAAAGGCTTTTCTGATGCTGAGATCGAAGAAATCCTTCGAACTTGTGCACAAGCCTATGTAAAACAAGTCGAAGCATTTTGTGAACATCCAGAACAGGAGTTTTCATTGACACTGAAAACAACTAGTGGCAAGATTAAGAAGATTCTGAACGAAACACGTGTGAAATCGCATGTGGAACATTTGAACACGATGACAGTGATTGAAGATTATGATCGACGATTCATTCGATCGAAAATGATCAAAGACGTCGACGAAAATCTACGAGCACAAATCACCCAAGTATAGCGATCGTGCTTGATTGAATGTAGTCGAATCAAATGATTTTTCTGTTTATAGGCTTTCGATGATTACGTAAGAACAATTCCTGAGTACAAGAAAAAGGGCAGTAAAACATGGGAGAGCTATACCTATAACATTAAGGATGTCGTTGCTCGATCATCACCTGGTATCGGATCAGCCGGCAAAGTTTCCTATTCTATTCTTGTCGAAGGACCAACAGAAACACTAGAAAATGATATTGTTCTTTACATGAAACCAGCACAAAAGTCAGCCATCAGCTATGTCATTCACAATCCCGAACTAGAACAGTATTTTCAACATGATGGTCTTCGCACTGTGCTTTGTTCCTATGCAATGCAATCCGTCACACCTCAATGGTTGGGCTATACAACACTTGGGACTATCCCTTGTCTCGTTGATGAAGTCACCGCACACTCGGAAGATCTCGACTGGGATGACATCAATGATCTGAATGACATTCTCGAAGTTGTCACCTATCTTGGACGAGCGACAGGTGAGCAGTTATGTTTTGTCATCGAAATATTGTTGAGTTTGATTTAGCTAAGATTCACTGTGTTGCCGATTCTGATTGTGTGAACACACCGGGTGATGTATCTTGCTTACCTTTCTCAATTATTCCAACACATACGGAGAAAACCATTCGCGATGCCGTTGGAAGTGGCGAAGAAGAGTTTGTTAATGAAATGGTTGAATTTGGCATGGTGAGATGATTAAACAGATGTATTGTAGTGATGAAATTGTGTTCTTTGTTTGTAGTTGTATGGTAAACTGGTTCGTCGAGATCATCAACTATTCTTCGAAGCATTTCGCAACAAGCATATTCCTGGTCTTTAATAGAACGGTTACAGGGACGGAGAACTTTGCAGTGAAGTATTATTATGATTAGACCTCCTCTCATATATTCTCTAAATAAATTGTGTGTGCGTGGTTCATTGAAAGGAAATATATATTACAACTTAGATTTTCGAATTTGCATGCAGCAAGAATACTACAATAGCTCTACATTAGAGAAACAGAGACAATTACTTTTATATACGATGTTGAAATGATCGAACGGAATCAAGATTTTTAGTAGGAAGTATTGAGTAACTGCGCGATAATTCCACGAAATAAATATTGAAAAGATATCATAGCTGTCATATTGCACCGGAAAGAATTTGTGCTGATCCATTCGGTCATTTCCGATCGCTATGAAAACATATAATCATTGAAAAGGATATTTTGTGCACAAGTGCGACATCTATTAGATGAATCTTGGTATAAAAATGAAAAGTGCTATTGTCACGTTGTGTTATTTTCTATTATTTGGAATTAGTACTCGTTGAAATGAATTGCATTATTTAGTTTGAATTTGATTCATAAAGATTCTACGCATAGTTTGATTGGTGACAGTCGTTTCGTTTGACTCATCTCTTTCGTCTGTCTACTTACCTAAGACAAATGTAATGCTATGCTATGAACTGAAATTGACTTGAAATCATTATCAGTTTGTTCTTGAATTCGAATAAAAAACATATTTCAGATAAAGAATGTTTTCATTTGGTGCAAGTGCGAATAAAACCACGGCAAGTGCCACTCCATTCACATTTGGTGGTGGATTGTCAACAACTGCTGGAGCGACTACAACCACCACAACTCCATTTGCGTTCGGTGCTGCTGCTGCTGCCACAACAAATGCACCAACGAGTACAACATTTGGATTCGGTGCAACATCAAGTACAGTGGCGCCTTCAACTGCACCAGGAAGCTCTTTTTCATTTGGTTCGACTTCTGCAGTACCTGCTTCTCAACCTTCAACATTTTCATTCGGATCAACACCTACAGTAGCACCTTCTACTCAACCATCTTCATTTAGCTTTGGATCGACAAGTACAGCTCCAGCAACACAACCATCTTCTTTTGCCTTTGGAGGAACACCTGCAGCAGCAGCAGCATCTTCTTCTTCTACTACACAACCAGCAGGTTTCGCTTTTGGAGGAGGAGCAGCACCAACAACTGTATCAACACAACCATCATCTTCTTTCTCGTTTGGCTCGACAGCAACTAGCACTACAGCTGCTCCTGCCCCTACTACAACTGGTTCTACATTTTCGTTCGGTGGTGGTAGTTCGTCAACAACACCAGCATTTGGTGCTAGTATTGCTACACCCGTTGCTTTCGGAGCGACGACATCCGCTCCATCATCAGCTGGCTTTTCAACAACATCATCCCTTTTTCCTTCAGCTACATCGACAGTTGCATCGTCACCGTTTGCACCGCCTGCTACGACGACAACTACTACTGCACCGGTGAGGCTGAATTTCAAGAATTATTTCGCGTTTCTAAAATATTATCTTTAGACTTCATCTCTCTTCTCTTTTGCTACTACGCCAGCAGCGACAACAGCGGCAGCAGGATCTACGACTTCGTCTGCTTCTCTGTTTCCATTCAGTGCTCCTGCTAGCACTGCTGCCACTACGACAACTACCGCAGCTGCCCCAGCTACATTTTCTTTTGGAGGAACACCAGCAGTTGCTCCTGCTGCTCCAACTACAATAACAGCACCACCAGCTCCTTCTCTCTTTCCTCTTTCAACCACAACAGTAGCGACAACAACCACATCATCAACAGCAACAACTCTATCAGCAACACCATCTTTTACATTTGGCTCTCAACCTGCTCCTGCTCCTGCCGCTATTACAGCAACAACTACACCATTAACAGCAACAACCGTGTCAGCAACACCATCTTTTACATTTGGCTCTCAGCCTGCTGTTACAACAACAACTACAGTAGCAAGTGCTCCTGCTCCATCAGTAATGATCATTCACACTACAAAATATAGATACTTTTACATGAACTAAATTGCTGAAACCTGTTCATTTTTCTAGGCGCTTCCATCGTTTACATTGCCCAGTGCTACGACAACAGCAGCAACTACTGCTATCTCTTCAGCAGCGACTCCTACTTTCACCTTTGGTGCTCCTTCGACAGCAGCTAGCACAACACCATCTGCATCGCTTAGTTTCCTTCCTATAAAAACAACAGCCACGACGACTACTACGTCGTCAGCAGCAACTACCAGTGTATCCAGTTTTCCATCGTTCACTGCTCCAACAACGACAGCAGCAACAATAGCATCCACAGCTGCATTTACACTACCTACGACTACTTCAACACCTGCCACAACAAGTGCATCAGTAAGAAGGAGAAGAAGAAAAGTACTGAGACGTTATCGAATCAATTATTATGTATTTAGTCAGCTACTTCAACATTAAGTACAGCAACAAGTATTACTGGACTTGGTGGTTTCTCTGCTCCTCCTGCAACATCTGCAACAACTAGTTCATCCGGTACGACTACCACTAGTACATCCACAACTTCATCATTCGGTTAGTTAAAACTGAAAGAAATATTAATCAATTTATTTCTCTCTCCTTCATAAAGGTCTAACAGGTATTATTCAAAAACCCAAAGAATCATCTGATCCAATGGATCAATTATTACCGACTGAATTAGATACGCTTGTTGAGAGTTTCATGTAAATCATTTCGTTTGGTTTTTCTTAAATGGTCTAACTTTTTTTTCTGTTTAGTAAAACGCTGTCAGAAACTGAACAATTATTAACCGATATGGAACATACATCAACAAGCAAATTTATCAATGTTCATGAACAAATCGTCCGTGCTCAACAGCATGTCTTAGATATTCAAAGTGATGTTCAAAGAGATGAAGCAACTTTTGCACAAATCAATCAAGCATATCAACAAGTAATTCATTTTTTGAATCCATTTTCAGCCATCTGATTTTGTTTTACAACAAAGGAACTTTATAATACAACAATTTGTAAATATCTTCGATCGCTTCCATTGGGTGCTGATATCGAAGATCGAGTTGTGAATAAGTAAAACTTTTCAATGAATAGTTTCGAAAGTATTGATCTTGTGGATTGTTTAGTTATTTAATGCAAAAAGTTGAAGATATCAAAGTGAATTATAAACAATGCCAAGATGTTTTAGATTGCGCAGAAAAACGCTTACAGACAAATGGTTTGGGTGTCACTACCGAAGGTAAAGTTGTTAAATAATTCAATAGGACATGTTTGTATGTGTCTGTTTAGATTTGGTTACAACCGCTAAAAATGTTTACACAGGAATGATCACGGCCGGTTCAAAAGCAAATCAAACACATAAATTGGTCGAAGTAAGAAGAATCTGTCTTTTGTCTTTATTTTCCCGCTTCTTATTCTTAGGATCTCAAATATCGTGTTCTTGGTCATCAAAATAATTCTAATGATCTTTAAATACTTGATTTTTTTTGTTATTTTTCTTTTGTATATTCAAATAAACTAGGTATTGCCTCTTATGAATACTTGAATTAGTTCGATATATTTTATTTTGTCATGTATGAAGTGTTACAAATAAGATAAAATATCCAGTGTTAACCTTTCCCTGACCTTTTGCTACTGAGAGCATGAAAAGTAAATCCAACAAAATAAATTGCATCGGGAAAATCATTGGACAAGATTTCTAAATCATATTTTGCTGTATTAAACAATGCAAATGGGCGTTTTTCGAGTTTGGCAAGAGTTCGATTTTTTTTGTCATCAATAAATAGTGTTGGTGTTAATATGCCTTTCTTTTCAATTCGAATATCTTGTTCATTCCAATGAATAAAATATTTTCCACAGAGAAAACAGAACTTTTTTTGAACATTTCCGTTTATCCATTGGTTTGAAACTGGATCATGAACGGTGAAATTTGCTTTCTGTTGTCCCAAAGTAAATTTCCATTTTAGCTCACCAACAACTTCTTTTGATGAATGCTTAGTTATCTGCAGTTTCTGTGTCCATGAATATAATGAGTTAATATGATAAAGTAGATTTGTTTCTGATGAATCATAGATCGAAAATTTATTGGTTCTATGTGTAATGAATAAATTGGTTTTGATGAAATAACGACGGTTTGCTAAACTTTCCTTTTCAAGAATAAACATAAGCACAAAAACAAACGTCCGAGAAAACATGTCGACAAGTTGTAAGTTATCAATGAAATGACATGATCTCGGAAGAAGCATATATCAACACAAGGTACAATTACGGACAATCTAATGTTGACCCATATTTTTTGTTTTCTCGTTATCTTGTGACTTTCTATTTGTGGATTCGACCTTCCTGATTATTTTTATGGTAGTATTTCTGTTTCCATATTGGGGTCACAGTAGAAACTCTAAGAGATTTTCACTGCAATCAAATGAAAGGAAGTCCTCTTGAAGAGTGATGAAAGTTGAGAGATAGCAGAAAGTATTTCCGAGGATCTGTTTCAACTTTTTCAACAGGATCAAATTCTTTTTCTTTGATTAAGCAGAAAGAAAATAATATCTCAATGACGAACCAATAGGCTGATGATTTACACAAAAGGTTTTTATCAATTGATTATGTAAGAAAATAATCGTAGATAAAATTAACAGCTATAGTGGTACGTTCAAAAGTAGAGAATAAAAGCTTTGAGCTATTGCATCATTTCCTTCTTCCTTTTGAAGATCTGAATAGTCAAGAATTAGATGGTAATACTATGCGTGGACTCAATAGAAGCGATTTAGCAATGATCTTTCGAAGTAATCATGATGACGTGCAATCAGACAGAAAGAATGCAGTAAAATGGGTTTGTATAGTTTCATCCTGTATTGTTTTCAATCTGTTCGTCCTTCGATATTTCGATGCATTTTGCGGCCAATCAGAAAGAAGTTTCTTGAATTGAAAAGTTTGCCTGTCCAAAGAGACATTTATTTATGATAACGGCTATTGTATTCGTTTAGCAATCAAATTTCAATAATATTTTTATTGCAATCTCCAAAATAATCAGGATGAAGTGCAAATTTTTGCTACAGCTAATGACCAAATTTTTTTGTCTGTCATCATACCGACTCTTGAACGTTCTTCCAGATATGAGCGTTTTTCTTTGGAGATAACGTCGCCAGTATAAAGAGAAAAGGATTCCTATATTGTCCATTTCACAACGATTCCGCCGCAAGCGAAATCATGTGCATTGAGAATCTCCTACGAAATTGTAATCAATATATCTATGTGTCATATAAAATATGGTGTTTTATCATCGTAGTAATTCGAAAAGGGACCGCTTCATCATCATACTTTATGATAACTGAATATTCTAATTCGATTACACTAATGTGATTGAGGAACAGTTTCAGTTACCTGTGTAATTGTTCACAAAAAAGCCGACATCGAAAAGATAATACACGATCTCCTTCCATTTCTATAGGCAAAATTGTCAATGTGTCCGATCCTCTAACAATCGATTTAACTCACCATAAAATTAGCCATCAGATGACTGGCAGCTTAACACATTTCGCTTGATTTTCTTTATTTCACCGAGAATAAGAATGGAAGATACATTATTCATTGTCAATTTTGACTACGAACGTAAAAGAGAAAAATAATAAAACTGAATGTTAAATTTCAAGAACAAAGATCTATTATTACATTTATGCAAGTTTCATTTCTTTCGTATATAATACAGGAAAACTTAAGAAAAACTCCGCCTGCGTCTCACTGTAATTGCCTAGTGCCTTATATTATTTTGTTCAAATTTTTCTTGTTCGTACGATTTTTTTCCCCAAATTTAGATCAATGATCGTAATAAGTACTGTATAGTGGCGCCCTTCTCCGCATTGAAGATAGCATTAAGAAAGATATTAAAAGCGAAACTGAAACTCAACATAGATATTCAGTTAAAAATCGATCCTTTGCACATTCACTTCATTTTTCACAGAAAAGAAACAATGAATAAATTTGATTGGTGAATAGTTTCTCCCCAAAAATATCGCATATCAAATGAAACGAAACGAACGAATTAATTCAATATTACTGAACAGATAAATCATGGCGACATCAATGCATCATGATCGTCGAGCATCGACAAAACAAAAAACAATTGCACCAAGTTATGGTCCAGGCAACAGTTTATATTCCGCGACAGAATCTTTAACTGCACAAGATATTCAAGATTATTTTCGCATTGGTCCAGCACGACCGAACTCTACCCTTACCACTCCTTCAAGCACAAATGAACGTAAAACTGTTCAATATCTTCGTCCAACATCATTCGAACATCATCAAAAAGAAATGCAACAAGTTAATAAGAATAAAATGGATATCATTCCATATGCGACTTTTCATGAAAAGTAAAAAACCTATCTTCTTTTGTCTGTTTTTCCGAGAAAATTTCGTTTCGTATAGAAAACAATTATTACCAACGGATCAAACAGCTTATGCTCGAGACTTTCAACAAAGATATGACAATGAATTTTTACAGGTAAAATAAATCTTTGGCTTAAATGAAAGAGACCATATGAATATTCTAGCGTTGGAATAAAGGTGTCACAGGTGACATTGACGGTGAAACAACCATAAGTTCATCAAGCCAACAAATTGGAAGTACAACCGCGAGTTCATCGACAACGAATCGCTTCGCACAATTAAATCTCATTCGTGAATCTGATCGTGAACGTATGTCTGACATAGAAGGTCAAACCGATCCCGATGGTGTGCCAAGTGAAGCTGATAAAGAAGAAATTCGTCAAATATTTGGTGTTTCACATGCGCTCGAAACTTTAGATGATTACAAAGAAATCAAACAATGGATTAATCAAGATACAACATTACCTGTCTATTCACAAAAAGAGAAAATTCTATCAGCAATTGAAAAAAATTCTATAACAATTATTCAGGGAAATACAGGATCAGGAAAATCAACACAAATTCCACAATATATCTTAGACGATTTTGTAAAACGATCTAAACCGGTGAATATTGTCGTCACACAACCACGTCGAATCGCTGCTCGATCACTTTGTGAACACATTTCTTATTCACGACAATGGCCTGTGGGTCAAACAGTTGGTTATCAGACAAGTCTAAATCGACAACGTTGTGAATTAACGAGAATTTTATATTGTACAACAGGTGTTCTTTTGCAACGATTGATTTTAACGAAAACTTTACAAGATTTTACACATATTATTCTTGATGAAGTTGGTTTGATGAAAGCTGCTTTCTGAAAGACAAGATCTTGGACGGTTTTTCTTGTTTTTTAGGTTCATGAACGTGATCAATCGATGGACTTTCTACTAATTCTAATTCGAACATTATGGTTGAGAAATTCACAAAACGTTAAAATCATTTTAATGTCAGCAACGATCGAAATTGATAAATTAGCACATTATTTTCGTCAAGTTATCGATGGTCAAGTTGTTCCGGCATATCAATTTCACGTTGGTGATCGTCTTTTCGATGTTCAAGAGATGTATTTAGAACATATTCAAAACTACGGTCTTGTAAATATATCTTTCGTCGAATATGTTCGTTTCTTACATACATTCTTTCTTTTAGTTACCTGATCTAAAGTTAAGCGAAGCACGTTTATCTCGCGAAGCTATTGATCTTTGTGTTAAATTAATCAAAAGTTTTGATGATGAAGATAGTATGGCTGGATGGGATCATACGAAGAATTTACCAATCAAACGTGCAACTGTTCTCGTTTTTCTTCCGGGTTTGTTAGAAATTCAAACTGTTCATGAAGCCTTGCGTTTTCCTCGTGGAAAACCCGATTCTGTCAAATTCAACTTAGATGAATTAGATGAATGCGTGAAGTTTAATTACGAGATTGTTCCATTACATTCAGATTTATCGATGGATGATCAAATGAATATTTTTACACCAGTGAAATCAACGTATCGTAAGGTAAATCATGTCATTTATTATCGACCACTAATATGAACGATTTCGATTTGAAGATTATTTTAGCGACAAATATTGCCGAAAGTTCAATAACGATTCCTGATGTGCGATACGGTATAAAAATTTCTTTACCGTTGGACTTCTAATAAAGAAATTTTCTGTTTAGTAATTGACTTTTGTCTGAATAAAGAAATGGTTTGTGATCCGGAAACGAATTATTCATGTTTACAACTGGTTTGGGCATCTAAGGCGAATTGTGATCAACGACGAGGTTTTTTCATTCTTTCTTTCGAACCTTTTGTTTCATCAATGATTTGATTTAGGCCGAGCTGGTCGTGTTGCTCATGGGAAATGTTATCGTCTTGTTAAATTACATCTATTCAATTCATTTTCATCGTATCAAAAACCTGCGCTTGTTCAACAATCTCTTGATCATGTGATTATTCAAGCAAAACGATTAAATATCGGTGAACCAAAAGCTATTCTTGCACTCGCTCTAGAACCACCAAATATCAATGATATTGAAATAACAATTCTCAAATTAAAAGAAGTTTGTAGAAAAGAAATCAAATGATTCGATTAAGAAATTCTTGCTCTTTTAAGCTTGGTGCATTAACAATTCATATGGGACAAGATGAGATCCGTCCATTCGATGGTGATTTAACGTTTCTTGGCAAAATTATGGCTGCATTACCTATTGACATCGAGTTATCACGTTTAATTGCATTAGGGCATGCGTTTGGTTTAGTTTATGAAGCAGTAGTCATTGCTGCATGTTTATCAACAAAAAGTATTTTCAAAGTTTATTACAAAGATCGTTTAGCTGCTTACAAGTGAGTTAATCCATTATGATCTCTTCGGAATGTACTAACTGATTTCTATTTGCACAGGAGTAAATTTAATTTTGCTTCGGGAACATTTTGTGATTGCCATGCATTTCTCAATGTTTATAAAGTAAGAAGATAATCAGCGTTGAAAAGGAATTCTAATATTAACTGTTACAGACATGGCTTTATCATGAAAGTAATCAACAATTTCGAACACATGATGCTGAACGTCGTTGGGCACAGTTGCATAATGTTGATATAAAACGTTTACGTGAAGTTCATTTACTAATCGATGAACTACGAACACGTTTACGTCAGTTTCATATCTTCGTACCACGTGATGTGGAATCGGAGCAAATTCAACGACGACGAAATCCCATAATTCAACAACAAAATTTACTCAATCTTAAAGTTTGTATTTGTGTTTGTTTGAACCGAATGAAAAAGTTATCAGTTATTTTAGATTATCATCGCTGGTGCATTTTATCCGAATTTTTATATTCGTGAACCGATTCAACCGGAAGCTGTGGATCGAGAACTGTCTTCGAAAGATCCCTTGAGAACAATTATGGTAAAACAAAGTTTTCTATCTCTCGAAATCTCATTGTTTTTCTTTTCGTTTAGCTTCGTAATGTTCCCTTAAATGAAGGAATTTTATATCGAAATCAAATCGAACAACAACTAAAGACTTTAGTCGATGTTGAAGATATGAAAATTACATTTGAAAATACCAAGTAAGTCTCTTTGACAATCTCGATTCAAGTATTCTATTTCTTTAATAGAGCATTAGTAGAATTTGCTTCTCCACACTCCACACGTCAACTTGTGAATCCATCTGAATTACCAATTGATCAAATTGTTACATCGACAACTTCACATACAAATATTCTCCCAGCTGTTTATTTTGCTGTTAAAGCGAGAATGACAAATCACAAAATAATTCTTCAGACATTCGAACGATCAGCTGCATTGCAACGTGTCGAACGTCTTCGTCTATACATGTCCGGTGTTGATATTCAAGATCAAATGTTTGATCGTGAACGAGATCTGTTTGAAGAACATCGCGATGCTTTGCTTCATCTAGCTCAACGGCAAAGTAAAAGGATAAAATCAATGAAAACTTCAATAAATTTTTGTAAATGATTTCAGCAACAATATATTCATTACCACAACAACGATTGCCTGATATAAAATGTCAATATATAACAATAAATGTTTCAACTGTAGTCGATGTTAATCATTTTTGGGCACAATATGCTGATCGAGAAAGCAATGCACAAATGAAACAAATCAACGAGATGTTATCACGTTCATTAACACGTTTGGCAGCAACATCTGTGGAAATTGGAATGATGTGTGCTGCACCATTCGCTCTCGTCTCACCACGAACAACAACACCTTCAAATAACGAAAATCAACAAATTGTTAAACGATACGAATATTATCGAGCGAGAATTACACATCGTATTGATAATGTGACTGTCGAAGTCTTCTTTGTTGATTGGGGAAATACTGAACATGTTCCGATCGATCAACGTAAGTTTGAAATCAATACAGAAACATAGAATCTCTTGTTTTCCCTTCATTGTTAGTACGTATTCTCGAACCAACATTATTGAAAATGGCTCCACTTGCGTTCGAGTGTCAATTATGGTCCATTCGACCTAATGTTGCACGTTATCCTTCGAACAATTGGCCTGTTCCAGCATTAAACTATGTCTGTTCGCTTATTCTCGAACGACAAGTGGAAGCAGAGATCAAAGCAGTTGCACGAAATATCGTCAAATGTGATATTCTATTAGACATCCAATCAACCCGATCGCATCAACATTACAATGAAATGGGACGAATGACTCTTCGACAAAGTTTGATTCAAAAGGGTTTTGCTGAAACGGCAAATGAAGAACATGTCTTTGAAGTAATTTTCAACAAAATGAAGAAAAAAGAGCACTCTTTTTCACTGATTTTTGTAGCATGATTATCGAATACGTCGTGATGCTCAACGTTTTATTAGTCATTCAAACGATCTATCATCAACAACTGATCCAAGTAACACATCGCCACAGATTATCGATGTACCCAAAGAACTATGTGAAGTTTATGAACGAAAGGAAATTGGTCAACCTGTGACATTAACTGGTGAATGGAAAATCAAGGGAGACGATCGAAGTAAACATGTATGTTTTTCTTTTCGTAGGTCCATACTCACCGTTAGAAGCCAATCATTCATCATGTCATTATGCAACGAAAATGCGACGTGTTCAGATCGATGGCGATTCGATCAACTCTGTTGGTTTAGAAGAAGAACAACATTGTAATTATCGTCGTTTACTTGTCTCGTATGGTGTTCATCTTTCACAAACACGACAAATTGTTTCACTCCGTCATACAACATTGATGCCTTCGATCCGTGGTCTACCCGCACTAATTGCTATGATATTTGCACCAACGATTGAATTGAGGTAGAAGAAAATGATGTGTTAATTCGGAAATATCTTGTTTTTTCTTTGTAGACTTGATGAAGAAGGTCAAATGAAAACTGGTGTTCTCTGTGGTTTAGGTTTCAATCCAGTTACAAACACTTCTCTTTATCCTGATCACGATATCGACATTGGATTCGATGTCCAAATATCGACTGAAGATCTTGTTCGAGTAAGTATCTTATTTGGCGATGTTTTATTTTGTAAACGTTTTCATGCAGATCAACGAAATTCGCAAACAAATGAATTTAGCATTGTACAGTGCTGAATCTGCTGGAAATAGAGATTTGATGCGATCGGTTCGACGAATCATTTGTACGGAATTACAAAAGTTAGCTTTTTATTTATCTCGTTTGATGTTAAATCGAAAGTGATTCTCTGAAATCGTAGATTACTTGAGGCAAAACGACCACCAAGTCGAAACAATTATTTTGGAACATTTCAATGGAACAGGGTAAGAGTGATTTTGATACAATAGCTCTTTGTTATACCCTGAAATTCTTTATCTCTAGATAAATCCGGATGATCGTGTTCCGAAAATGGCTGAAGATGTTTCACCTGATCATCTTCGATTGTTTCCACTTCATGATGATGTGATTACACGTACAGTCGAAATCGATGACGAATATCGTCTGAAAATGATGTATCATCTAAGATGGCTACGAGAAAAGGCGACAATGTTAGTCTCATTTTACTTTGATGATTCTTCTCTACGTTGTTTTTGTTCTTTTAATTTTAGCACAACATTTATATGCCAAGTTACTTGTGAACTATGTGATATGGATTTTAATTACACATCAGATTTATTTGCTCATTTATCATCAAGTCAACACCGTGAACTTGTTCGACAGCTTGAACTCATTCATTGCGTCTAGTTTGTTCTTTTTTTCCACTCATTCTCTTGTAGTTATGTTACATTTTTGTCATATTTTTTTCTTTGAACAATTGTTGGTTTTTGGTTTTTTTTCTTCAATGCCTAGTATTCCCTTTTTTGTATAAGTTTAAAAAAGTACCTGATCACGTAAAATGAAAGAAATGAATCGTAGAAGTAAATTCATTTTGTTCAATCATCTATCAATCAAGTTGCGTAAAGATACCATGTCACATAGATCCGATTCTTCACTACGAACAACAGAACAAACGTAGCAATATTGTCTTTAGAAGCTTGGCGAATGGGCTCGTAACTAATTATTTGACGATACGTCCGATAAAACTAACTGCTTCTCCAGGTCGAACAATCCCATACTCGGATCCCATATCGGATCCTAAACATGGATTTCCTGGATTTTCTAAGGGTCATCATAGAACATAGCTGAAAAGATCGCTCATAAAATTTGCAACAACCGACGGGATTTTTCTAGTCGGATTCCAATGCAATTCCATTTCCAGGAATCCGGTCGGATCCAGCATCGGATTTGTTGACCTGGGCATTGGTGTTTAATGGTAGACGTTGAACGAAGACTTAAACGAGCACGAAAGCGAAATAATTTCCTACTTACCAGTGAATGTCATTTTCTGACGAATTGTTGTCGTACATCGACTTAAACATAATTCCATATCATATCAGAGCAGTTTGACAGAAATGTTTTTTAAAAACAGCATATTGACTTCGGTGTTTCCAATTACATCTACGTCATCGTCGATATCTCAAATCGCTACGCTTGACGATATGCAAAATACATTAATAGAAGAAAACGTTTCTCTTCGCCGACTATCGACTAATGATGAGTGAGAGAAAGGAATAGAGAACGATTCACATTTATCATTAGTTGATTGTGGACGTATATGATGCGAGCCAAGTTCAAATCCTGTGCGAAGAGAAACGTTTTCTTCTACTAATGTATTTTGCATTAATGGATAATTTGAAAATTTTGTATTTTGTCAGGGGTACCCATTTGAAAGGTCGACGTTGTCGTGACGATAATTAACAACGCTGAATCCCAAAGATACTGCTTTATTTTAACGAGCATATTTTCTTCTAAACTGTTCCAGGTTGGTGGACTTTATGAATATCGATCAGTCGTACACATACATCACACAGGGCAGTGGTTGATGATAAACCATTTGAATGACTAATAAATCGTTGGACACCAGGACGGATTCGATAATTTTCCTACAATACTAAACAAAGAAAGAATGAAAACATTTTTAGGAACGCAAATATCTCGCTTGAAAAACGTGTTTATCATTTGCTGTTTCAGCGAAACCTTTCTGAATCAAACTTTGTCGAAGAGTCATTCGCCTCATTACATTATAATGTTGATGCAATCAAGTTGATTGACTATCTAAGATAACATCACATTTGATGATATTTTGTGCAGTAGCTTTGATGGCACCTTCAACTTAGCATTCAGCAACAAGTCAACCACCGTAGTTCTATGGTTGAGCTAGCCAAAAATAATGAATTGGTTGTTCCCAAACGTCTAAATAAGCAAGAGAAAGTTATCTGAAATCATTTTTCTTCCGCAACTTGCTAAAATGCTTTATTAAATAAGATTAACAAAGTGCTCTAAAATGAAAAATGGTTTTATCGAATCGTATTGTCTATTTTTTTTATTGAAGAATGTCCACAACACCAGCGGCCGCGTCGAAGACATTGAAGAACAGTCGCGTTCTTGTTTTCGATGACAACTCCGACACTATTAATGAATGTCTTCGACGTCATCTGCACAAATTTGAGAAAACCAATAGAAGAAACAAAAAGAATGCTCGTAAGGTTGCTTCACATCCGACCAAACTAGCATTTCTAATTTACTTTGACGATGGAGGTATCCCAGGTCGATCATTCCGGCGACTGGATCCGTTGAAATCTGAGTCGATTCTGGCTGGAATGACGCGGGAAATATCCGATCAGATCGTGATCGTTTCCGACTCGAAGTTTGCAGGAAACGGCTAGAAAATTAGTGGAACCTACGTTTGAACTTCCGGCTGGAATCCGGCGGCAAGAAAATCGTCGGAAAACAAGTTTAACCGGCCGGAACCGACCAAGCCATAATAACCTGGGTAAAATGAAAAGTAAATAACATTTTAAACAATGAATTGTTTTCTTCCTTACTTTGGTCATATCTCGAACATATTGAAGCCAAGATTGCTCCTCGGATCGGTCTCCTTCGATATCTATCGAGATCAGCACAAGAACCAAACAACAAGACGATGATAAATGTCTTCAAATCAATTGTACGCACAGTCATCATATACGGTTATCCTGTCCTTCTCACAGCCGATCAAAAAATATGGGATCGCTCACAAATCATGCAGAACAAAGCAATCGGAGCTGCTTTAGGTTTACCCATATACACATCGGTCAAATACATCCATCAGATCAGCAGTATCTCCAACATCAAGGAATACGCAGTAGGACTTCTTAAACAAGCAGTTCAAGCAGCGACAAACAACAGCGACGTCACGCTTAAAAACCATCTAGTACACATACTAGAAAAGACTTAAAAGAAATCACCAAAGTCGTATTATATAGAAGCGTTGATAAACTGGATCATTCTTGTATCGCCCGAGTCTATACAAAAATCGTTATATCGGAATAACGTACGAAGCGTTTGGTATATATGCAACAACATATACAATATAAAACGAATTCAATCCAGCTGACTATTCTTTCGGTCGTTTTTCTCGTTGTCTTCTTTTCATATGTAATATGGAATCGAATCAACGTGTTTGCTGACTCTTTCACCACTACCAAATCTTTCACTCGTTCTTATATCTAATACCAGAAAAATTCAATCTATTTGCCGATTAAACGGTAACCGTTTCAATTCTCTTTCCTTTCCTTCAACTTATTTTTCTTATCATAACACATCACAGACGCACACCACTACCATGCACAAACCATATTTTCTCCGTGTTTATTTTCTCATCCTTTTTTTCTAGGACAAAATACATTCGTCATGGGTCCTTTCTTCTTTCATTTCTCGTGCCCAGCTTTCGTGTGACAACTAACCGTTGCTTTTTTGCTTATGCAGTAATGTTACACAAAATAAAGCTATGTTACTTTAGTCAACGAACAGAAAAGACCAATTTCACGTCTGACACCACCGAAATCACCGTTCAATCGTTTGTCGGTGAGTTCGATGTCGTTACCATTGGTCTCAATTCCACCACCATTAATTCCATTGGCAACAACAACATCAGCAGCAACAACTACTTGTTTATTTTTACCGGTAGTTCGTCCACCATCCCCACCAGCTGCTGCTCCACCAACTATTGCTTCGCCATCACCACCTACTCTTGCTCCACCATCACCACCTACTGCAATTGAAACTGTTACATCTAATGAAATGCAGTTTATCTGTTCAATTACCAAAGTAATTCATAGGCTATTCTTTCTTTTCGAGATAATAGATATGATGTTATTTTGTAACGGATATACGAGCTTGACAAACAAAAGTGCATTCTTGATGTCTGCTTTTTTCTTTTCAGGAAAACCAGCCCACATGGTTAATTGAATTGAAACAGTTTCATCACGAAGCAATAAGACCAGTTGACAAGGAAATTGAACGATTGAGTGATGATCATCGAATAGTTGAAGATCATCTGAATGAAGTTGAAGAAATGATCACGTCAACTGGTGAACAGAAAAAGCAACTGGATGAAGAAGGCTGCCCAGGACAACGGTTCCTGAAGCAGGATTCCATGAATTTCCGACAAAATCCCTGAGGAAACTCATCATTTCTGAGCGGAACCAGCCGTTTCCGTGCCGGATTGTTCGACCTGGGCGTAAGGTGGATGATCAAATTCGACATTTAGTGGTCGAAAAAACGATCATCAACAATAGTTTGGTCCTTGCCAATGAACAAAATGTCAAAAGACAAAACGATAAAAGAATTTATACGAACCAGTCTGCGTTGATTAAAGAAAACATTGATCAGATGCGAGCCACGCGGGCTAAAATCAATCAATGCTGGCTTGATCGGATCAATGACGAACTGTGAAAACGTCAAACGCACAATTATCGGTAAGTTTCATAAATCAAAGTAAAGTTTCGCTCAAATGCGACACAAACACCACATTTAACTCTTTGTTTGTCTCAATTGTGTTTTCAGTCATGGTGTCCTCTCATCAAAAACAACGATCAAACATTTGAATCAAGACGGTGGTCGATGAAAGTCATTTGTTTTGTGAATGTGGACTTTGTTTTTAATCAAGTCAATTGTTTCAGTAATTAATCAATTTGTTTGTTTAATAGTTTAATCATTTTGCTTTGATTGTTTAATTTGTAATTAATTGTCTGTAAAATCAATAAAATTTTATCTGTCAGAGAACGAGAACAAAATAAACTTATTCTGAATGATTTTACTATCGAAATAAAAAAAAGGGCCGGTGGAAGAAAGTTGTATAACTTTTGATTGAAAAGTTATTTCGAACTGCGGTTTTCACCATTCAATAGAGGAGGGTCGGGGGGCATATACCTACGTGGGAAAGTCACCATTCAAAGTATTTTGTCAGCTAGATTTTCGCTGACGCAATTTAGCATGTATTAGGCGATCTTTTTTAGGATTTTTTTTCATGATGTTGGTACCCGAACATGCCCACTTCACACCGGTATGGAAGGAATTTTCTCAGTTTCCTCACTGGAAATATCAGAGATATTTCAACGGTGAAACTACACGTAAGACATCCCGCGCTAAAAAATGAAAATTTGATCAAAGTATAAGCAAAATACAAGTTTTTACTATACTAAGCAATATAAAAGAAAATTATTGCTTTTCGAAATCTTATATGACACTACTTAGTCACTCCCTTAGAATGTGTTTGTCAGTATATAATGACAAAATAGAGAAAAGAAAGGAAAAATAATGTGTTTGCGATAATTCTCGGTCATTTTTTTTCTTTTTCTGTTTGATATGCACATGCTTTATGTTATAGATGGTGTATTTAGCTACAATGCCAACAGGTCATGAGTTTTCGCAAGAAGTGAAACAACTAATGTTTCGTGTTATTGATTTCGTTGAAAGTGAGAAGAATGGTTTCAATCATTCCTCTTTTGAACGTGAAAGAGCGTCTTGTTAAAATGTTAAATATATCAGAAAGATCTGCGTATAGATTAACGCATGAATTACATCATTCACGATGTAAAGAAATAAAGAAGATATCACAGGAACGAAAAGAGATGGAAGAGAAAAGCAAATAAGAAAGAAGTGTAAAAAATCTTCGTAGTTGTACTATTGTATATTCAACACTCAAACGGCAACAGTATTCAACGTCGAATACACCAGCTAAAATTCTTTGTCGTTGACATACTGCATCTTCTACCTATCCATCAACAAATCATGTCGATCATCTTGTTCCTCAAGCATTATTTCCTGAGAAAAAAAGTAAAATTTTTTTACTATGAATAAATTGAAAGTTAACTCTTTTGGTTTTAGTGCATTCTGGTCATCCGAACATTGTTTTATCAGAGCAAGGGAGATACTTAATTCGACTTGAATTTCATAAACTTGTTCGAGAAAAATCAGCGTTGTTATTTTATTTGGAAGATCAATAATTTGAATCAATTTTGAATGATAGACAAAGTAAACAACAGTATTGCAAACGGAGTGAAGATCGAAATATTTGTTTCTGTGTTGAAACATGTTCTCTATTCAAGTCTTTATAATCGTTGACAGAAATCAAAAAAAGATGCTAAGAAGTTTTGTGGACTAAACGTACATAGAAGCTCTTCATTTCATTTTCACGGTTCCAATTCGGAAATACGATCTGATCCAACATCAGAAAAAGAACGCGAATATTATCACTTTCCCTTTGGCCGAAAACACACCGAAAAAATAAATTTAAGTTCGAATCGTATCATCCAATACAAGTCTGTTTTATCTCTTAAATCATCTTTTTTAGACGGCTTAACGATAAAACAAAACGTGATGAATCATAATGATATAACTTAATTCAACATTGACGTTAATACACTTTTCGATCTTTCTTCATGATTAATAACAATGAGATCATCAGACGAGAGACACATATTATTCAACAATAGTCGTCTGATATCATCATTTCTTCATTCATCTATATAAACTCATAGGTCACAAGACATAATTGATCTTCAACATTATTCGACATTTCTTCAACTTAATCGTGATATACTCAACTTCTCAATGGATCAAAATGATCTTCAACATCTTGATGACGAGGTCAGTGAAAGATTTATTTTACAAATTAGTTTGTATTTCAATGGGAGTTCTGCAGTTTGGATCGAATGAGAATAGACGTAAACAATCGATCTGGGTTCATTAGATGATGATGTTGAATGATTATTTTCTGTTTTGTAGGAACAAATGCCAGATTGGGTGATCGAAATACGTGAAGGATATCGTCGAGATATGGAAATTCTTCATCAAGGAGTTCTCGAATTACGAGGCCAACTAAATCAATGTTTGGAAGGAATCGAAAGAACAAATGATGATCTGAAAAGAACGCATCAATTACAAGTGGACACTTTGGCGCAATTACGTTCAGTGGATGCAGAAATTGACTTATGTAAGAAGAAAATGGATGCATATGATCAACAACTTACGGTGTACCAGGAAAAAATTGCTGCTTGTAATGAACAAATCAAAGAATGCGATGAAAAAATCAAAGAATGCGATGAACAAATCAAGGAATGCGATGAAAAAATCAAGGAATGCGATGAACAAATGGCTGTGAATCGTGCTGGCATCAAATCTTGTAATGCGATCCTCGAACGCGAAAGAATGAAACGTGAAGTTGGAATGAAAGAACTGGCTGAAATCGAGAAAAAGATCGAAGCAGCAAAATTAAAACGTGCACGAATCGACGCATTTTTCAATAATTTGATTGAAAAAGAAAAAGCAAAGCGAGGTGAAATTGACAAAGTTCAATGGTAAGTGAGATATTTTTAAAATTCAAATCTTCAACTTCGTGTGCTTTAGCTCAAAAGTTTCATTGAAGAAATCATCGAGGAAACGATTAAACAGCAAAGGTGTAAATGCAAGACTGAAACGGACGAAACGAAAAAATTGAATAGATTTCATTTGAAAATGTCTGAGTTGTTTGTTTGAATTTCATTAATAAAACTTTTAAATTGTTAATTCATGAAAATCAGAGACTAGTCGAATTGTGTATAAAATGTGATAGAGCGGCTATGTCGTGTTTTCTAATGAGTGATGAGCAATGGCAGTTGGATAGAACGTAAAATGTTTCACGAGTTTATTTAATATGCAAAGTGGAAACCGTAAAGAGTCGTTGTCAAAACTCGGCCTAGGCAGAAAATGTTGAATGTTTGAGAGAAAACTTGTTGGTAAATGGAAAATCGTTTTGAATATGATATAAGAAAATGAGTTATATTTGTGATGAATATAAATATGACGAAAATAGATACGTTTCGAAAACTAGTGTTTGTGTAAGTGTTAGTGTGTGAAGGCCCTCTAACAAATATGGAGAAATTTATTACTTCTGTGATCGATGTGAGGGCGTGTGATGTTATACAACAATCATTTACGACTGTTTCTGTTGGCACTTATTTGATCAGTTATTTTATCTCACAAACTACGTTTGTCGTAGCCATACCGAAACTGCAAGTGTCATAGTTACGCGTTTATAAACTCAACTATTCTGACTGGATTCTTTCTTTCTATTCTCATTATATATCATTAAAATACACCCTCAAAACAACAATCTTTCTCTCTCTTGTCTGCAAATATTTTAAATAGCGAAGATCATACGTTGAGTGTCGAAATGATTGTACTCTGTCATATTTTGTAATATTCAAGTATATTTGAGCGTATTTGCAATTTGATGTGTATGTTGATAACAAAAGATAAGAAAACGAACCGACAAATTATTTCATACATTACATGTCACATTTTTTGTCTTTATTTAAAATTCATTAATGATGGTGTCTGTTCCACAAACAAGTCGATCATATCTTTTCAAAAGTTTTGTTTTACTCATTGCTTCCTTGTTGATATATTTTTTCATGTTTAAACCATCCAAAAATCGGATTGGTCTGTCAACAACTTCATCCTCACCCACACCCTCATCGATTCATTTAGTAACGGGTTTACTTGTCAACAGTGAGCACGCTTGGAATAAAAACGATGATCGTAAAAATGAAAGTGGTTCTTGGCTATTAAATCCATTCTTCGATCGTCTCAATAAAACTGTTTACATTTCAGATGTTTTAATAACAGAGAAAAATATCGTTTCTTCCGTAATATTAAATCGATATGGAACACAAACGTGGCAAAACTATCTTTTAAAATCTTTATCAAATCGAGATGATATTGATCTAAGACCATTAGCTCAATATAAAAAAAGTCAAGAATGTCCGTATTATTTGACATATATTATCGATCATTATTACAATCTACCCGAGATAATTCTCTTTTCTCATGGTCGTCCGCAGGTTCATAACCCACACATTCTTAAACATTGGTCATGGTTTATTGATCGAGTACAACAAGACATCGATCATCAATTTTTCAATGCCTCTGTCGGATTTCTCAGTTCTAATTGTGGTATCTATGTCAAAAGATTCATACGAAGTCGTCCTATTCTTGATTTACTTGGCTATAATCGATCAATGAATCCATTCGCGAATCAAATTCGAGCATTATCTGTGGGCACTTATTGTTGTGCACAATTTATCGTTCATCGTTCTCGTATTTTACAACATTCGATCTCATTTTGGCGTTTGGCCTTGAAAATCTCTATCGACATGAACGATTGTTCCCATTTTGAGCACTTATGGCACATATTCTTCGGTGAATCTGATGAACTTGACCCAAAGAAAAGTCTTGCTGTATGGTATGAAGATGCACATCCTCATTTCAATGAATATTGCCAAATAAAATTTCTTGGCGAATAGAACAAAAAGTTCATTGAATCTTTATTTCAACAAACTTCAGAAAAAAACATTTTTTAGTAAAAGTAAAAGTAGAAAATTTGAAGAGATACATTTCCCAGTCGACACACTGCCAGATGTTGTTTGTAATAAAACATTTTCATCAATAACAACTTTAACTGATTCCCAATGATGTAAATTATCTTCTTCATTCGATAACATATCTTTTGTACAATATTCATTCTCTGTTCCACCATTATGACAATTTTGCTCAGCAGATTTCATTTCTTCAGACGAATTCAGTTCGTTCTTAATCGTAGAATCGAACATATCGTCAAACGAATAATGAAATAAAGATGAATTTCTTGAAACACGCCACGATTGTCCATATTCAAATAACGTTTGTTCATCACTTTCATGAATTGATATTCTTGTACCATTTGGAAATGTTAAACCATTGACATCACCTAAGAGACCATAGGATGGAGTAGATAATTTGTTGAATTTCTCTCGTCGAACTAATGTTTCTAGATCAAAAAAGTCGAATGTTGGACGAATGGTTACACGAAGTCGAAAATGAGTTGTTGGAAAAGAGATTTTAAATGCTCCATTTGCTTTCCGTTTAATTTTGATAAACTCATCTTCATAGATCAACACTGCTACGGCAAATTCTTCGTGAGGTACTTCGATCAATTTGGTATCGATTCGAATCTCACAAGATTGATATTTTGAGAATAATTCAAATTGAACACGTCGTTTTCCGTGTAAAAATCCAATAACAAAGGCTTCAATTCCAACATTTCCATCATTTTCATTCGATGAAAGACGGATTTGGATTTCTTGTCCATTAAAATCTGGTAAAGCTAATAAAGTAAATTCACCTTGTCCTCGAAAGGCATAAACGCCTCCATTCAAAGTTGCAAAATACGGATCTCCATGTTTCTCGATCGATTCCGATTCGAAATCTTCGCATCGTCCTGCAGGTCGATATTTATAATACTCTTTACACATTTCTTCACTAATCAACAGACTTCGACAACACGACCAATAAGAAAGAAAATCGGAAAAGAAATGTCCGAACATACTTAGACTTTTCTCCAACCAACTGTTGGCGTCCGGTGAGACAACATCTAACGTTCCAGCGCCTTCATTTCCTTGTTCAATAAACTTTCCATGTTCATCGTAACAACATTGTGCACCAGCCCAAGTCGTGTCCGATTTTTTCCGATAACAACCTCGTGCTTTTCGATGGTATGTACAGGTTTTTTCGATTGGTTTTCTTGCGTCACATCCTTCATCGATTCGAAATCCGTGAAATTCTTCTGGCCAAGGTTGTGTTGGCATCTGACAAGCACAAACAGGAACTTGTTCGAGATATTGCCGAGGATCTGTTTGAAGTAATAACCAAGCTGGACAATATGCTGCATTCAATGACGTGGCAGCAGTGAAGATTTTCGCACCGACGAACAGAGCTGAACGAAGCCAACCGGGTTTATGTTTCATTTCGAAGGAAATTTGTAGAGCATGAACACGATCGTTTGGATCAGTGTTGACTGAGAAAAGACTATCGTAACGAACCGTTAGATTTCCTATCGATGAAAGATTAAGGTAACCTAAACCTAAGTCAATCTTTTGCCGAGTACGATTGTAAAGTGTTTGATTGTTCGACGAGAATTGCGTGGCATAATCATAAATAACAATTTTAAAAAGATACTTTTTCGTAATTTCATTCGATTGAAATTCCAGAATTAACTCTTCGTTATTCGGATCAGCTATTTGATGTGTTAAATTGATATAATTCTTCAAAATTAATTCACCATGATCTTCAGGAACATGAGCAAGAAAAGTCGTCGTATCAACAAGTTTGTTCTCTTCATTATCAAATAATTCTATTTTGATTTTTCCACTATCCATTAACATTGGCATTGTACAAACAATATAAAGTGAATTTAATACGCGACAATCATCTACGACATGATTATCAACCCGAATTTCATATGTCGATCGATTAAAACAAATTCCATGTAAACGAAACTCATATCCACCATAGATCGAACCACGAAATGGAGAAACTTGTAAACCAGTTGATGTTTCACATTGAATATCATTGACATGTCCGGTCGTATGGAAAATGAATTGACCTGGAATGCCAATGTTGGAATCATTAACAATACTAAGAATTTGTGGTGAAAGTGATTTTTTTAATTGATAATAATTAACATTATCACCCGCATTGAATCCAATTCGAGCGTGATTACCAGTTGAATCTTGTGACCATTCTAATTGATGATAAGTAAATAATGTAAATGAATAAAATCCGTTGGTTGTTAAGATAGCTTGGTATGTATTTCTATTGATTTCGTTTTTTATATCAGGGAGATCGTACCAAGTGACAACAAACGCCCACAACATTCGTTGAGCAGCTAACTTAGGAAAGCCAGTTCGAAGAATTTTTGTTATTTGATAAAGAGTCTGGGGTTCGGTTTTTAAAAGAATTTCTCGGTAGAAAATGTTCTTTAATGTCTCATGTGTAAAATTTGTGTTGATCCAAAACGGAGCCACACAAACTAAATCTTGAAATGGAAATGGATCTGATGATTTGTATGACAACGAACATGTTTCATTTCCAAACATAATTAAACCATGACTTGAGATACGAAGTTCATCATAAAATTTGTTGAAGAATGAATACCGAACAGATAAAGAGATTGACTCAGTGACGTAATTGAGATCATTTTCTAAACTTTTATCATTATGTTCAATGCCGAATGGAACAAAATTCTTTATATCGACGCAATAAATTAAATATAAGAGATGAAACAATAAATAAAGTCTAAACATGGTCTTTGTATTGTGGATCGTGATAATATCATCGTCTTTATATACTTCTTATCAATGGGCGTGCTTGTGTAAACTTTTACCTTTATGTAATATTAATGTCCTGAAAATGAGTCATTATTTTCATGAATAAAATGAATGGTCATTGAGTGAAAATTCACTCGATAAACTTTGATAAATGATGAAAAAAGTTTGAATTATCTATATTCTATGATAGCCAAAAGAGACACAAAGCAAGAATATTTTGAGAGGATTGTATGTTGATAAGCCACGCTTAACTTGACACTGAGCAAAGAAAACGAATTCAAATTAGGAATTTGATCATATAACCAGTAAGAAAGCAACTAAATGACAAATATGTTCACATACAAAGGTTTAATCGATTCGTCTCTGATTCTATGTCTATACATCTTCTTTCCTTCGCCTGTTCTCGATAGACGTACATTTCACATGACATAAGGACGACACAGAGAATCAAACCTTTCATATACGTCAACTATCTCAGAGAAAACAGCGCATTTCATCGTCGAGAATAGATAATTGATATCACAATAAAAAATATCCTGGAGAGCTAGTTATGCTCGTATGTGTATGTGTGTAGTATGGATGTAGACATAGCCCAATAACGCAAAAGAATCGTTATAGTCGCTCGTTCTGTCTTACTGCGTCGTTTATATACTTCTATTACTAAAGATTATCATGCAAGAAGAGGAAAAAGATCAAGCACAGTTTTTGACTATTTAATGAATAGAGAGAAAGAGAATCCAATTTCTTTCATATTACTAATAAAAGAACAGCAAAAAAATCGCAAGAGTAAGTAAAATCATATCGACTAATGTGTTTTTCCTTGTTTAAGACAAGTGAATACTTTTCAATATTTATTTCAACTATACAAAAATACTTTCAAAGAAGATCCTTATCATATTTGCTTTTTACAATTTGAATGTTGTCTAACGTAGATCCATTTGTTATTGTATAAAGGAACCAGCGTAACATTCTTTTTCTTCTCATTTTCAAACATAGAACATCCTAATAGTGAATAATAAAAGTGTCAACGAAATAACTTCAATATTTTTTCAATAATACACAAGACAGTAAAAACAATTGAAAGCGTTTCGACATGGTACGAAGTTATTGAAAGTAGAAAAGTCTGTCTTTTTTCCTTTAATAGACATCGGAAACTAATTGTCAAATGTCTTTCTTTAACATATCAAAAGAAAACGTTCTGCTTTGAGTGTTGAAAACATAAACTACATATATTGAGAAATTAATTTCTTGTTGGTTTGATCAGAAAGGTTGGATGAACATCAGTAGAAGAAAATCTCTCGACAAAATTTCAATAAAATAGCATCCGATGGAGAGTCTTCGACGTTAATTACTTTTTCGTCTGTTACATAATCTTTACAAAGCAGCGTGTAGTCAGACACATTTTCATCTTTGAAAAGAATCCTTGTATAGATAAGAAGTTTTATGTCTTTTTCTCGTTCTGTTCCTTTTCTCTTTTTTTTTACTTATTTAAGAAGTTTTTTTCTTCATCACTCTAAGCCAGATTTCGCCACGTGACAAAGAGGAACAAATAAATTTTCTTCTTCACGCATGCCATCTCTGTCAGACACTATATTCATAAAATACTTTACGATTCTTTCAGATTAAGCCTATGATCTATTTCTCAAAAAATATATTCGCATTTCAATGTCTTTTAAACAACTTTACATTCCGTTTTTGCGTCAATATCTACGATTTTCCTCATTGTCTATTAAACTTCTTCTATTCATAACGATTTTAATATTTCTCATCGGCATCAAACAAATCTTTTCAAATAAAACTTCTTGGTGTAATCCAGAACAATCATTGTGGTGGTTTTGTCCATGGCCAGGACCAGAAACAGTGTGCAGTTGGGACGAACATTTTTCCAAAGCAAATCCAAACAATCGGTATCGCTGTCCATTGATATACCGAACATTTTTATCTTCTTATTTATTATTAATTTCAGATCTCCAGCATTCTATCACAAAGCTCTTCGCTCTCTTTCAAAACGTCGTTCGTCTTTCCTCTTCAACAACTTAACTCTAACACAATGTAACGAATCTTCTCTCGATTTACTCATTTTTATCATTTCAAAATGTTCTCACGGTTCCATTCGACAATCGATTCGACGAACCTGGGCTAATCAACACTTATTACAACAATTCTTTCCCGATCTTCACATCAAACTATTGTTTCTACTCGACAATGATCCACAATCGACACCAAAACTCATTCTTGAACATCAATTTTATCAAGATCTCGTTCAAGTCACTAATCTTCCTGAACAGTATGACTATGTTACACAACGCGAATCAGCTCTCTACGAGTTCGTTGTCAGTCGTTGTCAACAAACAAGATTTGTGTTCAAAACTGACGATGACATTTTCATCAACACAATTCTCCTATTATCAAAAGTTCGAACGTTGATGAACAATGTCGAAATGAAAGACAAAACGACAAAAAAGTATCTAATGTTTGGATTTCCAATCGAACATGGCCTAGTTGTTCGTCATAGTGCTGATCTAGTTGGACAACGATATGTGATCACAAAAGATGAATATTCATGTCCAAGATATCCCACATTTCTGTCCGGTTTTGGTTATTTGATGACTGTGGAAACATGTTCATTGTTGTTCGATGCTTATGTAAGTGATGAAAGACCATTTCTATTGTCCGATGTTTATTTCACTGGACTATTGGCTGAGATGATGCAGATTCCACGAATGAAGATCATTGAAAACGTGAACTATCGATATGAAAGTCAATGTAATGAAGAATTCTTTCGTGAGAAAGAGAACAGTGCATTGGCATGTGCAGCATCGAATGATCATTTTGATGTGAAACATTCGAAAGGTGGTGATCGAAGCTTGATGAATGACTACAATCGTTACTGGACAATGTTAATTGAACGACATCGTACATCTATGAATAGTAAAAGACGATAGATTTTTTACAATTTGTGTAAGAAAATAAAATAGAAACTAATGTCAGTGTTAAGAATGACTCATATAATTACTGAAAGACTTTTGCTCTTGTGTGAAACTTTCTCCCTAGGGGTGGCACTTTATTTTTTTGGTAAAGTATGTCAACTTTACTTTATTCGGTAAAGCAAAGTATCTCGGCTTACTTTATTTTTTTCAAAGCGGAATAAAGTTAAAGTGCCACCCGTGTTTCTGCCGTAATATCTTTCTTATTGTTTAATGTATAATTGACATTGAAGAAAGGCATGAATGTACTCGTCGATGGATTGACGCGCGTTGCGTGCTTGTCAACGGTAGGAATTGAATCCACCAATAATGTTGTGGTCGATTGGTGATTTATTAATGAATAACACGAAAATTCTCCGACTCTTGTTTATTGCGCTTTGCATTACACACCTATTGTTTCTCAAGCATCACCAAATGAATCTGCATTATTCCAATTAGAAGAAACCCCCTCCCCAGAATAGAAGATTCACTCCAAGGTGAAAAGTTTTAGTGAAAACTAATAGTTCGATTTACCTTGAGCGGGCGCAAACTAGTTAAAAATAAAAGAGTAAACACGTCTCTGTCAACTAAAGCAACAACGAACCTCGACCCGAGCATATTTCCGGAGTTATAGCTTGTTGAACAGAGGCGACTCGAGAGTCTTCTATTCTGGGGAGGGGTTTAGCGTATCCTGGGTATATTCAGGGTACCGGATCTTCTGTGTGTCTAAAAAAGACGTCACGAAACACCGCGAGGCGTTTACTAATTCTTTTCATTCGTTATGTTTTGTCATACACTGCTGTTAATGGTATAATAAAAAAGCCTATATTCATGACTGTTAAGATTCAATGATGAAAGAGAAAAAAAAAGAATTCTTCTGGTAACTAAACAACTTTTTTTTATATTTCTTCTGTCTATACAAATGTTTTGAAAAGAGTAAAAAAAGTTCATAGAACGATGAAAATTCTTCTTCTTCTTCTTCTTCCACTCAAAGCATTCTCCCATTTCGAACAATTCAGAACTCACGTGAATACTTTCTTCGATTTTAGACGCGCACCTATGAAACTACATGATCACGTTGTATAAAATGAATACATTAACGTATGGCAATGAAGTGTAATAAATCGTAACGTTACCGATAAGGGCTAATGAAACGATCGATATTTTTTCTCTCTTGACATAAAAGGTCCGAGTCACAACATGAGATAGAGAGAACTTTTCTATCTGAATTTTCATTCTCAATACCCATCATACTTCTCTAGACGACCTTTTTTCTTCGAGCGCATGAGTTTCATGAGCAAGAATATCCTGTCGTATGGACACATCATGAGAAAGGTCTTATTCAAGCGCATGACGAAAAAAATTCGACTAGGGTTGTTCTTTGGTATTTACTCTATTACTTCAACGACACCAATTTTCTTTTTCCTTTTAGTTCAATATTTACTTTCGATGAAAAAGCGGTTTCTCTACTCGCTTATTTAACATTTAATTTCGCGTATGAATATCTTATTTCGTTGCCATCAGAACAATGTCGAACAAACGCTAACGTGATATCTACGGCGTTCGTTGTTCTCCGGTGTCCATGAATGTTTTTAATCAGAGGAGAAACAGAAAGTTTTTTATAACAATGTCATTTTATTTCAATCAACGTTATCGAAGCTTCTCATTATTGAAATTCGTTGTCTTAGTCATTTCTCTGCTGCTTTTACTTGTTTATTTATTTATTTTCAATTCTTCCGACCGAATATGCGATCCTGAAGAGCATCTTTGGTGGTTTTGTCCATGGCCAGATCCTAAAACAACAGTTTGTCCATGGAACGATCATTTTTCTACCTTATCAAATAAGATTCGGTAAATTTTCTCGTTTGTTTCCATTTAATTCAATCCATATAGGCAGCCATTACATGAAAATGCAACCGCCGCCTACATGGGAAACGATAAATTTCTTGTTTACATCGTAAATTTAAAAACAATCATAAGTCAGCACTAGTAGTAATGAAAAACTAGTATTACCCCTAAATTTCACTTTTAACCACACCATATCACACTCAAAGTTTTCATTCTTCAATCAATCATGAATTGATATCTCTTCTAGGACGCCTCAGGCTTATCACAAAGTTCTTCGCTCTCTTCCAAAACGTCGTTCGTCTTTCCTCTTCAACAACTTAACTCTAACACAATGTAACGAATCTTCTCTCGATTTACTCATTTTTATCATTTCAAAATGTTCTCACGGTTCCATTCGACAATCGATTCGACGAACCTGGGCTAATCAACACTTATTACAACAATTCTTTCCCGATCTTCACATCAAACTATTGTTTCTACTCGACAATGATCCACAATCGACACCAAAACTCATTCTTGAACATCAATTTTATCAAGATCTCGTTCAAGTCACTAATCTTCCTGAACAGTATGACTATGTTACACAACGCGAATCAGCTCTCTACGAGTTCGTTGTCAGTCGTTGTCAACAAACAAGATTTGTGTTCAAAACTGACGATGACATTTTCATCAACACAATTCTCCTATTATCAAAAGTTCGAACGTTGATGAACAATGTCGAAATGAAAGACAAAACGACAAAAAAGTATCTAATGTTTGGATTTCCAATCGAACATGGCCTAGTTGTTCGTCATAGTGCTGATCTAGTTGGACAACGATATGTGATCACAAAAGATGAATATTCATGTCCAAGATATCCCACATTTCTGTCCGGTTTTGGTTATTTGATGACTGTGGAAACATGTTCATTGTTGTTCGATGCTTATGTAAGTGATGAAAGACCATTTCTATTGTCCGATGTTTATTTCACTGGACTATTGGCTGAGATGATGCAGATTCCACGAATGAAGATCATTGAAAACGTGAACTATCGATATGAAAGTCAATGTAATGAAGAATTCTTTCGTGAGAAAGAGAACAGTGCATTGGCATGTGCAGCATCGAATGATCATTTTGATGTGAAACATTCGAAAGGTGGTGATCGAAGCTTGATGAATGACTACAATCGTTACTGGACAATGTTATCGGATCAATATGATGTGCTAAGAAATGACAATGTCAAATAGAAATTGCTTTGATTTTGTTGTTCTAGAGACTCTGTCACTTGTCGGATAGAATCTAATGATAATAAATTATTGTTTTGCTCGTATTTGAAAACATGATCAAAGACAAGAAAGTATTTTAAAGAATCGAGAAAACGATGCATATCGAGGGAATACTCGAATAAACAAGACAAATGAGAAGATGTTTTATCAAATATTTGTGTAGACGAACAAATATTCATTGCCTTTTTTTTGTTTTCTTAGCAGAACTTGCTGAATTCGTGTGCTTATTTCGATGTATTTCAGATATTTCGGATGTTACGGAATGAAGTAATGCAGGAGAAGAGGAGACTGATGTACCTGTAACATCATATTCAATAGAATAAAATGTCTACAAAAAAAATGGTCAAATATTTGTTCGAAGGACTCGACAAATATTTCCAATTGGATTCGAAATCAAATTGATTTTCGATGAAAAGTCTTTTTCGTCTTTTAGGAGGAATCGGCCGTTGCCGATTGAAGCTTAGACAATGAAATTCAATCTGCTGATTTGCTTTTTGAAATTTTCATTAAATCCTACGCTGAAAAAGAGACGCCCGTGAATTTTGATATACTAAGAAACAAATATCACAAATAAACTCAATGGAAACGAAAACAAATTCGAAGAAGAGATTCACAAAGAAGAAAAACGACGACAGTTTTGTTTTGTTTGAGCGATCAGATTTGATTATTTACGCAATTGAACTTCTTGATTAAATGACCATTTTTGACTTGGTTTATTTGTATCACATCGTGCTGAAAAAGAAATTTTTACATAGAGATATTCATCGACAGTTTCGCATTTACCCAGAACAACGTCAGAATTGCCGGAAACGTGTAAACATTGTCCTTGATAAAATTCGTTTTTCAATTGTGAAGTCTAAAAGGCGAATTTTGCCATGAAAATCGATGTTTGATTCAAAGTCAAACCTGTTGATCATATTCCCAGTTTTGTTGGTTTCGTTCGTCATTGCATAGAGTGAAAATAATATCTTGATTCGATGCTTTCTCAGGATTTGGTTCGAGACATAATTCATCAAAATGAATTTTGTTCGATGTTGTGTACAAAAATATCTGCAAAAATCAATGTTTTCAATGGGAAAAATGTACCATTTTCGTAACAAACTTGATTTCCACCCTCAGCATGGCAAGCCTGAGCTGAAACTTGACTATTCAAACCCTTTGATATATCAGGACCTGTCATTGAATCGAGACAACGACGAGAGCTGGTTGAAATCTAAAGAAAATATTCTCGTCCATACATTTCCGAAAGAAAATTCCTTACCGATCCGATAAAACGATGATTGAATGGAAAATTCTTCAATTGGAACTTGTCTAAAAACTCTCGAAACGACGAACAATTCAATTTCTTTCGAAGTTCGATTCGACTTGAAACATCTCCTCCGTCAAGTCGTTTTATATCGGGATTAACTGCATAGATTAATTCTTTGTATTCATCTAACCAGACTAGAGCTACACGTTTGTAATTTTTGAATATTGTCACGAAGATTGATTCATGTTCGAGAAATTTATACGGAGTTTCTTTGCGAAATACATGAGCAACATGCGAACACGGATGAATAACAATTCTTCCACCACACATCCAACATTTAAATGACATTTCACTAAAAAAGAATCAAAGATTCTTTCCGGTAAAAGAACGAAAATTCTTTCTTACAGATTTTCACCACCCCAAATCTTAATTCCTTCATCATACATGCCCAATTCTTCGAAATAAAGACGATCAATTGCATAGAGACCACCAGCCATGGTTGGCGTACTGAATTTAATCGATAAAAAACGACAAATTCTTTACTTTTTCGTCTTACTTGATCGGTTGAGCATTGTTTGCGATTAATCCTTGAATTTTCGACCAACGAAAAATCATTTTCCAGCTAAACGTTCCAAAAATATCCGTCGCTCCATGTAACAATTGAAATGCATCATAGGTCAACACATCAATTATCGGACAAACGATCGATGTTCTAAAAACAAAAGAACTTTTTTCTCAAATTGAAGTTAATTATGACATTTTCGTTCTGGTCTGCGAAGTTTTTGTCTTTTCACGGTCAATGAAATAAATTATTGTTAATTAAAAACGTCTCAGGGAAATGTAATTGTTGATTTCTACTTGACAAGAAAAATGAAATATCCTAACCGATCTTTTTGAATTTCTTCAAGTAGATATAAAAGCCAACCATTGAGAACTTCCACGTGTGAATCGAGAAACATCAATGTTTCACCAGTTGCAATTTTTGCCGCTAAAAATCGAAGAAACAAAACCATTGTTCATCTTTGTCACTCGATATTTTCTTCTTACCCTTCACTCGGGAACTGATCAATCCTAAACGTTTTTCATTTTTAAGAAGAATTGTTCGCACTGGAAGCGTTTCAATAAATCTCTGCAATGGTTCATTTAAATATTCTGAAAAATCAAATATTTTCTAATAAAAATCTTCATTCAAATCAATTTACTCAAACCTCGATCAACACTGGCGTCATCAAGTAAAATAATTTCATGAATTAATCTCCAAGGTGTTCGGTTAACGATACTAACCAATGTTCGTAATAGAGTAGAATTTCCTTCATTATGAAAAACAATTATGATCGATGTGTTCGGTAAATTCTGATTAAATTTAGAATGAGCTTTACAACTAAAATCAAATCGAGATCTTTTCCTTGATTTTTCTTTTGAAAGAACCTGCATTACTTTTCATTTCGTATGTCAGGCATTGCACGATCTAATGCGATTCGATCACTAACAGCGATATCAAACATATTCTCGGCAAATCGAGCTTTTGATTCTTCTAAAAGATGGTCCGGTGGAAGATAAGCTGACCCCATTTCTCCGGGCCAATTCGGCGGATTGGAATTTTTTATCGCAGCTAAAAAAAATTCGTATAATTTGAAAAACAATTTCGCAAGTTGTGTTACATTCTTACATTCTTCGGGAATGATAAAATTATCTTTACAATCTTGATCTTCCTCACACATGTCTTTATTATAAATATCTGTAAATTTCAATTTGACAGAATTTTTATCTGAGGACGACAGGGATTTGATCGGTGCAGATTCTACGAAGAAAAAATGGAATTAAATTAGGAAAAAGAACGAAAAACTAACTTGATTGCCGATAATTTTCTTCTTCCTGATAAGACTCGGAACAAAATCCGATCAACACATGACCAATTTTACAAAACGCAGCTAAATGCAAACATCGAATCACTTTCATTTCACTCAAAACTTCTCTCTCTCTCTCTCTACTTTGAATAAGTCCAACTTGCGAACAATCGGACGTTGTTGATGAATTTCGATTTGTTGCATAAAGACTGACAAGAAGAATAATCAGCCATACCAATGATGTGATGAAAATCAAACGAAATCCACCAGACTCGTGTCGATTCGTTGGCATCGAGTCTTTTGTTGATGATGTTTGTAATGTTGTAACACCTCGTCTTTTCATAGTAATTAAAATTTTACTTGAGAATCAATTCAAGCAAATCATGGTTTTACTTCGACGATGTAGGTTATGAAAGAATAGAAGAAAAGAAAATATTTTTTGTGAAAATAACTTACTACCGTTTTTTTCACCGAAGTTATTTCTGTACCAATCAGAATAGAAGAAACCTTATTAAAAGAAATGAAGCGCCATCTTTTTCTTTTACTCGGACACTTTCGATTAATTAGGTTTCTTCAGAGCGATTCTCATTCTGTATGAATATCTCTCGCGTATAAATGAAGATTCAACTGTTTGTCATAACTTCGAAGATAAATTTCATAGATTTTCATGTTCTTCAATATACATAGAAAGGAATTTATTCTGATCTTGTGTAATAATAACTAACATCTGCATTCGTATCAATATCTACTTTTCAAACTCGAATTAAATATCTACTCGTCAAGTAATTCCTTGACTGGAATAGATATCTTTCATTTAACGACCATCATCATTATCTTTCATGGAACATTTCCTGTTGAGATCGTTAATAGTTTTCTCGATATAAATCGACATAATCATCATTGGTTATTCTTTCTATGAGCTAAAAGCCTTGATTGCTGTAAAAAAAAGTTGTCTTTCCGAAGAATCTATCCTATGAGATTAAAACATTCCCAAAAAATGTGAGTTTCTTCTCTTATCTGTCTAAACATGCGTATCTGGTTTAAGACAAAATCGATATATATTTTCTAAGATAATAAATCTCCATGAGATGTGCAAATGCATTATGTATAGTTTTAACACATGGGAAATCAGATGTCTCCTTGTAGTTTTTCCTCTCTTTCTAACTAATCAATCTGTCGATGATTTGATTCTTGTAAACTGATCTGATTTCTCCCGCAGATTTCTATTTGTTCAACTTGAAATCCTTGGTTATCAAGGTTTATTACCTGAATGATTTACCTTTCGGTTAATCCGTTTAGTACCATTTGTCTATGTCTTTACATTAAATCTGATTTGATGTTAAAGAAACTTGTTTGACCATCAAAATCTTCTTTTTCCCTTTCTTCTCCAAAGAGGTAAATCCAATCAGCTTACAACATTTCGCTTAAAAAAGTTGTTTCCTCTCGGTTCACACATAAATAAATTGTTCGTTTGTATAACCTTGATTAATATTAGTTCTATTTGTTGAACATATCTCTAGTGGTTTGAAAAAGAAAACTCTTTTTCTTTTGTCTTTGGAAAAACGTCAAGGTCAATTCTGTCTGAACATAGGCCAAGTCAATTGACTTCTTCAAATAATAACCTTGTCGGTTTTGAATGACAAAGTATTTTTCAAAGTCAATTGATCATTGATCGGAAAAGAACGATGAACTTGCCCGTCAATGAGGTAATCAAATCGAAAGATTTCCTCTTTTTCTCTACACGCGTTTTCATTTCAATCATCTAGTTAACTCGATTCGTTTGTCGGCAAATCATTTGATAAAAATCACGTTCGTGTCAACAAAATAACAAATCAAAGTTACTCTCATTGTTTTGTTTGTTTAAA